CAACCTGGGGATCAGTCTCTATCCTATTCTCGAATGATAAGCCTGGCTCTACTGCCCCGCAATACCAAGCAGTGGCAATCACGTATTGTACTCATCCACGCGATATGCACCAGGAGAGGCCCAGTTTCTGCCCTGCGCCCACAATGGCCTGGTCCCTGCTTTTCCGCCAGGACTAGAGTTGGGTCTGGGGCTGCCAAGGCGAGGCTTTCTTGCAGCGGCGCTCATCCTCCTTCAACAACGTGGCACCGGGATCACAGCAGCTGCATCGCAGCATTGCAGCATCCAAAGTGACTTGATCGACAGGCCTATCGTCAAGCTGATGGGAATATCGTTTGTGGCAAGCGTTTCTAGCTAGCAAGGGGATGGATGGAGGGGAAAAAAGCGGTGTCTCCGCCACACCGATCCCTTGGCATGCAGTGTGGTTGCTTTCGTGCAGAACCAAGACTATCTGTGGCTCCTGTCCACTTCCACTATGATCAGATCATGGGGTCAGGATGTCTCTTAGATCTGAATGGCCTCCTTTCCTGGGACCGCTTTCCTCTGTAGGAAGTATTTGCAGGGGGCTTACGCTCTATCACGCAACAACAGATAGCTTTGTGATGTATCATTTTGCTTCCGAACATGTTGCCGAATCCTTGAGTCAAGTATATGCTGCACTTTTATCTCTATCACTTCTGATAGGAGACGTGCCCCAAATGACGGGGTCCAAGCTCTAGGTAGATTCTCATGTCTCTTGCGAATGGTCGGGTAGGATCGGGAAAAGATTCTTGGTGTCCGACTGGCTCTATAATTTCATTTGTGATGGCCTTTTCAGGTGGTCCAGATTCAAATGTAAATGCATGTATGTTGTAGGGCGAAGACCATCGCTTATCGAGCGCTAATGGTGGGGGTTCAAAAATGATTAGGCTCTATCTAGATCATGAAGGTAAATGATACAGGAAAGAAGTTCAAGCTCTACAGGATTAAAGTGAAAAGGCAAAGAAGATATCTCCAAAAAGATATTGCGGTGTGAAGCCTTAAAGAGAGGATATACATACTCCATCGGTGTGTAAAGATTCTTGATGGAGGTGCCTGTCTTTAGATATGTAATAGGTTAGTCTCGAAAGAGAAAAAGAAATCAAATGAAAAAAGAAAAATCACATTTGGGTTAAGCTGATATTCACGATGTAGTATCAATCCTATAAATATGAGAGTCCAGACTCTCTAAATCAGGCAACTGTCTTAAATTCTTTGTATAGCTCGGACCGAGAGATAATCCGGCTGACCTCATCCACCCGCCCCGATCGAGACCGGCCCAAGAAACAGAAGCAGCCACTTTGTACCCGCGAAGTACCTTCTCGCTATATTAGCGGTGGCGGAGTACTTTTGCATACCTTTCTGACATCTTGACTTCCAACCTTCCTCTTCCCCTCTCTATTATCTTGTTTTCATCCTTGCAGCCTTCCTGATATTCCCCATTGGATTCTTTTCGAGGTAAATTGTTCCTCCCCCGGGGTCTCCGCCTGCGGCCTATTATGTGGGAATCCCACCCCATTTAAACACCTCGTACATAATGACGCATTCCTCTACCCGCAAACCCACCATTCCCAGTCCTTTTCCAAGGACCTCCCTTGCTTCCTTTTTTTCTTCTCTTTCTCACCTCCACATGCCAACTGTGTTTCTGCGGAGTCAGCCCTGCAATCCCGCACCTGCATTGTCCCGTGCAAGAGGCTAACTTGCTGTAGAGCTTCAGCCTCTCACCTAGGAGCTTCCCGCCTTTTTATCTTTAGCTTCTCGCTATTCGAAAAACCTTCCTACATCAACCACAAAACACCTGGCTTTCTGGAACTTCAATTTGACTCCGGCTCGCCCATTTCCCTCGTAACTGTGCTCACGTCTCGCACTTGCCTCCGCCTGTGTATTGCTCAAGGTCTTGACCAGGTGGATTAGTGATAATCAGTACTCACACAAACCGCTGCGCATTCTTTGCACAGACAGACTCCAAGCTTTTTGCAATATCGCAGAAGCTCGGGCCAACACATTCCAGCAACACAACAGGGGTTTCTCGGCATAACACTTTGGATTTCCATCGTTCGTGCGATCATATCAACTCAAGCTTGGCACTTACCCGTAGTGATGGGTCAGTCGCATTCCAAGAGCAACGCCTCGGGCGACACTCTGCAGTCCTACCCTTCGTTTTCCAAAACCGACACCAAGGAGTCTCTCCGCTCGTTCCGTGGCTCGATCCGATCGAAAATCCCTGGTGCTCGCAGCTCCGATAGCCCTCGTGGCTCCACCACTGCTCTCTCTCGGACCGAGAGCCAGACCGACAAATCCGATGCTGGGTCCCTCAAATCAGTCGGAAGCCGCCCTGGCTCCAATGCCGGCCTCCCCCAGTCGCCTGCTTCCGAGACCACTTCGCGACCCGGGTCCCCCAACCCCCGCCATCTCCCTCGCTTTCCACCAGCTTGCAACGAGGTCACAAGGATGTGGACGCGATGAAAGAGAGCGGCGAAGTTGACCATGTGTCAGATCACCCTCCCTCTGGTGGTCCCCCAACTGGGGCCTCCGCAGTCGTAGGTGAATCAATTCTGATGAAGCGAGAGAACCAACTGAATCCCATTCTGGACTTTATCCTGAACGCTCCCCTAGAGACTTCGGGATCTCCCGGGATGGGCATGGGCGCTTTGAAATCTATTGATTTGGATGACATGATTTCGCGACTCCTAGACGCTGGTTATTCTAGCAAAGTTACCAAAACAGTTTGCCTGAAGAACGCTGAAATTACCGCCATCTGCACTGCCGCTCGTGAGCTCTTTCTGTCGCAACCTGCTCTGTTGGAGCTGTCAGCTCCCGTGAAGATTGTCGGCGATGTTCACGGCCAATACACTGACCTCATTCGACTCTTCGAGATGTGTGGATTCCCTCCTGCCTCCAACTACCTTTTCCTGGGTGACTATGTCGACCGAGGCAAGCAGAGTTTAGAGACGATCCTTCTGCTCATGTGCTATAAACTCAAATACCCAGAGAACTTCTTCCTGCTTCGGGGAAACCATGAGTGTGCCAACGTTACCCGTGTTTATGGGTTCTATGATGAGTGCAAGCGTCGTTGCAACATCAAGGTCTGGAAGACCTTTATCGATACCTTCAATACTCTCCCAATTGCTGCGATTGTGGCCGGTAAAATCTTCTGTGTCCACGGTGGTCTCTCTCCCAGTCTTTCCCATATGGATGACATTCGCGGCATCGCTCGCCCCACTGACGTACCGGACTACGGCCTGTTGAACGACCTCCTGTGGAGTGACCCGGCAGATATGGAGGAAGATTGGGAACCTAACGAGCGTGGTGTCAGCTACTGCTTCGGAAAGAAGGTGATTATGGACTTTTTACAGCGTCACGACTTTGATCTGGTTTGCCGCGCCCACATGGTCGTTGAGGATGGATATGAATTCTACCAGGATCGCATTCTGGTGACTGTGTTTTCTGCACCTAATGTAAGATGTCTTATAAATTTTTTTTTTTCATTTAAGACTCCAACTGACATTTGACAGTATTGCGGTGAGTTCGATAATTGGGGCGCGATCATGTCAGTCTCCGGCGAACTTCTTTGCAGCTTTGAACTTCTCAAACCCTTGGACTCGACCGCCCTGAAGAATCACATCAAGAAGGGCCGAAACAAGCGCAATAGCATGCTGAACAGTCCCGTAAGGAACCCCTCTTTGTTATTGGATTTCCCCCGTGCGATAGTTATTTTATCATGCAACACTGCCGAGCATTGTTCTTGCAAATTACGCAGATAGTGCATTCCGTATCTCCCTGAACTTCGCTAACCAATCCCAGCCTGCGGCGGTATCGGCACAAAGTTATTAGTCTCCACTGATCGCCTTACATTCGAAATTGACATCATCTCCTGCGATTGTCATCGCTGTCATGATCTCGATTACTCTGACAGCCATTGACCGACAATGAACACGACTTTCACCAGACTAGCAGCGTGGTAGCCTATTCCTTGGTTCATAATGGCTGATCACTGAAACCGTCCTGCCGCCACGGCTTTCGCGCAAACCAACTTCCGGACCGAACACCCCCGGTATGGATGCCCAAAATGAAGCTTGGCGCAGATTTGAACCGGATTCATCTGACCGGTCTGCGCATCGGAGCCCTCTAGGCACTGTAACATGCGTAGGCCCACCGATTCCGAATTTGCAGACTCAGTGGAAAGACATGCCCGGGCAAAGGCACGTGGAATCTCTATAGGCAACTTGATGGTCGCCTAATTAGGTTCCAGCTCATAATGCAGACGCGTCCAGACCTACGGCAGTTTTCTTCGGCCGCTTCAACAATCATAGCTATGTATCTTTACATAGCTAGGTTACTAGGCCTCTCGCTTCTGGTGTGGCATTCTTCTGCATGTACTTACAATATCTCTACTCTTTTATCCCAAACAAATGGTATTTCTTGGGCATCATTTGGCCTTCTTCCTTTCTTCCACGTATCTAGGATCATAGACCCGCCTGATTTATTGAAAATGTGCAGCGTCTTAAGTTTCTGTGAGATCTTTGATTTGCAAAAGATATCGTCCACTGATCGTCTAGCGAAGATATGTATTAGGTTAGACCTTCGTGTGGATTAATAAAACCCACACCGCTACTTGATGCTTTCGTTACTTGACCAGAACCCACTCAGACAGACAATGAAGCAGCTTGTTGATTCTCAGTCGGAGGTTCTGTACAACCGACAGTTGTATGTCCAGGCCTCCCCCGGGACCACCTTCCGACAAGCTTCGGCAGCTCACCCGCCCTGGTTAAACATCGAACGCCTTGGTGTGGACACCATTCACAACAATTGGACATCATCTACGCCTTTGTAGATAGAAAAGGCCTTACTATCTCGTAACTCACGTGACTGGACTGACTTGTATTATCAATATGAATGCCGAGCTCTAGAACTTCTTCGTAAACAGACCAGTTTGTGACAGACCATTGATCAAGGCCAAATAAACAACAGCAGAGATGCGTTCCTCAATCAAGTTTCCTTACTACTTTTCCTGCAGCTGGCGCAGCCCCAGCCGAACAAGCAACAGATTGAACCTGAACCCTAACTCCCGCCGCAAAAGGGTTCGGATCCGTATTCTGATCCAAATTCCCTAAAGCATGATTGATATCGCGATGTTTCGCCTCATCAGCACGTACATATAGCAACAATGAATGCATACAGCGTTGGCCCTCCGGCATCTGCCAGTACTTGATTGCCATCTCTGGAGCCTGCAAGCTCTTCCACCCCGGCAGATGACCATTCTCGAGGTCCTGGATTACCTTTGAGTATGTGATCACGGCTTCTTCTTCTAGATATCCCACGAAACGATGACACATTTGGGGCGAAATGAGATATGCGAGGGAAAATCCGCTGAAGAACACCCATTGCGCGCCGAGAACCATGAACCTCATTGTTGAGCCTGGCTCGGCGAGCTTGAGGAAGGTAAGGAGGTGCATTCGTTCGTTATAGGCTTCTTCGAGGAGAGTCTCTATCCTATATTCTGTGAGACGATGATCCTCTCTTGTGTATGTGAAGATGGTTGGTATCAACTCACCACCCGTTGTCTCTCCTCATTCGGCGGATGCTTTTGAGGTGGCGGAGCATCCCGGCTACCATCCCTGGAACACCGGCTACGCTTTCCAGAAAGATGAATCTCGTGATCCATTTCTCCTCGGACATGAGGTAGGGTTTGGAAAGTGTGTTTGTGTTTGTCGGTCGAGCATGATAGCCGGAGACAAAATCCATACTCCAGCGCAATAGACGCACGGTTCTGAGAGCTGCTCTATCTTGCCAGGTATATGCTTTGCGATGGGTGGCTCTGACAGCGAGGATCTGTTCTTTTGTATATCTAGCAGGAAAGTGGTATATGTCAGATACAAGTCTTCCTGGTGTGAGGGACGATGAAGGAAAGGTTCCCTCCATCGAGGCAACTCGATAGAACATACATGGGATGAGTCCATGACGACTTTTGGCCAATCTGTATGCTTGTTGTATGATTTTGCTTGATCAGTACCGTGGTAGAGAGGCTGCTATATCTGCTTGGGCGAGTATATAGTATAGTTCCTGTCCTAAACATGGCGCTGTGCTGAAGACGTGTGGACATTAGAGAAAGGCGAGTTATACTTGTTTGAAAATTTATGAACATTGAAGAAAATGGCAGAAGAATGAGAAAACTGTATAGACTGGTATGATTTGTTCTGAAACTCAGTAGTCACAGTCCAACATGCCTTGCCTTTTATGCCATGGATGTTCTGTTTCCTACAATGCAGAACGTAGACTATGGCTCTATTGTTGTGAAGGATCATGTGTTCTACAATATACAGTGTATACTAGATAATTGCATTACCAGCTCAACGCGATTATACTCAAGATGGCTACTGCTGGGGCAAGATCATCTTCTGTTGAACCTTGATCCTCCCGATTTCATCCGACAGAGAGAAGACCTCGGGTGAAGAAGTTCTAAATGAATTCTGTGTGACTCATTGAAGATTGAATGTTGTCCAGGAGTTCATTTCATTGAAAAGAGATAATAATATACTATGAGTTGTGGACTAGGAGTCTTGTGTTTTGCCTAGTTCACCGTGCGTAGACTGTCATCTCATTATGTTACTCAATGTGAAAGTTGGAGGATTGGAGGAGAAAAATGAAGAACGAACCAATAACTATATGGTTATATCTGTTGGAAAAATGCATAGTATTCTCCTGATAAGTGAACAATTGAATAGGACTAGAGGTGGCTGGAAACTCCTTTGTCCAAAACCCCCCAAATAAGAGAATATGGTCTGTATAAGATAACTATTTTCTATGCAACTATGATATCCTTTGAGAACCTCGGCGGCTTAACATGTCTTTTATTGAAAAGAAAACTTTCAAAAAGCTTGAAAACTGCTAGCGATCCCTAAGTCAGTTGCGGTTGTAAAGCGAGAAAATATGCGCTTTAGTCATGTTATATGTACTAATTCTATTCTACAGCCGTTTACCCTGTATATCTCGTGTGTAGCAATTCTCCATCCATGACTTATGGCATATGATCTCAGCTGGCACATAATCCTTTCTGTCATGCCTGAAAGATATCGACCACCCATTCCGTGATATGAGATAGTCTGCAGAAATCAAATTCTCCAGTCTATCTTCGTGTCACTTGATAAAAACCAAAAAGGCGTTCGGTAGACATACCGTTGATAATCTGGGCAACCCCGCCACCGGCGAGTCTCCCGTACAGAGACACCACAAGAACGGATTATCTGGATTGTCAATAAGACCAATCCTCAAATAGGATCGGATTTCATTACTCTTTATGGAGAGGTCAAACAGCAGCGATAACCACCCCGCATGGTGGATTTCATCAGTTATCAAAGGCACCGGGCGCCTGTCCGAGATGCCATCTAGCTCTGTACGAGGGGCACAACCTTGAAAGATAAAGAAGCTGGTCCCTTCGCCTAAGCTGACATCAACAGAAGTTCAAATTCCTCAGATACTTCCAAAGCAATGGGTACCTTACTTCCTGGAAAGCCTTTAACCACATTTGCGCGATGTACTCGACCAGCGGGCAACATGAGTGCCCCAACGGCACTGCGATACACTTCAACATTGCAAGCACACGCACAAGTCAAGGCTACTGCGAGCCCCTCACTACCACCTCTCTCTGTTTTACCGGCGCGTGTCTTGCTGAGGTCTTTGCTAGTCTCAACAATTTCGTCAAAGAGATTCCTTCTCATTCCCGCACTCTCGTTGTTGTCCTTTCTCTCCAAGCCTAACAGGATTTGGCTATTTGATGTGGACCGGAATCCGGTTCTACATGGAATATTAAAGAAAACTTTCTACAATCAATTCTGTGCCGGAGAGAATGGGGCAGAATGCAGATCCACTATCCGGGAAATGAAAGATATGGGCTTCCGCGGTATGATCTTGACATACGCTGCTGAGACTGTGTTTGATCATAGTACTCAGGCTCAGCATGGACAAGGAGTTGCTGCCTTGGAAAGTGAGCACGGGGATGTGTCCATCAATACCCCAGTCTACCAATGTCCCAGCATTGAAGCTTGGCGGGAGGGGACAGTTGAGACCATCTATATGACGGAGGCAGAGGATTACCTCGCAGTCAAGTAAGTTACCCTGAACCCACTATTTCATAAAACAATGACTGACCATTTACAAGGCTGACAGGTGCTGGTGTTAAAGTCACCGAGGCTTTTGCCGCTGGAGAGTTGCCTCCGCAGCAAATGATGGATGCATTGCATGAGGTCTGCACAAAGGCCAAGGACCGAAAGGTTCGCATCCTTGTCGATGCCGAGTCTCAGCATTTCCAAAAGGGTATTGCGCGGGTTGCTGTCGAGCTTATGCGCGAATACAATCGCGATGGTTATGCCACCATCTACAATACCTACCAGGCTTATCTCAAAAACACACCAGCAACACTGGCCGATCATCTCGCTGTGGCAAAAGAAGATGGATTCACTCTCGGTCTCAAGCTTGTGAGAGGTGCATACATGGCCACAGATGAGCGGTCCCTAATCCATGACACCAAGGAAGATACCGACAACGCGTATAATATGATTGCCCAGGGAGCATTAAGAAAGAACATCGGAGAATTTGGAGACAAGGGCAGCCGCGGCTTCCCGTCGGTGAATCTTTTCTTGGCAAGTCATAACAAGGAGAGTGTAGTGGCTGCCCATCAGCTCCATAAGCATCGCGTCATGTCTGGTTTGCCAACTGTGCCTGTGCGCTTTGCCCAACTCCATGGTATGTCTGATGAGGTGAGCTTTTCGCTGCTTCAAATGAATGATGGTGACGGAACACCAGAAGTTTATAAATGCTCTACTTGGGGAGGCCTGGGGGAATGTCTAGCCTATCTTCTTCGTCGGGCAATTGAGAATCGTGATGCTGTCTTGCGGACGGATAGTGAGTACCGGGCGTTGAAGACGGAGCTTTTCCGGAGAGTGAAGTCAGTGTTTTCTCTTTCGCCATCTTCATAGCGTACGAAATGATATATGACTTTATGATCATGCATGACCTGGTTGTGTAGGTCTTCCGGAGTAATGACAGCATTGATGTCGGTTTAGGTAAAGATCTGCATTTGGTCGGTGATGTCGGCGACAATTATCTTCATAGACATCGAAATTCGGAGACTTTCCGGGTCCAGGAAGCAGTAAGAATCTAGGGACTTTGCCTGATGATCATTGCTTTTTCTTATCATTTTAGAGAACATATCGCCTTGAAGCTGACCGCAACGATGACGTGATGGTGTTGAAGAGGTCAAGAATGTTGCGTATGTTTCACAGAGCCCTTATCAAGAGAGGTAGAAAGCCGAGGCAGGTAACTTGCGTCATATAGATTGTTAACAACAGCCGGAGGTAGGAAAAGGGAAGCAATAGATAAGAGATATTCTGTGAGTCGGAAGGGGGTATACTCTTCACCGCTTCACTCGCAGGTTCACAGCCCACAGCCCTCTCTCATCCTAACATAAACGTACCGTAAGGGCTGAGAGGGGAAGTGGATCGAAATCCATCGTGATCAGATCAAGATATACGCCCAATAGATGGATCGGAAGGTAATCACCGAAGTTATTCCGTGGTAGCCTACTTGCCGGATGCCGACAGCCCCGGGACTAGATAAAGCTATCACGCCTAGCGCCGGAGTGTACCAGAGTTGGAGGATGCTTAAGCTCCACTTGTCATCGAATCCGGGGACCTGGTTGGCCCGTTCGGGGAACCTCCGAAGCTTGGTAAGCTTGTCTTTGGGTACCTAACCTTCCAAGGTTAGCTCCATAGGTACATACGGTAGGTACATACGGTACATACGGAGAACTCTCAGTCCGGGGCCCCTCGCTTGAGGAATTGGTAAGTGGGGGAAGGGGATCTTACATTGGGGAAACTTGGGAAGTTTTAAATTGCGCCATTCTTTCCCTCATATTCCTGTGAGAGAAGTTATAAAGCTGATCCGAAACCCTGTCAAAACCCTGTCAATAAATATACTAGAATCCTTTAGAGTGAACGCCATGGCCCCCCTTAAAGGCAAGTCATTGAGCCTCGTCATCGGTCTCGTTGGCGCTGTCGGGTTCGTACTACAGGGTTACGATCAGGCAGTTGCCAATGGATTGTTGACATTGGGCTCTTTCATCGCTGTCTTTCCTCAAATCGATACTGTGAATACCAGCGGTAGTGAGAAAGCCCACAACTCTAAAATTCAAGGTATTTACTCTTGAGTTGGTCTTTAGAGGTGAACACGAATAATGCTGACCATCACAAGGCACAACGGTCGCTATCTATGAGGTCGGATGTGCACTAGGTGCATCTTCCTGTGCCTTTCTAGGGGACAGACTTGGTCGTCGCAAGACCATATTACTTGCTGGTTGCATAGCCTTAGTTGGCATAGCAATTCAAGCAAGTCCCTTCTCGCTCGCCCAACTTATCGCTGGCAGAGTTGTCACGGGTAAGCTCCCAACATATTATTAAACAATTACAATAATCTAATTAGTAACTAAATAGGCCTCGGTGTCGGTGGCTTTACCGCTACAATCCCAATGTACGTCTCCGAGTCATCTGGAGCAGAGGCCCGTGGGCAAATGGTGCTGCTGGAGGGATGGTTTGCAATCGGCGGCATTGTTCTCGCAACTTGGTTAGAATTCGGACTCTTCTATGTCAGCGACAACTCTGTTAGCTGGCGATTTCCTATTGCATTTCAAGGCCTCTTTGGTCTCGTTGTTGTGATGTGTATTATGCTACTCCCCGAGTCTCCCCGTTGGCTCGCACGCGTCGGACGCTTCGATGAAGCAGCTGAAGTGCTGGCCTGCATGGAAAATGTGCCAATCGACTCAGAGCATGTCCTACAGGAACTTGAAATTATTCGGCAGTCACTTGCAATTGACGAGAACACCGAATCGGCAGGCTCCTCTTCGCCATTTGCGCCCACGAAGAACCGCCACCTGCACCGCACAGTGATTGCTGTGGGTGTGAACATTCTGGCGCAGATGACCGGTGTCAACATTATAACTTTCTACTCTGATACTATTTTCGAGTCGGACCTGGGTTACTCAGGCACTCTCTCACGAATAATTACCGGATGTCTGCAAATATGGCAGTTTTTGGCTGCCGGCCTGGCTGTTCTACTCATTGATCGTCTCGGACGTCGTCCGCTGCTCATTACTGCCACTGCCGGTATGACTATTGCTCAGGCCTGTCTTGCCGGGTTATCAAGCGACCTTGAAAACAGGTCTGCAGCTGGCGCATCACTCCTGTTCTATTTCGTAGCACTTTTTTGCTTCCCCATTGGACTTTTCCTTGTCCCATTTATGTACGCCGCAGAGATTGCACCGCTACGTACGCGTGCTAAGGTGACAGCCATGTCAGCTGCAGCAAATTGGCTCTTCAACTTTGTGTTGGCAGAGGTGAGCCCTGTCGGATTCGCTACTATCCACTGGCGGTATTACATTGTATACACGTGCATCAGCGCCTTTGCTTGTGTATCTTTCTACCTCTTCTGCCCTGAGACTAAGGGCCGTACACTAGAGGAGATTGATGATATTTTTGTTCAGTCGAAGTTAGTATTCGATACAGTTCGCATCGCACGGGAGATGCCTTACCAGACGGAGATTCTGGCGCACATCGACAATAATACCGAGAAAGGTGGAATGGAGTCTACGCAGGTGGAGAACGCTTGAAAAGAAAGGCAAGAAGCTTGTGATGTGATAATTATCGGTTTTGTCATGATGGAAGCTTATGATAGATTCTAGATATACGTCTTTATATAGTCGCGTTGAATCTATTGATTCCAGTCATTTGTACAGGATATGAATGGATAGTTGGACAAGAAATCTATTAGTTCAACCTGAGATTTTGGTATGAAAGGCAGATCGCAACTCCATGTTCGTCAAACACCCAATCCCAAACGCAGGAATGATACGAACACAACGCAACAAAGTCGATGAGGGAAGATATTGCTGTGAATGCTTCACCCTTTCCAGGAGTGGCATAGTATATTGCCGTGTATACATATCCAGTGCCAACAAGTGCAGCGGAGTAGCAACCAGCTGTGTCAGGACGGGTACGGTCAACTGGGTGATGATAGGCTTTGCGTGGGGATGAGTGGCCAAGTAATCGGGGATGGCATCCGACAACCACGGGGCCAACGTAAATGACCCAAAGATAGTCACACCGTCTCGTACTAGGAAGATAGCAGCTGCAGATCGTGCCAATGACTTGTTCTGGAAGGGTACAGAGATAATGCTTGCTTTCGATGTCTTGGCATCGGGACCGTTACCGGTGCCGTATTCCTGCGCAAATCGGATGTCCTTCCAAAGCGCTAGCGGCACGTTGGCCATCATAGTAGTCGCAAATGTGATAGTCCCCGCAGCGGCTATCTCAAGCTGGCGACTGACTGTGTCGGTCACATTTGCGACGGAATAGGTCGCCGCGTAGAGGGCCCAGACGATACCGAGGGGTCGTTGGAAGACAAACAGACCTGGCTGTCGGAGGGCCTCAAGTGCATGCCGACGAAGTCCACGGAGAATGGGCTGCTTGAAAGCAGCTTGCTCGACAAGCGCTCTTAGAGCTTGTTAGAGCGGAAATAGCGCGCTTGGAATCGAGACGAACCTATCAATGATTGCCACCGCGGGTGTCACTAGAGACGCCGAGGCTGCTGCTGCGCCGAGATCGCCTGCCAGGTGTCCTGGTTGAAGATTGCTCCAGCGAGTCTCATGTTTTTGAGCTTCTTGTTGCATATCGATAATCTGAAGTACATACTTCCGAGTCTCAAGCTTATCTACGTTGAAAATATAGGATTACACTACTCAATCCAGCCTGATAGGAACACCGGAGGGCTTCCCGATGCTGCAGATCACGAGCAGCAGCTGTGCACTTAGTTTGATCTGGTCTGTTGGAGCTCAAGCTCATAGCAAAGCATCCTGTGGGGTAAACGGGGAAGCCTCCGATATTTCTAGGAGGGGTCGTTGACGTTAAAGTCGATCTATTCGTCGTCTCAAACTGATTCCTCAAGTTTACGTTATCATTAACTCGACTCAAGATTACTACCTAGGTATTCATCATGTCTACTACACTCATGAGACTTCGCTCAGCACGGCCTACTGGCTCTCACCTGCGCTGTGTTCCTGTGGGACTTTCTATTCAAACTCGTAATAAGACTACCATGCCATTCCGCCTCCCCGATGCTCGAAACGAACCAAACGTGAGTATGAAACTACTATTTAACCCACAAGGCTAACCATAGTATAGCCTCTATACAAGAAAGGCTCCCCGGAGCGTGCCAAGCTTGAAGAAGCATTGACCAAGCTCCGCTCTCAGCTGCCCGTGCGGAGCGAGCTCTTCTATGATGGAAAGTTCCAAGCGAGCTCCAAGTCATGGGATCAGCCGTTACCTGCCGAGCATGCCGTTACCTTCACAAACTACCCACTTGCTACCAACGAGCAGACCCGATCAGCTATTGACTTAGCCCTGGAGGCAAAGCAAAGCTGGCAAGATACCCCATTCGTTGACCGAGCTTCGATCTTCCTCAAGGCTGCCGAGTTGCTATGCACCAAGTACCGATATGAGATAATTGCTGCTACAATGCTTGGACAAGGGAAGAATATCTGGCAGGGAGAAATTGATGCTGCGGCTGAATTGGCGGATTTCTTCCGCCTGAACTGCAACTGGGCGGCTGAGATATTGGAGAAGCAGCCAACTCGTGGTAGTGATGGCATGTGGAGGTTAGTATACATATCGAGATACTGAGATCTTACGGGAAAAACTTGCTAATCGATTGCAGTCGTATCGACTACCGTCCTCTCGAAGGCTTCGTTTACGCTGTCTCCCCATTCAACTTCACAGCTATTGGTGGAAACTTAATCTGCGGACCTGCGCTGATGGGCAACGTGGTGCTGTGGAAGCCTTCGGCGTCCAATGTCTACGCGAGCTCTTTGCTCTACAAGATTCTTTTGGAGGCTGGCCTTCCTCCCAATGTGATCCAGTTTGTGACCGGTGATCCTGAAGCCATTACTGAGACTGTTCTCTCACACCGTGACTTTGCCGGTCTGAACTTCATTGGCTCCTCCGACGTCTTCCGTTCTCTGTACGGGAAGATTGGCCAGGGTGTTGCCGCGAAGACATACCGCGAGTTCCCTCGTTTCGTTGCCGAGACCAGCGGAAAGAATTTCCACCTCGTTCACCCCTCAGCCGATATCACTAGCGCAGTCAACCACACCATTCGTGGATCATTCGAGTATCAGGGTCAAAAATGCTCAGCCACATCTCGTCTCTACTTGCCCGAGTCTCGTGCAGAGGAGTTCCTTACTCAGTTGAAGACTGGAATCAAGGAGATTACCATCGGAAGCCCGGACAAGGACTTGGAGGCTTTCATGGGCCCCGTAATCCACCGTGGATCGTTTGAGAAGATCAAGTCCATTATTGATGCCAGCAACAACGACCCCTCGCTGAAGCTGATTGCGGGTGGTACTTATGATGAGTCTGTTGGGTACTACGTGCACCCTACTGTGTACCAAGCCGATTCACCGGACCACCGTCTCTTCAACGAGGAGATCTTCGGCCCTGTGCTTGCCGTACACATCTACAAGGACGCCGATTGGGCTTCCACACTGAAGTCCGTTGATCAGAATGGAGGTGGATTTGCCTTGACTGGCGCTGTCTTTGCCAAGGATCGTGTTGCTATCCGCCAGGCTGAAGATGCGCTCCGGTACTCGGCTGGCAACTTCTATATCAGTAAGTCTCACAATACCCACGAGAGTTACTACCATATCTAACCGTTTAATACAGATTGCAAGACAACCGCCGCCCTTATTGGTCAGCAGTCCTTCGGTGGTGCGCGTGCTAGTGGAACAAACGATAAGGCCGGTAGCTCTGATCCTCTTCGCCGCTTCGTTAGCCCGCGGTTGATTAAGGAAGAATTCTTTGGTCAGGACGAGGGATTCACCTACCCCAGCAACCACTAATCTTGGTATATAAAAGGAATAGTCTATAGAATTTTAACGCAATATGTGCTTCCAATTCAACCTTACTGTTATTTGTTTCTGTTGAGATGCAGGATCCCGTTATTATGCACAATAAGTTACAGCGCTTATACTTTCAATATCCCGTTGTCAACACACCTGGATATGCGGGTTATACCCGAATCATTGACCACTATGATCCCATAGCCCCCTGAATTTGCGTGTGTTGCACCGAGATTGTCCTAAATAACTCTTACGCCTTCCATAATTCTGGATTTAAAGATCTGATCTTGTACCTTATTATCTTTCTGGTATACTTCTTCAAACTGTATTCGTCGTTTTTCACTTCAATCCTGACCTAATTAGCGTTCCGCAAAGCCCGTTAATGGGGGCCCATGGCCCAACCCACAGTGGGCTATGGGCTATGATGGGCTATCTATGGGCTGATTAGCTTCAACCCCAAATAACGACTGGATGGCACGGTTCTGATCCCCGGACGCAACAAACACCGTTGCCGCATCTCCCGCGTTGCTGAGGCCCTGGAGGTAGCACAGATCCTCTCATTCGTGTGACTGGAAAGAACGGCCGGCGCCGAGCCTGAATTTGTTTATGAGATGGTTCGACAACTGCCACGATCATAGATAGCCCATCATAGCCCATTACGGGGGTCTTGGCGCTCCTAACCCACTCAATGACAAGCCCTGGAGCCTGTGTCTGGCTAATCCAAAATCACATATTCTTGTTCAGTGACCTGGTCGAACCCTAAATCCTCCAGCAACGTCGTAACGTGCGCTGATCGCCGCACGGTGTATCTCTTGCCCTTGAATTGGTATCTGGGTTTGGCCCCATGCTCCAACATACATCGTATCAACGCCGGATGCCCCTGCTGAATGGCCATGTGCAAAGGTACAGTTCCTCGTGCCGCCGTATTTGGATTGGCACCAAAGTCCACCAGCAACATCGCAGCCTCCAGATCTCCGTTTTGGATAGCTCGTTGAAGTGGAGTTTGAGAGACTTCTAGACCTCCGTTTCCATTCGGATCAGCTCCATTCTCAAGCAACAACCGAACCATTTCCAATCTCGCATTGGAAGGACAATCGTGAAGGGCGATAAAAAGCGGCGTCTTATGCCACGGAGAGGTTTGTTTCATGAGAGCGCCTTCGCGATTAAATAGCCATCGCACGACATGAAACATGCCATTCTTAACAGCCTCGTTGTAGCAGTAAAACCAAAGCCACTGCATCGACTCCCTCGGACGGGTCATGTATTTCTCCAACACTCCCACCATCTCCACATTTCCGATCCGTAATACCCCTTCTACGGCTTTGTACAGCTCCAGCGAGATATCCCACCCTCTATTCAGGTTAGTCTTGATTAACAATTCTACTCGCTCTGCATCCCCACGCCTGGCGGCCACCGCCAAGCCACATGAGTGGTCTTTAGTCCACCACGAGCGGCTCTGGTAAAAGAAGGAATAGCGAGGTGCCACGATCTTGATGATCTCCGGGGTGCCCTCTTTATATGCTAGATCCACCGGCACCTGACCCATAGTTTCACTCCACCGCATCAGCGAGAGCCCCTTGTCTAGTAATGACTGCAGTTCCACATGATCTCCTCGCAGGATGGCGCTCGCAGCAAGCCCGCTTTCAAGCGTTCTCTCCAGGGGCTCGATCCGTCCACCGGACGCGTCAGTAACATTTTCAATGCAAGCGCGATACCGATGGGGACTGAATAGCATGCTAGGACTCTCGGTACTGCGCAAAATAGCATCGATCATTTTATCCATGAGGATGTGTTTTTCTTTCTCACTCGTCGCAGCAATGTGCGGCATCTGTCGAATGTCGTGACATAACTCGGAGAAGAAACACGGCCGCTCTTGATGGTTTTCAATTAAGTACCAGAGATATTTCCGCTTGTAGGGAAACTTGCGCCACACCGTGAAGATGGCTCCCGGGTGATCTAGGCTGGCACTGGTGGGCCACAGGGTTTTATTGAAGAGGCCTAGGCTGAGTTAGAAGCGTATTCCTGTGGCAGATGATGCGCTTACTATTGGTGAGTCGGGAGTGCAGTATATCACCGTAGGGCAAAATATCGACTGCTTCCTGCAGAATGAGCTGGAGGATCTCAAGAGGGAGGCGCATGGTTGAAATGAAAATGAAAAGGCAAATGAGTCAAAATGCATCAAGAATCAAGGCGAGTGAACCAAAGGGGAACTAGAGCTTTGAAATGTTTGCATTGTTTGGTGCTAATTGGGCTTAACGGGCCCGGACTCGGGCCCAAAGCCCAGCCCACAAATGGGCTGGCTTGGATTGGGCTATGGGCTTTGCGGGCCTTGCGGAGCGCTAGACGTAATTATATGTAGGGTTCCACGGTGATTCTATGTATCTCAGAAGTCTTCGGTATCACCAACGTGGTTTACGTTGATTGGACTTTTATGCAACTAGAATCCTATTTCTTTATGTTTTGCTTGCATTAATCAAGTAACTTGATTGAAGTCATATAGCTCTAGCGCTAAATAGCACATATCAAGATATCTGCTCATAGCCCAGGTGGGCTATATACCGGCCTGGCACGACTCTTTGATGTAAGTATTCTACAAATAACTCGACCCTTTGAGCCATATCATTCCTTATCTTATTTCAGTCATGTTCCCGCAAGTCCATGCTATCAAAACCCTCTCTAGGATACATCGGGAGGCCTCCCGATGTCCCACTACTCCGCAGGCCCCGCACGAGAGAATCGGCATTGACGCCGTTGAGTCCGATAGATTGAGCTGAGAGTTGACTATAGATATTGAACTATCGCTCCTAGTAGAAGCTTCCCATTGCATTCCACCATGGGCATCTCCAAGTCTGATCCTATCATCATCGTTGGAGGCGGAGCCTTCGGGCTCTCTACCGCCCTTCATTTGACTCGCTCTGGTTTTACGAATATCTCTGTGTTCGAAAGAGACGAGCATATTCCTCCGCGTTATTCGGCCGCCAATGACTTGAACAAGATTGTGCGCGCAGAATACGAGGATCCATTCTATACCGATTTGACTATTGTGAGTCACTGTCTTCGGGACAACTATAGTCAACGAAACCAAGTCTAATGTCTCGTTTTATCTATTGATTAGAAAGCCATCGCCGCATGGAAAACTCCTCTCTTCGCACCTCATTTCCATCAGACTGGATTTCTCCACTGCGTGTCTGGCGAAGCACCCCAAAAAGCCATTGACACCCTTAATAGATTCCGGGCCTCGGCAGAAGGGAACAACCAAATCAAACCACATGTCGTACCCCTCAATGGCGAAGAAGATATTCGTCAAGCCTGCTGGCAGCTCGACGGTCCATTGACCGGATGGAATGGATACTTAAACCGCTTCGACGGGTATGCACACTCCGGAAATGCCTTGGCAGGAGTATACCGCGCCGCACAGGCAGCCGGCGTGCGCTTCTATCTTGGAGAATGCGGCGCAGTTGATGAAATTGTCTATGTCAGCACACTGCAAGGCAGAAAGAGCTCTGGAATCCGAACGAAGGATGGGAAATTTCACCCATCTTCGTTGGTGATTGTCGCAGCGGGCGGTGCAGTGGGCCGTCTGGTCCCGGAGATTGGGAAGAAGGTCGTGGCAAAGTCGTGGTCCGTTGCGCATGTTCATCTTACGGATGACGAGACTTCCGCGCTGCGTGGAATCCCTGTCACCTATGCTCGCGACCTGGGATTCCTCTTTGAGCCGGATCCACAGACTAATTTGTTGAAGATTTGTCCGATGGGTGGAGGTTATATCAATACGGACCCTGAGACTGGGGTTTCTCATGCGCCTGGGACTTTGGGGGAAAGTGCGTTTGTACCGGAGCATGATGAGAGACAAATGAGGAAACTGCTGGCGCAGACTCTTCCGACGCTTGCAAATCGTCCATTGGTGAAGAAATCGCTTTGCTGGTTTGCTGATACTGATGACTCGGACTTTATTATTGATTTTGTTCCGGAGACGTCGTCGTCGGTTGTTTTGTTGTCTGGTGATTCTGGACACGGGTTCAAGATGTTCCCTATCTTTGGATTGTGGGTTTCGGATTTCCTGCAGACTGGTTGGCAGCGTGAAGCGCGCTGGCAATGGAAACATACCGAACCCAATGAGGGCAGGGAGAACTGGGGTGGTGATGTAAGCTGGCGTCTTGGAGAGTCGAAGGAGCTCTCTGAGATCCGGCCTGTGGTATTGTCTAAGCTTTAGATTTATTGGGCATTAGAATCGTACATATATCGATTTTTGTGACACTTCCAGGTTGAAGCGAGGAAAGTAATTAGCCATTCGACTGATAGAACAACTTAAATAAATTTAAGCACACTATTCTCACTATAAATATCAGTAGATACCAACTTAGAACTCATCAATTCATCAGACATTCGATTTACCATATACTATGTTCTATCATCGCATTTGATACCCACTCAGTATCATAGCTCTCAATGGAGTCTGCAACAGCCATAATCTCAGCCGAAGTCAGCATTGTGTTAAAATCACACTCCACATCAAAATCGGGATCCGGCCTGAGAAGAGCATCATCATATCGGACAGACTGAGGTATGGCCCCAGCAGCCGGTGTTGTAGATGGGGAAGCTGAGTCAGGAAGAATACCAGTCTGCTGAAGAAAATCAGGGACCGCTAAGTGCCGTGGCTGATCACCAGAGATACATCCCAATAATGTCTCGTGTAGCTGCTGGAGCTCGGATCGCCGGAAGCTAGCAACTTGGTTTCCGTCTGTGATCATTTCGTCGAAGATAGCGTACGCTTTCTCCAGCCAGTTGGGGTGGCTTTCTAACAAGCGCGGGTCGATTGATGGGCCCATCAGGAGGATAATTGTGGACACAAAGACCGATTCTAGATCAAAGGGAAGGAAGGTTTCTAGCAGGCGTATGTTAGTGGAGAGGGCCCATTCATCATAAAGGTTGCTATACCTAAAAGGCCTTGGCTCTGTAAATTGGAGAGAATGCTGATTATGTGCTGGGCGGATTCAAGACACATCTGCATCAGGTTTCGGACATTTCGTGATGCATTGAGTGATTCTAAACAGCTTTCCGGGGACTCAAAACGAATTTTGAGAAAGCAGAATAGGAGAGGTCGGGTGGCCAGGATGATGCACTGAATATTGTGTGAGTAGTCAGCTAACGCCTCTCTTCCCACACATGATAAGACTCGCACCTGATGATATTGAAGGTGTAAGTAGGCTGATGTTCGAGAGACGCCCTTGACTGGGTCTAAGTGGAGCGGAAATGACTCGCGAAGCTCATCGGCAAGTCCTGCGATGTTAGCCAATGCTGATTTAGTGCTACGTAGAAAAGTCCGGTTGATACGTCCATTGGCAACGTATATTGCTGCTCATCTTGTTAGAGTGGGTATACAATGGAAGCTCAAGGGATCTTACTACTGTTCACCTCGGCGATGATCTGGGACAACTTGATGTGCATGCCTAATGACATTGTTTCGGTTGGGTCTGGAAAGGTGGGGAGCTGGGTTTGCACATATCGGTCATTGATAGACTGAGGTAGACCCATCAACGATGTCATTTCTCGATCCAGAATATAGATAGTCCACCAGATTTTGCCGGATCTTTGGACCATGTCATGTCCTAAGTCTTCGCTTGGCATATTAGTGTGCATTCCTTGTGCCATGGCTATCCGCATGGCTTGGCCGATCTGGAATGTTGATTAGCCAAAGATTTCATATAAACCCTTTTTGGGATCTTACGTAGTTATGTGCGGATGTTCGAAAGTCAACACACTGATAGTATAAGGCGATGCAACATAGGATTTCTGTTCCCAGCATAGGATCCCGGTACAGAGCAGTCGGGTCCGGTAGAAGCTGCAAAGCTTTGACAAAATAGTGCACCCCTGGTGGTTTTCTACCTTGAGCCTTAGGCTGGACGAATCCCTTCCCAAAAGCCAAGATGAGGAGGAAATGGATGTACCACAAGCTGTTTGTCATGGATTGCCCATCTCCCGAGTAAAACCGCTGTAAGGAGCTCATGAACTCCTCTTCTTCGAAAAGATGATACAATTGCCCGCATCGGAACTGCACGGCGTTGATCAGATACATGGTGTGGTCACGAGTCGGGACAACTGGGACATCTAAGCTCGGGGTTGTTCGCAGCCCATCCCATCCCAATTCATAGGTCGTTTCATCAAATAACAAAGTTTCTGTGGGTAGTGCGTCCTGGTAGAGGTGCTGATGTGCCAGGCTAAGAACTCGCCGAGTGAATGACCAGTTGGATGATGTTCCAAGATAGACTGTAAATGTTAGAGTTGCGCATTCTAAGATACCAGCGTAACCTACATGTGCGACCGTTTGCTGCAGACATAAAAGCAGGAGGCCCAGACGATAACGGGTTGGCTAGACCCGCGTCTAGATCCTCTAGTTCCTGGTGTTCATCATGATCCTCTGGAGTCCTAGTCCTTTCCAAAGTGGGTAGATGTTCGCGATCTTTGGGATCTGCATTAGATTAGCAGGAGTGGGCAACAATCTAAGCAGAAATGAGGACCTACCAATGGGCTGAGTCTCGAAATTCGAGCTGTAAGGGCTCGCTTGGCCCTTCTCGTTCTGCTCTATGCGCGCAATCTTCTGCTGCAGTTCCAGAATATAGCTGCGATAACTGTCAGCGATCCATACTGTTTTTTAAGACTTCATCTGACCTACCCTCTCGTCACCAGGATCTTTTGATCACGGTCGTTAAAAATGCAAGCAAGCTTTCTAACGAGGTTAGTCAGGTATCGCAATGGCGGCATCGCAGACAATACAGCCCTAACGCACCGTTTGCTACAACCATCGCATGGCTGCGAACCGGAACATTTTATTTTTTGTCTCCGGCATCGTACACAGGCATTTGATGATCGTTTTGTGACTCTTCCATCACCCATTGTTGAGATATGTTCAAAATCAAGATAGAAATGTGGGGGGAGAAAAAGTTCCCCAAAGGCCGTGAGGGGGAAATATTAGAAAAACGAATCAGACAGCTTTTGATGAGAGATGTGGATACAAAATCTTATCTTGGGAGATTTACGGAGAGGTTGAAAGATACGGCTTCCCTTCCGAGGTTGGATTTATGTTTTTCTTTCTGCTTTCAACGCTGCCCAAGCAACTTTCGATTCGTCTCCCAAAATTGTCTACATGCGGTGTGACCCCAGTGCTCAGTCCACCACTCTCCGAAGCTATCTTGAACACTTTGCTCGTCAACCCGTAAAACCCGCTCATCTCTCTTAAGTGAACAGAGTGCACATGGATGAGAAGCTTTCAACGCACCCTGGTCCGCCCGCGCCGTGATAACCTTGAGCGCACTAGGATCTGAGACTGTAGGGATTGGCCGCAGGCTTGCGGCTTGTAGAACAGCATTAAAACTTGCCGCCCGTTCACGCCAAGTAGTAAGCACGTCAACGGCATCTTGTTCTTCTTTGATATTTTCTTGTTTGTTCACGCTGTTGAGTTTCATACCTCCAGCTTTGCCGGAACGGGCAGGGCCGATTCGCATGCTTTGACTAAGGATTGTATCACGTTTCCACCGGAGACTTCGCCCTGCGATTACACGGGCGGCTGATTGAAGGACATTGTGAATATTCATGGCTGTTGTTGAAATGGTGTTTGAGGATGAGGACGGAGCCGAGGATCGCGGCTGAGATTTTGCGAGTGCGGCCTCTTTCTGAAGGTTCTCGAACACATCCAAGAATAACTCGAGAAGGACTGATGGCGGTGGAATATTTGTTGGGCGGACAGTGGCCGTGATCCCAGAAACAGAGCTACTGGGGGCTGGGCCAGGAGCTGTTGGTGGTGAGGTGGGTTTGGATTTGAGCGCAGGCTTCACACTGGGTCCATCAGAGAAATCACCCCAGTCGTCGAAGGCTTCGTCACCCCAGGTTGATGCAGGCTGCGAATTGGATTTGATAGGTCTTATGGGTGCTTTTGCTTTCTTCTTCGAGACCTTGGGGGGTGGCTGGCTGGCAGGTACATCGGCAAAATCACCCCAGTCACCAAATGAATCATCCTCCCATGCCGAGTGTTCTTGATTGTTAGGTTCAAGGTGTTGGTTCTTGGCAATTTTAGATGGATGTTTCACAACTGGTGCGGAGTCTGGCATTGAGAGTGAATCTAGCAAGTCAACTGTTCTTGAAACCTGTGGATCTTCTCGCCGAGGCTCTGGTTTTAGAGATGTAACTGTGTCTGATTGCCGGAGAGCTATTGGCTGCGCATGTAAAGTGTTTGAATTAGGGCCCTCAAATTCACCCCAGTCGTCATCTGCATCGCTTGCTGGTGTATCAAATTCTGCATCAAATAATACATCGCTATGTGGATTCAAGGGAAGGCCAAACTCCTGATGATCAGGGCTCTGCCACGAAGCTGCCGGAGTTGTAAATTGATTGTGTGCTTCTTGCGTCGGATTAGGACGCTTGTTGTGCTGCACACTTCCCGTTGGCCCGAAGAAATCGATGCTATCGTCGGCATCGAAGAATGAGTGCTTCTGGTGCTGCAATGGCTGCTGTCTGGACCTTTTGTCTGGAGCAGGTGCCTGACCAAACTCTGCGAGTAGATCTGCGGACATTTTGAATGTCCACGGGTGTCATGAAGCTGTGAGAGGTGACATAAAGTGCAGCGCTGCAGGGATGCAACGATTTTCTGCAAGGGCGGCGACACAAGATCGAATAAATCGACGTCAGCCGTAATCTATATCGCCTGTGATTTGCAAACCTCCCAATCCGAGACCAACCGGAGTATAGAACGGTGGAACGTCTGAATGGCCGAGTCACAGTAGCGCGAGATAAGGCACGGGCGGTCTACTATCGCCCGCATTCCCCCTCATCTTCCAAGGTTCTCCTCGTCATCAACAATGAGAACCATTGAGGAGACCAGGTACTTCCACTTCTATCAATTATCTGCATATATTCATTGATATTAACCCTCACAGAAAGAGATGGAACGTACTGTTCTCCGACAACGACACACCTTCCGATCTCCGAGCGGCGTTACAATCCGAGCAAGGAGGAACCCTGTGCAATGACGGACTGAGGTCGGTTTGCTGGAAGGTTCTGTAGCCTTGAAAATGTGACGTGGAGATAAATACTCATACTTCATACAGGCATTTCTACTCTTCGACGGATTGGAAAAAAGGGAATGGACGTCTAAGCTCGATGAATCCCGGGATGCCTATCGTGCGTTGAGAGATCATTTCTTGAAATACATCGAACACCCGGACGATTTAGAGTCGACTGTTGATCCGCTGGCGGATGATGAGCAGGTATGCGACCTTCTCGCTGTGTTCCGCCCAATTTGAAGAATCCCCCTCTCTAACTAAATCTTGTTGGAACAGTCCCCGTGGCAAACACTCCGACACGATGAGACGCTACGTACCGAGATTCTGCAAGATGTCGATCGATGCTTGCAGGAAAACTTTTTTTTCCAAGAGCCCGACACGAAATCCAAATTGACTGATATCCTGTTTGTCTACTCGAAGCTGAATCCAGATGTCGGCTATAGACAAGGAATGCACGAATTACTCGCACCTATTCTGTGGGCAGTAGATCGAGACTCGGTGAAGCCACACCCTGGAGGATTTGATGCGAATAAGGACAACGGTGAAGGCTTGATGCTAAAGCTTCTTGATGCACAATTTGTGGAACATGATTCATTTACGCTGTTTCTCTCTGTCATGCAGACAGCCCGCATATACTATGAACACGGCGAGACACGGTCGGCAAATGGCCAGATGGATGTAATTCCGATAGTCGACCGCTGTCACTATCTCCATAAGGAAGCTTTGGCGATTATCGATCATGAGCTCGCTGAGCACCTGGAAGCTGTGGATATATTACCCCAAATTTTCCTAACGTAAGCTGCTTTCAGATAGATACCCATTCATTTTCTACCTTGCTGACTCCCAGAAAAGCCGCTGGATGCGCCTTCTGTTTGGGCGAGAATTTCCATTTGACGATGTCCTAATGATGTGGGATCTGCTGTTTGCCCATGGGCTACGGTCTGATCTTGTTGATTTCACGTGCATTGCAATGCTGCTTAGAATCCGTTGGCAATGTTGGTCGACCTGCTTCATCCCCCACTGTATCTCATTTTCGCTGACATGAATCACTCAGTGCTCACGGCCGACTATACAACCGCCTTAACGTTATTACTTCGCTACCCTTCGCCCGAACCACACACACCTCAAACTTTCGTGCATGATGCACTCTATTTGGAACAGAATCCCACAGCTGATCGAGGCAGTTTCATTATATCCAAATATTCAGGCAGACCGCCGGACTCCAAAATTCGCAACCACTCTGGTACACAGCCCACGAGGAAGGCCTTCCTTTGGGAGGACTTCAAGAAACGCAGCGAAAGAAGCCCACCTCCTGGATCACCAGCCCGAAATAGCCCCAAAAGCCTTGAGTCTCTTTTCCAAGACGTCTCTCAGGGAATCCAACGCCGGACAGAGGCCTGGGGCGTAGCCAAAGCTGTTCGAGGCGCCGTGACAGAAGCTAGGAAAAATATGCAGACAATGCATTATGAATCAAATATGCGTCCTGGATTCTCGAGACCTGTTTCCGCTGTATCATCCTCGGCTGGAGTGGAAACGAAGATCAATCTACTCGAAGAAAGGAACCAAGCTTTGGCAACGATTTTACGCGAGGCACTGGACGATCTTGGCTCCCAGCTAGCAAAGATCAAAGACCTCGATTCTGATACGAATAACACAGTGAAGCAGGCCCTAGTCAAAGCTGAGAGTGTCCGGGCCTGCCTCGAAGACTCTTCCATCCCAGTAGATCCCCCTCTTGACTCCCGTGTAGACGGTGAATTGAGCCAACTGGGCGAATTGCAGAATACGCGCACCTCGACTACGGACAAGGCAGAAGGCAGCAAGGTGGCAAACAAAGGTCAATTACGCATAATAAGTCCCAACGCGGATACAAGCGGGCCGAAAGCCGATGGTCGAACTGATTCTGTGCTAGCGACGGCAAGGCGAACGAACAGTGGCCATAAACCCGAAGGGTCGCGGACAATCCCCTCGCGATCAACTATACGACCTTCTATGACGGATTCGGGATTCTCATGGATGCTTGGCGGTGGGCGGAACTTGTCGGGTTTTGTCAGCTCGACATCACCGCCGCCGGAGCAGACTCGACATCTAGATCAAAATCGCGGGAAGCCCAATGCCTTCGGGTCGAGCGGAGATGACAATTCAGGGGCGGATTCTGGGCATGGTGAATTGGCGCTGCACAGTCTCCGGGGGTCTCGGGACCCTCTGTCAGGGACCGGCCCATGATATCTCCCGAGGTCCCAATTTTGCCCATGTCACGGCTTGCGTATGCACTGGATATACACTTACGAGTCAAAGTTAGTCCCACTTATCTCCCAGGCATTATCATTCTCTAGAAAAGTATATCCACCACAGACATTTGACTAGTATTTCCATCTGCCTCAATACTTGTTTGCCAACTTCATATAAAGTACATGTTAGTAACCAAAAGGGGTTAAGATCCCAGACGCTCGGATCTATCGAGAAAGCCACTTTGCATCATTTCAAGACTTCTCGGGAAATAACCTGGCCATAACATCCTGCATCCGGAGCGGGGTCCAGAAGTTACCGAGCAACGTATATGAAGTATTAAAGGAAACCGTTCTGTTTGAGATACTATCTTGTATAGATCTCTGGCCCAACGCCTTCGGTAAATTTCTCCGCCAGATGGGATAGAAACCTGTCGATCGGCCGATCTTAAGGTAAATCAGCTATTCCAAGCGAAAGTTCTACGTTGTTCTGAAGGGCAGATGGATATAAAAAGACATATAGAAGAGAATATAGAGTAATTGGGCTATTACATCACGAAGGGGGGACCCATCTCCCTTTTTCTCGCAGGCATTTTCCTCTCCCCACTCTCCCCCGCTGTCCTTCTCTTTTTCTTCCCCCTTGAACCCTTCTACCTCGAATTCCCCTGCTTGTCTCTCCTTCACTTTCTGTGTGTGCTCAGTCGCGGCGCCACATATGCCGCCTGAGACCCTACGAGGCAGCTGCCCGCCCTACCCCCGTCACAGTTGCGAATGATCGTTCCGCCCATACATGTCGCATACCCCGGATACATTCACGAGTGCTCGCCTCGATTGAGCCTCGTCCTTTTCTTTGTTTCGCTGATCCTCTGAATTTCTCCCCCCAAAAAGATAATAAAACCTGAAAGAGAGGAGACCTCGGGGATGGGGTCGGCTTACAACCATGATGGTCAGTCATGTGCACTCACTTTTTTTATGTTAATCATTCAGTCTTTGTTTCACATTCCAAGGGCCTTAGGGAGCTAGTGGAGATGAGGAGGTAAAAGCAGGTTATTGTGCATATTTTCAGATTGAGCTCACGACTCATCGAGCGCCCGAAAAGAAACGGGTTGGAGCAACTAGGGCGCGACTTGAGTTTCTTCCCAGAAACCACGGTCACGCGCTAGCACATGCTCGGAGATGCATCTGACCGCGGAGACGAACCGTCGGATCATTCGATAGCATCACATTATCCTGAAAGGCCCGTGGAATGGAAACTTCGAGACGCGCCGGTTGAGTTGATTATAAGCTAGGTGAATCGCGCTGACCAAACTTAGGCGAGCCGAGTCCTCTTTCGTCGCCGTTAGGACCTCTGTCTGAATCCCCCGAATCCGAGTCCGGACTGGACACACTTTCTTTACAGACAGATCACCTCAGAAGCTCGGCGGGCAGTGTTTCTTCGGGGTATGACCCTCTTTCCAGGTCAGCGACAATCTTCATACTTTTTAACACAACGTTAACACTTCCGGTATTCCAACAGATCTCCGTTATTCGAAAATGAGCATGGACTTGGTCCAACTGGGCTGGATCGTATACGCCATAACCAGCCCTCGCGGGTATTGACCCTTCCAAATATGTCTACTTCGTCGCTATCGCTAGCTCCCATGGCTAATCAGCGTCCCGCCCCCTCTCCTCGATCTCGTTCCTCATCTCGAGCTCACACCGGTCACTTGTCGAGCCGAAGCTTCACAGATCTAGAAGACCTACACCGGTTTCCACTAGAGTCGCTTCATTCCTTTTCCTTCGCCCAACAGTCCGAGGAATTTCTCCACACCCGTCAAAACATTCTCAAGAGGTCTATTGATTTTATGCGTGACCGGATGGGATGGGCCGCAAGCAATGCCGGGATCGCCAACGCACAAGCAAACGCCAGTGGGGACACGGAGATGCAAGGTATGATGGAGCTTTTGACCCGAGCAAATGTACTCGAAACCCAGGAAAACCAAATCCATGGTCGTGGACCCGTCACAGGACCCGCAGAGATGAATCGCGACAACATCTTTGAAAAGGCCTTCTCAGATGGTAGTTCATCCCCAGTCAGCACCCGAGATGGAGCCCTGGATTCCACCCTCTCGGGGTCACACCCGTCTGACAGCTCCCAATTGTTGAGCCCGATGCCCAGCGATCGTATCTCCAACCACAGGAGGGACCTGGTCTCTGCACCTACTTCCAGGCGCGTAAGCTTAAAACGTACATACACGGACCTGTGCTCTGTCTCTCTCAGGAGCAAGCTGATGGAAACTCTAGCACAACCATACACCTCTTCCACGGATCCTTTTACCTCGCTTGGCTCCTCGACTGCTGGATTGGGATTCCAGACCCCCGTCCTCCATGCGCATAGCAACAAATGGACCCCGGCTTCCCAGGCCGTGTTCAGGACCGAAGCCCAGGCACCATGGACCATTCTAGCTGCTAATGATCTTTCGTGTCTCATCTTTGGTGTTCTCCAGTCCGAAGTCCGCCGTCTCAGCATCCTGGAAGTTGTACAGAAGGAGCACCGGGAATGGCTCGAGGCCAAACTCCGAGATCCAAGCACAGATGCCGCCGCCCGTATGCCACTTCAGCCCGAAAGGGCGAACATATCCGCTGTCAATCCCAAGTTCCGAGGTCTTGGAAATGGTGTGACAGCACAACTTCTTAACAAACCATCTTCACGAGAAAAGTCCCGGAGGGCGCAGACTGATGACGGATATGGCTCCAGCACGAGAAACTCCCGAAACAACAACCACCCAGCCCATAAGTCACGCGGAGTCTTGCTGTGCGGTGATGTTGTCCCGATCCAGAAGCGCAACGGATCACGCGGATCTGCTAGCGTCTGGGTTATGGAGAAACGTGGTGGCCTGATCTGGGTCCTCGAGGAGATCACAGAGGATATTGCCTCCATCCAGTGCGATGATTCATGGAACGTCGCGAGTGCCAAAGGTGAAGTTGAAAAGATCTGGGGCCCGTCTGTCGTTCAAACTGGCCAGCCTATCACCGACCTTCTACCCTGTTTGCCATCGGAATCTCTTGAGACATCCCCGGGGAAGGGATTAGCCAAAATCGTGGAGTTGAAGCACTTTGCCGCCCGTACCGCTGCTGGCGTTTGTATTCCTGTCGCTGTTGGCAAGAGTGACGGAGATCGCACTCTTCAAGTCTCCAGCTTTCCGCATGTCGCAGGCATGATGGTGCTCTCGTCTTCGTCATTGAATGTGATCAGCTCCAACTCTGTGTTCTCTTCGGTCCTATTTGGTCAAGAAAGACCAGAGGGGCTCCACTTCACTGAACTTGTGCCCGATTTCGATGAGATTCTAGACGTGTTAACTGAGGAGGATAATGTGCCACTAGTTGATGGCATTGTCATACCCGAGCACAGCTTCCGACGGGCACGGACACTTTCCATACTCCGCGATGGAAAAGCAAATGCCGCCTCCGTTTTTACAGAGCCAAGTGGCTTGCTTGCCAAGCATCGAGATGGCTCCACCATTGTCGTGGATATTCAACTGCGTGTGGTTAAGAGCGGCACCTTCTTCTCAAAGGAGAAGGCAGAGAGAAGCAGCAGTCGCAACAGCGACTCTGATGACAGTGACGATACGATTGCAGTTACAGAGTTGGTCTATGCTTTGTGGATAACCTATTCGCGACAGCTCCACGCCGCTGGACCCGCTGCCGGTCTTTCGCCGTCATCTGTACCAAGTTCCAAGCCTACCTCGCCCACACATGACCCTGAATCAGACCGCCCGTTAGGTGCCGGCGCCGACACTCAGAGTGCAGAAAATCGCCAGAATTCCGTGGAGATTCACTCCCCGACATCAACACTTAGTCAACAACTCAGTGAGGCCGCTTCTGAGCCTCTTACCACCCGGCCCGTACAGCCCGTTCCTCAAATTTCGAGTGCCAATGCGAAGAACGACCCTCCAGCCAAACGAACGATCAATGACTACGTGATTCTCGAGGAGATGGGACAAGGAGCTTACGGCCAAGTCAAACTGGCACGTCTAAAGAAGCAACCTAGTAAGAAGATGGTACTGAAATTTGTCACAAAGAAGCGAATCCTAGTGGATACGTGGACTCGTGATCGGCGACTGGGTACTGTACCACTAGAGATCCATGTTCTGGATTTCCTGCGACGGGATGGGCTCAAGCACCCTAACATTGTGGAGATGGAAGGCTTCTTTGAAGATGATATCAACTATTACATTGAGATGACTCCTCACGGGCTCCCCGGAATGGACCTGTTTGATTATATCGAACTCAAAGCCAACATGGATGAGTCGGAGTGCCGAAACATCTTCAAACAGGTCGCGAGCGCCGTTAATCATTTACATACCAAAGCACTGGTGGTACATCGTGATATCAAGGATGAGAACGTGGTCCTTGATGGAGAGGGACGGATCAAGTTGATCGACTTTGGGAGTGCGGCCTACATCAAAAACGGGCCGTTTGATGTCTTTGTGGGGACAATTGGTAAGTTTCCTTTGTCTGACCGAGGGGCAAGATGCTGACTGTGTGTGTTAGATTATGCCGCGCCCGAGGTCTTGCAGGGCAGGTCGTATCGAGGCAAGGAACAGGACATCTGGGCTCTGGGCATTCTTCTTTATACCATCGTCTACAAAGAGAATCCATTTTATAACGTCGATGAGATCCTTGACCACCCCCTCCGAATTCCCTTCCTTCCTTTCTCGGAAGATTGCATTGACCTCATTCGCACGATGCTCGATCGCGACGTCGACAACCGACTTACAATTACTGAAGTACTTGAGCACCCCTGGATGGTGGGGGCTTGAAAGCTTTCTCATGCCTTCTCCCTTCGCCTTTTATTGAAAGAAAAAAAACCCAAAAACAACGCGATACCCCACAAAGTTACGTTTTGATGATGGATGCAGAAATTTCCGGGGAAACTGGGTATCATTTCGGGGCGCGTGTCCTTCTAACTTCCCTTAGGGCCACATGATGATTATGAACATCAATGCATTTGTTATCTTTTTTTTTATCTGGGGTTTTGTCTTTTCTTTCCCCTCCTCCCTGGCATTTTTTTGCGATACCTTTGCATATCTGTGACCTAGAGAATCCAAGAGAACAGACTTATATAAAACACACGACTTTGAACTGCGGGGGAATCTCTGGCGGATCTTCGTAGTGCTTGGCAAAACCCAGTCTAGGCTTTGCCCGGGGTATCATGGGGCGAATCTCCCCACTTCACATCTCGAGAAAGGTCCACGGATTGAACCTGTCCAATTTCAGGGAGATTTCCAATGTTGATCGGTCTAAAACTGCCCTGGTACCTTGCACTATCTTGGTGCCTTAGACTAAGATTTTTAAGATTTTGAAAAATTCAAAAACTGATAGGACATCCATGGATGGTAGATTTTCATCCATGGCTATCTTGCTATCATACCATGGGCTCACTCTCTGCCTCCCCGCACATGCCCCACCAGCAGATACCCAAAGAGGCGAAAAAGAAATCAAACGTTTTTCTCAGGAACAACCTTGGAACTCGCCTCGATGTCCCTGGATCGCCTGGTGGGCTGAGCGTGGAATTTGTTTTCAAAGGCGTCGTCAGCCGAGGGCTTTGGTCTCACATCAGACGGTCTGTGCCAGGATACTGTATATACACAATCTCTAGATTTTGTGTCTATCTATGTTGTAGATTTATTTAAATGTAAATAGAAAATAGGACCTATTCACATGTATACAACCTTGGAATGTACTTGCAGGGGAGCGATAAGCAGATAACGTAGAGGGGGGTACCTACTACCGTACTATGTGATTGTACTATTAGATGTATCGCAATCCCCCTCTGCATTCCGCCTTTGCATTCCGCCATTTCTGCTTTCTCTTTGCATATATCTTCCTTTGTCCAAATTTCCCATCTTCTACTCGGCTCACTCGGTTCGCTTCTACGCCAGTCGGCACAGTGCCGTAAAGAGGCCTGTTCCACGGTTCTTTGGCCGTGGGCCCCAAATAGATACAGATGTGATTTTCCCCACCCACATTTGGATTTCCTCTTCTCTCTTCATTCCTCAAAACTGATATCCAAAAGACCGGCCGTCATATAGCACTATGTTTGTCTAAGAGCTTTCGGTGACTGCGCACCCGTCGCTCTATCCGTTTCCGCTGTCCTCCGTCCGTCCTTATCCTCCGCCGTGAACCCTGTGATACTCCGTACCATACCGAACATTCCCCGGAAGACGTGACAAGATAGAAGTGGCCTAGAGAATAGGTGATACATACTGTATCAAGTCATTAACATGGCTTCTCAACTATCCGATGAGATCTCACCCTCTCCGGGGAGTATCTCTCCGAATAGCCCGACCAATTCGGCAGGCCAGATCCCATTAGACCAACCGCCGAAACTCAAGGGTCGTCAGAAATTATTGCAGAGTCTCCAACGAATGTCATCCAGTCCGACCCTGACCAGACGCGGACGATCCTCATCAACAACTAGCTACCGCCGAGACAATAAGGCCTCTCTCTCTTGTGTTTCGTTATCGTCGACTTCATACTCGCCCTGCCTCGGCAACGAAAGCTCCTCCCAGCTCTATGGCGGCCTCAATCCTCGGCCTGCTACTCCCGGATTTTCTGGTTCTACCGGGGAGCCCCACGGTACAAACGCTCGCATCCGTTTGATGGACGTCGATGGCCCTGGTTTCACTACACCTCGCACCGTGCCTTTGCCTTTTGATATGCGGCCAGCATCGCATGGGTCACCCCGCACCGTGACACCGGTGGGATTCAAGGTGGAGGAGGAGGTCATCGCTATAAAATCCCAGCCGACCAAATCTTTTGACTTTTGGGGTGATATGCCACGAGAGATTAAGATAGGGATCCTCCAGTACCTCACCCCGCAAGAAATTGTCCGCTGTTCTGTCGTGTCCAAAGCGTGGAATGAGATGTGCTACGATGGACAACTATGGTCCAAGATTGATGCGACCCAGTACTACTCTAAAATCCCGAGCGATGTTTTGGTCAAGCTTATCACCTCTGGTGGTCCGTTTATCCGGGATCTCAATCTCAGAGGCTGCATTCAGATGCGTGATAAGTGGTCCACGGATGGAGAACGCATCTCGGATCTGTGTCGGAATGTCGTCAACTTTTCGCTCGAGGGTTGTCGTATCGACAGGGCATCCATCTACTCTTTCCTCCTTCGTAATCCTCGCTTGGAATACATCAATCTCTCGGGTCTGTCGAGTGTCACGAACTCGGCGATGAAGGTTATTGCACGGTCTTGTTCGCAACTTGAGACATTGAATGTTTCTTGGTGCAATAATGTTGATACCACCGGCCTTCTTCGGATTGTCCAGTCCTGTGAGCGGCTGAAGGATCTCCGGGCCAGCGAAATCCGCGGGTTCCAGGATGAGAAATTCACTTTGGCTTTGTTCGAGCGTAACACTTTAGATCGCTTGATCATGAGTCGTACCAACCTGACCGATCACAGCCTAAAGGTGCTGATCCACGGCGAGAACCCCGATATGGATATTCTAACCGATCGGCCTATTGTTCCCCCTCGAAGATTCCGTCATTTGGATTTGCACCATTGCGCTGAAGTGAGCGACGATGGGTTCAAAAGCCTGGCTCATAACGTTCCAGATTTGGAGGGCCTGCAAGTTTCTCAGTGCTCGGACCTGACCGATCAATCCGTCATAGACGTCATTCGGACGACCCCCAAACTGTCACATTTGGAACTAGAAGATCTAGAGAACTTGACAAACAGCACCCTGGTGGAGCTGGCTAGATCCCCATGTGCTCAGCACTTGGAACACTTGAACATCAGCTTCTGTGAGAGTCTCAGCGACACAGGAATGCTTCAAGTGATGAAGAGCTGTCCGAAACTCCGATCCGTCGAAATGGACAACACCAGAGTCTCAGATCTCACCCTGATGGAAGCCAGCTTCCGCATTCGCCGCCGCGGGTACAGCGACGATCTCCCTCAAGTCGGGCTGCGACTCATGATATTCGACTGTGCCAACATCACCTGGGCAGGGGTCAGGGAAGTTCTGTCCAGTAATGCATACATCCCACGCGCCTCTCGCAAACCCGTTTCAACTGTTGTGACCGTGACACAAACATCAGACAACGGTTCCTCCCCGGCGACAAGTACCTTCGTCACTCCAGCCTCGTCACCTTCACCATCGCCAGCGCCAACCTATCCCAATGAAATTATCCAGCTCAAATGTTTCTATGGCTGGCAGATGACCGTCGATGAACACACGAAGCGTGTCCTTCGCGGCGATCTCGCTTCTGCATCCCGGCTGGACCGGAAATGGGCCGACTACATGATCGCCACCGAGGAGGCTGGCGCTGCTGGAGCTGGCGCTCGCCGACGTCGACGTCGTGCTCGTGAAGCTGAGCGTCTATACAATGCAGACGAAGATGACAACGATGCTTATGGCGTTGGTGCTATCTCTGCTCTTGGTGGTAGACGCAGGCGAGCCCAGAGCGGTAGCAGCTGTACTGTCATGTGAGATCAATACCTTTTGAATTGTATGGCGTTTTCTTTCATTCTGTGTGTTCTGGGAACACCCGAAGAGCTGAACGCAAGACCCTGCTCGACTCAGCTGGCGCAGGATCGCTAGTATCTCGATGGACTTCCATCTGAAATTGAAGATCATATTCAATGATCGTTTCCAACTTGCTATGACTTACGCACGATATGATTTTCTTTTCCGGGACGAATCACCAATACAGCACAGGTTCTTTCGCGTTTGACTTGTTTTTGGCCCTTTTTATCTCTCTCTTTACATCTTTCTACTACGTATCGTCACATCTACCCCGTCCACTTCCTCATTTTTAGCTCTGGCGCCGAAGTCAAGATTGGGTTTCCCTTTCTGCATCTTCTATGAGCTTTTCATATGTTCACATCTTACGCAATGGAGATGTTAGCTCTAGCATACGTACCTAGAAGGGTTACTGGCGAGATGGCGCTCTTAGTTTTTACTTTATATTCTGTCTTCCCTGGGATTTTCAATTTGAAATCCATGCCGCCTTTCGGCCTACTTTTATGATACTTGACCTCGAATTGAGATTTTCAAGACAAGTGTATAGGTGCAGTTCGATAACATCAACCAGTACTCAAAGCTTCTGTTAGTGGTTTTTCCTGTTACGATTAGCATCAATAGGACGGGGCTTTTGATTAACTTTTTGAGAAAGTGTTCTCGAGTCATGGATATGTGCGCCCAAGTGATCTCTTTAAACCGATTATCTTGCATCTTGTAACAGCCTGTACGACAAGGTTTTCAAAGAAAGCAGCAGTCTTCCTTTCATGGCAAAAAAAGGCCAGTGTTCAGAATATTGCAAGAACAAAGTGCAGTGAACCGCATGTCACTGGCAAGAAAGAAAAAGAAAGCACATCGCGAGAGGAACCACAAACATCAAAGGCACAAGCCCCCAATGCCATGAACACTGGGTTTCCATAAAGTCAAAAGCAATCTCTGGGATATATCACCTCCTGATATCCCATAAAGATCACCTCCTTTCTAATACATTTTCACTTTTTTGGGCTTTTCGATTTCAAACTCTACCCCATCTCACGCAGAAACTTCGTTTGGTACGCGACTCTCGTTGATATCAGTCTGCTTCCTGATATCGGCTTCGTCGGCAGTTGATCAAGATGCAGAGGCCTCGGCAATCTTCGGCGCCACGGACAAGCCACAAGTTGCTGCGGTGCCCAACTCCTCATTACTGAGCTGTTCCGGGACTGTTTGCTCCACCTTAGGCGGCTCGGTGATATGAATACTCTCAGCCGGTGCACCAGTCGCTGTCTGCTCAATGTCAGGCTGTCTAGTCATCGGCTTCACTTGAGTAGCTTGAACAATTGCAATTTCCTGGACGGTGGTCTCGACAAAGGGGGTAGCAGGAGTGCCGGTATGCTCGGGGTCGGCGTTTTCAATGGATTTTTGTGTTTGATCTTTTATAGCCATGCCCAAATCGAGATCAGTGTCCACAATGCTGCTAGAAACAACAGGTTGTTTCTCCTCGATGTCCGAGGCCGCAGTTTCAGGCTCTTTGGTGCTCTTCTCGGTAGCCTGTTCCCTAGGATCTTCAGTGACGCCTTCCGTGGCGGTTTCCGTGGCCTCTTTCGGTATCTCTTTTGAGGTCTCTTCTGTGGCCTCTTCCACGTCTTTCGCTGGTCCTTGCTCTTGGTCCTGCGTTGGAGCCTTCGCTGGGCAGTCAATGCTCATATCCACGCCCAGGTTAGACTCAGATTTGGTCACAGCGGGCTGGTTGCTACTGCTAGCAGCTTCACCGCTCGTTCCAGCGGGATCTTTAGCCTCAATCTCACTATATGGGTCTGCTTTGCCATCTGACTCTTCATCCTCGTCCATCATCTGGTTGGCGTATGGTCTATCGAGATAGGAATAGTCGATATCTTTGATACCATGTCTGGCAAAGAACTCCTTTGGCATGACAGTTGGCTTCACGCCATCCTGCATGGGTCCACAACGGACGTTGTAGCCCCAGGCTTTCCACAGCGGGCAGATCTCAATCTCATTAGTGTCTGGATTTGGAACAACTGCGCAGAAATGGTGCTCATCAGCCACAAAATCGCGAGCCCAGATTCTACCCCTGTACTTTGGATCTTTCTCGGTACCGTGTGGCTTGTGCAGTATCAGTTGACGATTGATAGTATGAGGCAGATTCACGGCAGAGTCAGGTGCAATGACCGCCCCAATGGACCAGATCGGGTTCGCTTGCATGATATCTCTGGTTTTGTCACAGAGCAACCAGCCAACGCAGTCGACATTTGCGCGTCCACAGAGGATGTAATAACCTTTGTATACCGGGAAGAAGGGTAGGCCATGAGCCCAGATGGTTGGAGCGGGTCCTGAAGACACGCGGTGAGGATTGATGTTGCCCATGGTATCGAAGTCATATGGATATCGTCGTCCCCTTTCGCGGGAGTCAACAAACTTGGTCACTAGATAAACTAGCTCATCTGATAGTCGGGTGTTTGACGGGGGAAGGTTGGCTGGCCGGTTTCTTCATTGAATTGAATATCCAAGACTAGTTCGAGCTGAGCCTTTTCTTCCTCCGTGCTGGGGGGACTTGCTTGGCCATTTTCGGGTGTCCAAACAACATCAGGGTTTGTCTTCAGGTGATCTGCGAGGAGTCTGGTGCAGCGATCTCGAAGACGCTCCTGCTGCTTGATGAAGCCTGCTCCTTCTGAAGGGCTGCAAGCCATTCTGGCATCTTTGGCTTTAGGTCCAGGCATCTTTGGTTCAGACATCTTTCTGTACCTGGTTTGAGACCCTGTAGAATTGATTTGGGAATCTGTTCTCGGTTAGTTAAGGGTTCAAATGACTGGATGTATATTTGGTTGATCGAAATGATATCAAGACAGAAGGTGACTCATGGTTTTCCAATTGATCAATGAGAGCTCAATTGAGTCAATGTCTGACTGAACATCAGTGATAAGGGCAAGAATATACATGCTCTTGAAGAAGAGAAGGTAGTTGCGGAAATTTGACCTGTTGTAGAAGTTCGACGTATGAAGAAGTCTAGGTCATAGCATAGGAGTCAACAGAAATAAACGCAATTTGCAGTAAGATAGAGTAAACGAAGAGAGTCTGAGCATAACATCAGAATGGAGATTGAAGTAAAATGGTGATCGACGATTCAGCAAGATACCTTACCTGTTCACCAACTTGCGAAAAGAGAGAGGTACAAACTAAAGCAGATATGTAGATCTTAGATATCTGTTGAAATGACGCGGGACCACTGGATATGTGAGGTGATACAGAGCGGAGATGGAATGAAGTCATATATGAGCGAAGAAGGTGCAGGTGCTGATCGGTTATTCGCAGCATGTAAAGTTAGGTAGCAAATGTGGAATAAAATATCTGAAGAATTGACTTTAAAGCTAGATCAATACGATGAGAGCTATGGTAAGGAAGAGCGGGAGTTGTAATATAAACGTTCGGAAGTAGGGTTTGTAGCAGGGGAAAGGATCAATGGGGTAGATTGATACATATAGAGTGAAGTGAAAGTAAACAATATGTAGCGAAGTCATACCACTTGACACACTACCATGCTTACTGACTGAGAGATTTCTAGGGAGATCAACGTTTCATGGAGCCATTGTAACTTCATTGAACAGCCGTTCATATATGCGACAGTGTCTTCCCTATATAGCGAAATTGTTTTGTTCAACCCAACAACCCGAATAAGCCATGGCATCAGGGCATAGAAATACACTGAAGGCATTGAGTCATGTAAGTGGAGAATTCGGTCATTATTTGGTGAAGTTGCTTGGATAATAGGGTGCCAGTTGGCGGTATTGCAGTGGTATGTGTAGAATGCTAGTGTGGATATCAAGACAAAATAAGACATAAACCATCAAACTTGTGGATTGATTACTCAAAGAAACCACCATCGCTATCATCTTGGTCCTCCGCATTGGCTTGTTTTGGTGCCTCGTCTTTCTTGGAGGCACGCTCACTGCGTGCAGACTTCTTCTTGGTGCTATTCTTGTCATCTTTGGAAACATGCTTGTCCTTTTGGCTGACAGCCTTGGTCTCTTTGTGTTGCTCTTTCTTCTTGCTCTTTTCCTTTTGGGTATCTGTAGCTGTAGTTGTACCAGATGACGAATTTCGAATCTTCTCTCCATTGGCATTGATGTGCAACTTTCCATTACGAAGAAGGTCCAATGTCCCTTCTTCCATACACTTCTCAACAACAGGCCACAACGGGGGCTTGGAGTCGCTGGACTTGTTTTCCTCTGTTTGCAATTCTGACTTTGGATCCGTTGCATCAGGTTTCCCATTGGGGTAGATTGAAATATATTTCTCAGTGAGAGGATAGTAGATCGCATAGTTGAGGTTCACCTGGCAGGTGTGGATTTTTGCTGCAAGACGAGCCTTTTGCTCCGAATCAAGATCTTTGTCCTTCTCCCGGCGGGTGAGTCGGTTGAGTTCCTTGGTGGCCGTTTTGCGGTCTATTGAAAGACAAAGGGCATTAGCGAGAACCTAGGTCCATTCAGAGTTACGGAACACTTACCAAGGAATCGGACAAAGTGATATTTCTTGATCAATGATGACCGCTCTCTGCGTGTTGTTTCATCTGCGAGGTCTTGCTCATATCCAGCGAGCGCCCGCTCCTGCAAGATGCGAGCATCGGCAGACAGATCCACTTTGTTGAGTAGCCGTTTTACATCGCGAATTCGCTTTTTGAGATCGTTGATCGATGGGTATTCCTTTTCGGGTTTGGGGGCAAATTTGTCCTTGAACTTGCGGGTCACTTTAGGCTTCGATGCATCGCCTTTGCTGTCGAAGTCCACGAATTGACCGTGGTCATATGCTTTGTCTGCCTTGCGGTGCACCTTTTTGCGGGCCGGGGGAGCGTCCTCTGATCCATCCCGGGTCTTCCTCTTTGAGGGAGCTGCCCGATCGCGGTCACTTCGTGTGTCTGTAGACATGATCGTTGGTTTTATCAAAAAAAAAAAGAAAAGGAACAAAAGAGGCCGAAGCTACAAAAACGATAAGAAAAAAAAGATATCGGCGGATTTATCGGCCCGTCCCCAGATTGACGCCAACCAATGAGCGTCATTCTTGACCACCATCACGACGGCCCTCTCAGGTCGCATTGATTTGATTTACTCCAATTCCCCACTTGAATTTGTGTATCTGGCAATCTGGATCTACTCATGTCATTGATTCAATTATTGAACTGAGCTTAGTAAAAGGGCCAGCATGGAGTCCGCCATTCGCTGGTCCCCGACCTCGTCGGCCACTGAACAACGCTTCCTGTCCGTCGACGTCACGGGGAAATCGTTTCGTCTGTGTAGAGTGACTGGGTTTGACGGCAAGAATCTACGCCATGAAGTTCTCTCAACCCTGACCAATGTGCCTGGGTTTCGTGCATTCGACTGGTCTACTTCAAATGAGAACCTGATCGCCGTGGGTCAGTCATCTGGGGAGGCCACCATCCTACGCCTCGATGGGGATGCCAAGGAGTCTCTTTCATTTCCAGTTCGCAACCAGCGGTACTGCAATGCAGTCGCGTTTAGCACACACGGTCTCGTGGCATCGGGTCTCGATCGTGTTCGGAATGACTTTTGCTTGAACATCTGGGATGTCAACCAACGACTCAGCCCTGCTGGTGGAAGTAAAGGATTTACTGAGCCCTTGCGAAAGCTCGCCAGCTCAGAGCCGATCACTAGTATCAAGTTCTTCCGAGACCAGCCTGATACGATCGTAACTGGTGTCAAAGGCCAATTTGTTCGGATCTATGATCTAAGAGGTTTGACTTTCCTGGCATTGGATCCACAAAAGCAGAGCTGATTTTACCTTAGAGGGACCTGGCAACCCATCAATACAATTTCCCACTCGGTGTGTCCATAACCTGGCTATTGATTGGCTTGATGAGAATTATGTCGCGTCTTGCCTTCCATCAAATGAAAGCACCATCTGCGTGTGGGACCGTCGCGTTGGGTCTCGACTGACATCTCCATCAATGGCCTCTGCTACCGGAGCGGCAGAATCAGGTCAAGCGACGCCTGCTTTGGAACTCAAGAATGTATTCCATCCCAAGTCCTCCATTTGGAGCTTGCGCTTCTCAAGGACAAACCGAGGCAGTCTCGCTGCGCTGTCCAGCAGCGGTCATTTCAAAAATTATGACATTGCCAAGGACTATTTGCCGGAGGAGTATCGCTCTTCGATAGATGAGACTCTTGGCCAGGGTTCTTCCAGAAATTATCCAGAATCGGTGTACACCAAGCACGTACGGGATGTATGCGTGCCATTTGATAATCCGACTCGTGGCTACAAAGAGAAAGACCGCGTTGTTTCATTCGATTCCCTGAATCTCAGCTTGTCTCCTCAACCAAGTGCTATCACACTGGACGGCAATGGACAGCCCCAGATCATCACCGCGCGAGCCCCGTGCGCACCAATTGATCTATCTTCACGGAGTGTATTGGCCTGTGGTATCTCGTCGAGTGACTCAGATGTGCGATCGATTCACCCACTTTCTGAGCATATTTCGCCCATCTCAGACCTGATCGGGAACATTAGGTCACGCGTCTGCTCAACTTCGCAAGAGCATGGGGTAAACTCTAATGGTCAGCTTTTTGTATCAAAGAATGTTGATTCCGAACCTGTCCCAAGCCACGAGAACCGGGAACGCGCCATGGCTCTCGGTGTGATGGGTGTTCCTCTTACTGTTAAAGAAGCGCTCACCCTATGCACGATCAACCAGTCCCGGTGTAAAGAGGGCTATTTGTTTGATGAGGTTCAAAACAGAAAGGTGGCCTCTGATGATCAAGCATTGCAGGATCTCTGGAGCTGGATTGAACGTGGGTTTTTTTTCCCCTTGAGGTCCCAAATCACATCTAATGAAGTTTTTAGGTGCTCGAACTGAGTCTTCTGGGACGTCAATGGTTGTCAATGGCTTGGACCTGAATTATCTAGGTGTGAGCAATATCTGGAATGATGACCTAGGTTTGTTTGTTCCCTCGTTTTCAAATATCCATCAAAACTGACTTTAAACAGGCAATGGTTTTGAACAACGTTGTATCAACGCTAAGAGGACCGATGCTAAATCAGCTGCGGATGCAGTGGCAACTTTGGCAAACCAGTTGAACCTCCCCGAGACAAAGGGTTGCGACACGGCTTATCCTGATCATCGTCGACTTTGTCTTCGTCTCTGTGGGGCAACGCAATCTTACCGTGAGCTGGAGGAGTCAGTGAAAACTTTATCTAGTGAAGGGCAGCATACTAAAGCTGCTGCACTGGCTGTCTTTCAAGATGAGCCTAAGCTGGCTTATGTTGGGCTCCGAAGCAACAATCCCACGCAAGCTCATAAACTACTGGCTATGGCGATCGCTGGTGCCTCCAAGGGAGACAATGACATAGAGTGGGAGGAAACCTGTGCCGAAATTGCGAAAGAGCTCACCGATCCATACGCTCGGGCGATTCTAGCCCTTGTGAGCAAAGGCGACTGGAATGCAGTCATCAAGGAAACCACACTACCGCTGAAGTATCGCGTAGAGGTTGCGCTACGCTGGCTCCCAGATGACGAACTAACTGAGTATCTGAAGGATGCTACGAGCCAAGCAATTCGTCAAGGCAATATTGAAGGAGTCGTGCTCACAGGCTTGGGTCATTTGGCCATGGGTCTGTTCCAATCGTATATTGGGAAATTCAATGATGTCCAAACTCCCGTACTAGCAATGAGCCACACTGTGCCGCGATTTATCAACACCCAAAAACACATTGTCCAGTTTGAGGCCTGGCGCGAGACCTACCGGCGGCAAATGAACTCATGGAAACTCCAACTCGAACGAGCCAGATTCGATGTCAGCTCTCGTCGTTTTGCCGTGACTGCGGATGGTCGCAAACTTGTGCCGCCACCACCGCAGCAAGTCAGCCTCACCTGCAACTACTGCACAAATCCGCTCACTCAGCACGATGCTTCCTCCCAGCTCTCTCCGTCTACTAAGAGTAATGAGACTGTCCATCCCACCACCGGGAACCCACTGGCGGCCCCGATTATGTCTGGGACTTTGTGTCCGCGTTGTGGTCGACATATGCCGCGCTGCGGCGTCTGCACCCTGTGGTTAGGCTCACCAGACCCGATGTCACGCGCCAGTATTGCTGCCGATGCCGAGGCAGGTTCTCGTAAGCCCACTGAGACTGAGGTGATGCGGCGATTTGTGGTGTTTTGTATCCATTGCAATCATGGATTCCATGCAAATCATGCCCGCGACTGGTTCAAACGGCATAAGGTCTGTCCTGTGGCAGAGTGTAACTGCATCTGCGATCGGTAATAGTATTGTTTTGCGTTACCCCTTCCGAGCCGTGGACTAGATTCATAGCCTGTCTTTCTACAATATTCTATACCCAATTGAGTCGATTTATGTGAGGATGAACAAAGAAGATTTTGAATCTTTTGACCTTGCGCAGGTTCCTAATTTTGCTGCTCTTATATGTAGCTGTGAGTCATTGTTCATTAAATCTGTATGTTGTAGAGCCGCATCAGCTCTAAGCTTATAATTGCCCCACCAAAATATAATTTCCACAACTCCAATCAGCTTCACATTTTGCTCCACCTTGATACGTTACTATGCCTGACCCAAAAGACAAGGAGAAGCGGAGACGTGGACATGGTCAAGGACAAAGTCGTGATGTCCAAGTCTCCAAAGCATTAAGCCTGCTTCTGCGACATGCCGCGGAGAAGGAAGGGCTCAAGATGAACGCGCAGGGTTATGCGAGCGTGCCAGACGTGGTATGCCGGTTTCTTGTTCTCAATAGCCTACAATATACTGACTATGCTTAGTTAAATTGGAGGAAACTCAAATCGCTAAAAGTCACGTTCCCTGAGATTCTGCACGCCGTCGACTCGTCCGATAAAAAGCGCTTCGCTCTCCTTCACATTCCATCCGCACAACCCACCAAATCCACAACACAAGCAACAACAATACCAGTGTCAACCCCCGATGCAGAGCATGATGCCAGCACCATCGTAGGTGGAGAACAACCCGCGACATCGGTCCTGGAGTCCGCGCCCGCCACGAGCGAAGCCCAACAAACAGCCACGGACCAAGCACTATCCGTAAAAGACACCGACCCGTCAAACTTTTTAATTCGCGCGACACAAGGCCACAGTATCAAGACTGTAGATGCTGCATCCTTCCTCGAGCCGCTTTCTCTGTCCGACGAATCGAAATTACCCAATACCGTCGTCCACGGCACATTCCACGCAACCTGGCCTGCGATTCTACAATCCGGTGGGCTACGCTGCATGGGTCGGAATCACATTCACTTTGCTACTGGCCCATCATTAGAATCAGTTCTTGCTATTCACACTGATGACGCTGCGCGGGATAAATCGACGCAAGACGACCCCGGTGTTATCTCGGGCATGCGGCGCGATGCGCAGGTTTTGATTTATATTGATATACGCAAAGCGCTGAAAGCAGGGGTGCCGTTCTGGCGTAGTGAGAACGGGGTTATTCTGAGTGAGGGCATACCTGTTGCGAAGAGTGGACCTGCTGAGAAGGGCGAGGAGCAGAAGTTCGTCTCGCTGGAGTTTTTCGATGTAGTAGTGGAGCGCAAGGCTGGGCTGGGTAAACTCTGGGAGCATGGGGAGGTTCTACAAGAACTTCCAGAGCATTTCACGAAGAAAGGGAACCCTAAGGCCCGGCGATGAGTGGTAAGATTGGTGAATGAAAATGTGGGCTCCGACTGTACGGATTATCACATCGAGCTGGGCTTTCTGCTGTTCAATTCGACCCAGACAGAAAATACAACTCGCCTTCCAATGATCTACATATTCAAGTATGGAATCAGTTCAGCTTGAGTTGCCCACTTCGGACTTAACCCTAGGTAGTCCCGGAGCCTCCAGTGCAGAGCTACAGGGCTGGGGTAATATAGTCCTACCGAGCTGGAGTGCCCTAGAATATATTCAACATGCTATGTAACTATAGCACTCATCTAGGCCCTTCAAGCTAGAATGTAATAAGGCGTTGACACATCGGATGCTGTTGGGAGTATAACTCTCTATAACCTATCTAAATCACTTATCTAGTATAGGAAGTCCTGCCTATACTAGAATCTCACTGAGCTCAGGGATCATTTGACCAATATCCAATCCAAGCAAACGATCCTGCAATATTGCATGTACAGACATATATGCATAGCAAAGCTGCCAAGCTCTATCCGACTGCGGGGAAATCGGAAGCGCAACGTCTTCCGATCTGTCACTTCTACATCCGACGCCAAATACAATGTCATTGGGGTTTGCGGGGTTGGATAGCCGCTTTGAATATGGATCCAGGACTGTAAATCCGTTCGGATCTATATAGATAATCATGCTTTTAAGCCGTATGATCTGCTCTCAAAACGCTCTCAACTTTCTGTATGTTCTGACTCGCACTCGTACATATCGCATAAGTAATTACGCAAAATGACGGCGACGCACCGTTTTAATCCCACCTTCACGGACAATGTCATCGACGCGATGGGTCCCAAGACCACCCCGCGCATGCGGAAGCTCATGGCGGGCCTGATCAGGCACATGCACGACTATGCGCGCGAGGAGGAGCTAACTGTCGACGAATGGATGGCCGGCGTGCAAATGCTCAATTGGGCAGGTCGGATGAGCGATGATAAGCGAAATGAGGGACAACTGGTGTGCGATGTACTGGGACTGGAATCGTAAGCCGAGCTCTTGTTCTCAGATTGGTATTCCGCAGCTCACGCACTACCGTTGCACAACAGTCTCGTCGACGAAATCACCTTCACTCTCGCTGAAGAAGCACAGGATGCGCCTACAGCCACAGCCATTCTGGGCCCGTTCTTCCGCGCTGACACCCCGTATCGCGAGAACGGCGAGGACATCGTCAAGACCAAACCAGCTGATGCCGAGATGACCTTCATGCACGGTCGTGTCATGGATTTCCAGACCAAGCAGCCTCTTGTCGGTGCAACGGTCGAGGTGTGGCAGGCATCCACCAACGGGTTGTACGAGCAGCAGGATCCCGAGCAGGCCGAGTTCAACCTGCGCGGCAAGTTTAAGACGGATGAGGAGGGCAGATACTCATTTTACTGCCTGCGTCCGACTCCTTACCCCGTTCCTAACGACGGCCCTGCCGGCAAGCTTCTCGAGCTAATGGATCGCCACCCTTTCCGCCCTGCTCACATTCACATTATTGTAGGCTTTAGCTTGGTATTATCAATGTCGGGATGAGGAAGCTAATATCTTACCTAGGCTACTTATGATAACTACCGGCCTTTGACTACGCAGATCTTTGACCGCAAGGATAAGTACCTTGACAACGACTCGGTGTTTGCTGTCAAGGACTCGCTTGTTGTGGACTTCGTGCCACGCGAGAATGATCCCCAGGCTGCCATTGAGCTCAATTACGATGTCAAGTTGGTGAAGTTCGGGGCCAGTACCAATGGCGCATGAGCGAGCATCGACACTGTAGTACCATTTATTTGATTTTATTTTCCTTGGTGTATTTAACGATAGCGGCATTGCACATAAAAAGCATACCCAATACTATTTTCACTGGCATTATCATCATTCCGTTCTAGAGGTTCTTTCAAGCATTCGCAACATTCGCGAACTTAGCAATTAGCGCACCGACCTCATCAGCAGCCTCAATACAATGCCAATGCCCGACCCCCTTCAATACCTCGAAAGACTTTTCCTTGCTCGAGACATGATTAAAGATATGCTGACATCCCTCCATAGAGGCAGACTTGTCTTCCTCACCCGCAATAAGCAGGAAAGGCGCCTTGACAGCAGCATAATCCGCCGGCTTCGCGGTCGCAATAGCACGGCACAGCGCGGCATAGCCCTTGGGATCCTGGCCCAGGATTAACTCCCGGATGAAAGCCTTTTGAAGCGGGGTGCTGCAAGAGCCGACAGCTCCAAAGGGGATGGTATCTGCCATTGATTCGATCCCAGCTACCAACAGATTAGCTCATTCGTATGAAGATCCGAAATAGCAGATAGGTTGGAATGGGAGAAGCTTACATTCGAGAACAGTTTCCGATCTCTTATTCATGACCTTCACCAAGGTATCCGACGGATGGGTGGGCCCAATGGCCACAACGCCCTGTATGCGATTGGGATACCGCGCGCCCAGCTCTGTCACCACGAGCCCGCCCATTGAATGGCCGACTACAACGGCTTTATGGACTCGCAGCGTATCTAGCATGCCGATGACATCCTCTGCGATGCCGGGGATTGTGACTGTGTCATTGGTGTACGGCGAGCGTGCAGCACCGTATGTGTCAATTGTAATGCAACGGTGGAGTTGTGTGAGGTGCGGGATTACTGGATAGTAGTAATTTTGCGAAGAGCCCAGGCCGTGGATGAAAATGAAGGTCAGGCCGGTAGGGGTCGGAGGGCCGGCGGGGTGGGAGTCAGCATAGTAGAGACGGTGGCTATTTGCTTGAACGAACGGCATTTTTGCCTGAGGTGAATTGATTTGAGACGACGAAGTACAAGAGATGACGAGTAATGAGGGATAGAGGAGCGGGCAGCCCTGGAGATCTATACAAATGATAAGTCTAACGTCATTCCCGATAATATTCTACAATAATATTACTGATGTACACAATGTTCTAAAGGACCACTTCTCTTCATTCTTTCGGAACGATCCAACTCTACGCTTCTACTCCATAAAAGATATTTGAGTCTCCCGAACCGAAAGAGTTTCCTGCATCCGAACTGGGATATCCGACTGTCGGTTCGGACCCGATCCATCGCCAAGACCTCCAATTGGACCAGGACAATGTACGATGTACATCATACTTCAAAGCAAAACCTGCGATAGAATACTGCTAAGGCGATGGAACCAGTCCAGATGAAATTATTGAGAGGGTATTTTATTTAGTTCGTCAAAAGGGTCGCCGTTTCCGTGTGCAAATGCTTCTTCAATCCAATCCGCGGTCTCGTCTCGAAAAGAATCTCCAAAAGAAGACGCCAATGTGGGTCTCCTACACGGTCGATCGGGTAATGGAGGTTGTAAAAGGGAGGTATCCTTGGGTGAAGACTGGTCTCTCGCTGGATGACTACTCGTTTGTGTGATGATAGCCGCTTCGGCTTCAAGGAAATCAGCGGGGTCGTACAGGAAGGATTCCCCGAAAGATGATTCTAGCGTGAGCACAGCCCGGGGAGGTTGTAGATAGGATGATTCTTTGGGTATAGGGGGGTTCTTCGTTTCTTCGTCAGTTGCTCGCGTGGTAGCAGCCATTTCGGCTTTTTTCATAACCTCTTCGTCGTCGAACGCCGAGCAGTCCGAGAACTCATCCTCATCCTTGAATGAAGCCCGAGTAGCATTTTCAATATCGTGACCTTCAGGCTCTTTCTGAACGCCTTCGTCTTGAAGCTCAGATCGGTCGTTTTCCAATGCCTCATCTATGTCGTCAAAGGCATCCGATGCAGCTTCCGTATCTCCACCAACGCTCCCCGAATCGTTATCATGGGATTCGATCTCTGTAGCTGTAGGCGCAGGCTCTGGCGCAGCGGGTGACTTTCGCTTCCCAGGTTCTAGGAACATTGAGAGCAACGGCTGACTCGACGGGACGCGGGCTGCATGGGGATCCGGGATGCCGCGACGTTTCCGCTCCTCACGGGCCTGCGCCTCCTGCTCGGCTTTCCGTTTCTTGTTGGCAATGCGTTTCTTTTCCTTCTCGCGTAGCTTCTTCGCTTTCTTTTCTCGCTCCTCCTCGCGATCTAGCCGCGCAATCTGGGATGCAGTGAACTGAAATCGTTGGTTGCTGCGCTGGTACCGGCGTTTAACGGTCTTGGATTTCTCCAAGATGATGCGACGCGGCTCATCCGGCATAATGGGGGCGACGATGGCAGCGACTGCCTGCCTTTTGTGCGATCATGAGGATGGAGAGCTGTGACGAGTTGTACCAGGAAATTTTGGAAGTGTCAATGTTGTTTTTGGTTGGCGGTGATACGTTGCGCCGACCGCGGAAGGTCAACAATTTACCAAATTGGGGTGACTCTTCCAACAGTCCATTCCAATGTTATTGGTCTCTATTCAGTATATGTTTGGATGCTTGGAATTTAATTCCCTATTTGAATTCAAACGCTAAGTGTTTACTAGTTTAATGACGTCATTCAGATCTTGCAGTCACGGACGGGATCCCAGCACACGGGCTCGTACGTGTTGAGCTTCAGGCTAGCCATGTCCTCATCCGACAGTGTGAAGTCGAAGACCTGCGAGTTCTCTAGAATTCGAGACTCAGTCACAGACTTGGGCAGGGGCACATATCCCTAATAGAACCGAGGTTAATCATCCACTGTCGGGCACACGAAGAGAGTCATGTACACGTACCTTCTGCAAACTCCAGCGGATCAAAATCTGAGCCTCGGTCTTGCCGTGCTTCTTAGCCAGGTTCTGTAGAACCGGCTCCTTCATGCGAGTCGCTTGCACGAGGGGAGAGTATGCTTCGACAACGATGTTGCGCTTCTGCAGCCACTCTGCAATATCGTCGCGCGGGCACCACGGGTGGATTTCGTACTGGCCGACAGTGATTTGTCCACCTGCTCCGCTCTTGATGTACTCCTCCAGCTCCTCGAGGTGCTGGATAGAAAAGTTGGACACACCTAACGAGCGGATATGGCCAGCCTTTTGGGCCTCCACAAGTGCGCGCCATGTGCCCAGGCGGTCCTCCTTACCCCCATAGGGTGCGTGAATCAACATACTGATAGCCGCAGTGTTAGTTTGCTCTGCTCTTTTTTGTTTTTCCCGGGACCAAGGAGGTACATACAGGTCAATGTAGCCAAGGTTGGCTGCGGCGATGCTTTCCTCGATCGCCTTCTTTGCCTTCTCGTATCCCATGCATCTTGAAGGCACCTTGCTGGTATAGAAGATCTTAGAACGATCAAGTCCAGACCCGCGGATAGCAGCGGCACTTTCCAATTCATTTCCGTACACCTTGGCGCTATCGACCTGTGATAGGATGGTCAAACCTGGGAACAATTGCTGCCTGGGTTGTATAGTTACTTACATGGCGGTATCCCACCTCAATGGCCAGGCGGGTCACTTTCTCGGTGACATCGGAGGGACTGGTCAAGACTAAGTCAACATAATCGGTCACGGGGGGTTTGGATGATGGTCATACGTTTGGTAAACCTAATTCCCATAAGGGTCAGTTATACATATCACAACTCCAAGGGCCAATATACTCACTCCGAATCCAACGACGGGAATCTCGTAGCCCGAGACCAACTTGTAGGTAGACTGCAGCGAAAGGGGGGCCATGATGAATGTTTTGATGGTTGAAAGAAGAATGGGGGTGGGCTACCTTAATAGATAAAAGTTCCGACATCCACGGATCCCCTCGGTTCTGTTATTTCCACCCGCTTCTTGGGGCTTGACGCCATCTAAGTGGGGATTAGACGGTATCGGGGACTAGATGTAGCTTATCAATGGCTGATCAACGCAACGTGGGGCATCTACCTATGAGTAACTTGACCGGGTTTCGGAACTCAGAATATCAGATTGAACATTTCCTCGGATCATTGCCCCAATCTGATCTGATTAGGGCTGAGTGTTACGAGACATGGCCTATATGGCGCCCCTGGTCGAGTGGAGCGGGTGACGTTCATCCTCGACATTTGTCGGGTTTGGAAGTTTAGAATTCATCAACCTCATATTCTTTAATGACCTATCGAAGACTGAAATGACACTGCTAGAATAACGGCATCAGTACAGAGCAAAGCGCGTGATGGATATCCTTGCAAAACGTCAGGCGGTAATGAATGGCAGATTCTGTACTCTGTGGTGGGGTTGAGTTTGGCAAGTTCCAACACACTCAATATGCTCTCATATTAGATTGATTTGCTCGAATTGCCCTTTTTAAAGGAGTGTTCAAAAGCTCTCCGGGGTCTGATCCATTTTGATACCCCCTTTTATTTCCCCTAATTTGCGTATCTTTGTGTCGACATATGACGACATCGCAATAACAATATCCAACCCGCCTTCGTCGCATTTTACCTTCCCACCCCCTCTACCCATAACCATACAAAATCACCGCCGGAATGCGTTGCATCAAGAACAAAATTGAGCACGATGGCTCTGGGGCGGTGACATTATGTCCTGTCGAGCCAGAAGACATGGTATTTAAGCCCTCACTTTCCGTCTCAGCGCCTGGCAGTCGTCTAATATAGTATGCGACGACTTTAGTGGCACGCATACAACCTGATCCGACCAGGCGATCTCCTTCGGGCCAGTGCAATTCGTCGAGTTACCACAGTTCAGGATACCGGGTCCACAAGCTCCGCGCGCGTCCATCTTAACCTCCTGATCCGCGTGAAGAATCTCGACTTTGATCCGCAGAGCTCTCAGCTCCATGTATCAGGACAAATTACCAACGAAACACCACATACAAAAATCGGACAGTTCCATACCCTCGATCTAGAGTTGAATCGCAATTTTACTCTAGAGAAAGAGGTCGGAGCAGATGGTGAAGGTGTCGGATGGGACAGTATTGCCATCGAGTCACTCAAGGACGCTGTGGATGAAGGCGGTAAACGCCGTGCAGAGGCTGTCGCAGTAGTGATGCAAGAAGGACTGGCTCATATTTGTTTTATTGGCCAATTCCAGACAATATTGAAGCAAAAGATCGAGATGTCTGTGCCGCGGAAACGGCAGGGAGGAGGAGATCACGATAAAGTGAGTATATGCTGTTGTTTTACTGTGTCTATTGACAGAGCTTCAAACTTACGCTGCACACTCCCAGGGAATGAATAAGTTTTTCAAAGTAACACTCGAAACACTCCTTCGACAAATGGAGTTCAATACCAGTCTTACTTCTGGTGCCAACAACGAAGCTGTACGGCCCGTGCTTCTCGCCTCACCCGGGTTTGTCGCCTCTGGTTTCCAAAAATACATCCAATCAGAGGCATCAACAACGACTCCCGGACTCAAGCGACTTCTTCCCAGTCTCGTGGTTGTGCACTCCGCATCAGGGTACACAAATTCACTATCAGAAGTCCTGCAGTCGCCCGCAGTCAAGACCATCCTGGCTGATACCAAGTATGCCCGTGAGACCAAATTGATGGACCACTTCCAAGAGCAACTACGCAAGGAGACCAACAAAGCAACATATGGTCCTCGTGAGGTTGAGTATGCTGTTGAACAAGGTGCTGTTGGCCGAGGTGGCGGCGTACTTATTGTTTCGAATCGCCTGTTTCGATCACAGGATGTCGCTGAGCGTAAACGCTGGGTGGGGCTTGTGGACCGCGTCCGCGATGTTGAAGGTGGTGAAGTGCGAATTCTCAGCTCCGATCATGAAAGTGGAAAACGTCTCGAGGGGCTGGGTGGCATCGCTGCGCTTTTGACATTCCCAGTCGTTGAGCTGGACTTTGACTCTGATGTAGAATAAACCGGCAATCCCCCTGCCGTTGAAAATAGACATCTATAACACATAGCATAATCAGAATATGCAACAGTCCAATCTTGTACACGGCAGGTCGTTTTTACCTCCTGTAATCTATATGTTGGAATTCAGTTTTCTTACCCTTCTAGCTTGAGCGCTCATAAGGGAAGCAATATCTATGGAACAAATCACAGGACTCGAAAAGACAGCGCGAGGCCGCCATCAATGGCGTCCTATTTGGTCAATTATCCATGTTGTCTCTTCAATCGCTTATGGAAACAATGCACTAAGAGCGCTCATTTGCTTCTGTGATAGTGTTTTGGGATACCAGGATTCTTGGGGACTACCTATCAACCTTCGAGGGAAGGTGGTATCTATAGCCATCTCAAATAGAATTCCTTAAGACTCGGCAAGTGCAAAGCGATGTCACCTGTTCCAGCAAATGATGCGCTTGGTGTATTCAATTGTCTTCGAAGAACCGCATGAGCAATGGTTGACTGTTGGGCTATACGCTCATGGTTCACTTCGCATGTAACATTCAATTTGTGCATTTCCTTCTCTCTTGTTCACCCTCCAATAATCTGCTCCGATCTTCCGGGTTCTATTTTGATGGCCAAGCTCTTATAATTTGAATCACGAGTATGAGTATGGACGGTTTCATAACAAGCGAATTTAGTGTAAGTGTAGGTTTTTTGCGGCAACGGCTTGGGCCACCTTATTGAGGGGAGATGCGAAAGACGGACTCGAATGACAGACTCGAAGATACAGGCCGATCTGATCAAAGGTCTTCATGTGCTCTTGGCCTAGGATTGGAATCTGCGGGTCCAAGCAGTCACAATTAGCTTTCAATATTTTGCATACACCCCTTGAGACGATCAGAGGGATTTGCCTTCGAGAGAGCTATACCTAGGTAGATCATGCAAAGCAAACTGAGGCACAGTACCTCTACCAATTGCCAGACCCTTCGACCGTTCCTTCCCTGTGTCTGCTCATGAGGTAATTGAAATTCTCTTTCTGGAAGTCACCATGTCCCCACCTGGGAGTATAAACCCCCCCCTCCCCCTTCTTTTTTCTCCTCCTTCTCGCTTCTTCTTCTTTTCTTTTCTTTTTTCTGTTCGACGTGTTGCTTCATTTTATACAGGAAGCCCCCGATCCTGGAATATATTTTCAAACACGGTTCAGCCGTGTTGTTCATTGCGCCATTCAGTCCACGTTCCGTGCATTTAGACAATCCATCAAAAGAACTGATTTAGCGTCTTCGAAATATCCATAGGCCCCCTCTCTTTCATGACTGCTCGCTTGGTAGGACGATCTCCCATTTCAGGTGGTTCATTGCGCTTATTCTCCCTTCCACGTTTTTGCTTTTCATTCTCAAGCTTCTGTTTTACAGGATCTCGAGTAAATAATACAATTGACTTGGAATTATAGCGAGAACGAATAACAACCCTGTCTCTTCTGCTGTGGTCGATAGTTGGTAGCTTGAACTCCAAGATCGGGGTATTCGTTGGTAGGGATGATGGTCTCCCCAAATGCTTCTCTCCGGGTGTCTGGAGACTAGACTCGTACACATCAAGCAGGGCCGAGAGATGATTATCGATTGCCTTTGACGTTCCATGGGTTTCCCAAAACCAATCGAGTCTGCAGGCCGACCATCCCTTTATGGGAACGATGTTATTCGCGGGCCTATCGTATTTTATAATCGCTTCTGTGATCCTCTTACACTCATAAGCCACGACGAGTTGGAGCTCTGGCAGTCTACTCAAAGCTTCCAGTGCCGCAACGGTTATATCGTGTTGGTGGTAGAACCTGAGAATGCGGAGGTGCTGTAGTGCTTGGGACTCGATCCAACCACGCACAAACCCATCTTGCAAAGGGAGACCATCGTCACTAGCACCCACAGGATCCAGCGGGGCGATATTCGACAAATATGTCTCACTGTAAGCGTCCATGGCAACCAGATTCTTGATATTTGGTATGGTAGTCAGGTCTGTGGCAGTACAGTATGTGGTTGCAATTGTCAAGATTGCACGCCAGCGAAGATCATCGCTGTTGAGGAGACCCATGTAGTCTCTTAGTGGTCTTTTGGGACATCCAGCATTAAGGCAGTAGTAGGGACTAACCTCATGGAATTGTACAGGATAAACGCTGGCCATTATTTTCCACATGTGCATTGTCTGCTTGTTGCTAAATAGGCGGTTAGCGGTTAGGCTTGCGCAAACAGACTTGGGAATTTATCAAAAGCGTTTTGAAAAAGCCTTGGATCGGAGCTTACCATTTTTTAAGGGAATCCCAAAGGTATTTTGCCAAATACCAGTGGACATATTCGAACAGCTCGGGCTTCAGCGCCGACTGGTCCCGCAGGAGCGCTTTCATTGCTGCATGCTTGAGTGATCCAGATCCTTCATCATTGGTTGCCTCCCATCCATGTGGTAAGAAGGGAATCTCATGATACCACGTGGGACCGAGACGTAAGAACCCGGGTGGTTGGTTGTCTTCAAGGATGATGGACATTGCGAAATGAAATGAATGACAAGAACAAGCAGGGATCCAGCGAGAAGATTGCAGTTAAGATTTCTAAGAATACCCATATATTAGATTGTAGGGGAGGCTGATGTCTGCCCGAGTTTTAACAATAAAATTTGAGGATGCGCGCGTGTCTGGAGTCGAAACGGGACTGATCTGATGGATTCACGTGACCCTGTGTATACAGGCAATGGGAAATTCACAGGTTTTTAGCAGCCTCGGGGTAGGATTTTGACTTACCCATCGAATTGTCACAACCTTCAAAGGGAATTGTCTTTCGGCTCCCTATCCCGGTCTTAGTACAATTTGATCATGACTTGTCCTACGTTTCTAGCTAAGCATCCCGCTTATCTCCGTTATGTTCGTGAGGTTGCTTCTGGAGAGCTTGTGATGCCGGAATACGAACGAGTGAGTGACTACATTCAGATTTTCTTTGATGAATCGAAGTTGTGTCGACGGGGCGTACAAGGGACTGATCAAGATCATATACAATGAAGGATGAGAAAAATCGTTTGATTCTCCAGGTTGGCGAACAATACTGTCGCTATCCAGGGTGCACCGTCAGTGATGTGAGAGGACCGGACCCGAAACATATGTTCAATGAGCATCAATCTATTAAAGTCAATGGAAGGATTGTTCGGCTTACTATTCTTAGCATCCTTACCGGACTGGAAATTTGCGAAAGCATGTAGCCCGTCACAGTGAGAATTCGCAAGTTGCCGACGGTGTCATCGGTCGGATCAGTTACATTGAGCAAGAAAAAGTTCGAGGTAAGTTGAATGATCTGATTCTCCAAAACATACCTAATGAAATGTTTAGCTTGGTACAACTCTCTGTTTACTTCCTAGCCGGCCCCGCTCCCAGCTTCTCCTTCGGTCGCAATATAAAGCAAGATCAATTGCAATACCAATCGAAAGGCCAATACCTGAAGAGTACGGAGTATACGATTTATAAAGATGAGGTGGGGCTTAGGGCCGGCGAGTGGGTGACTAATCAATAATTCATTATTAATGTATTATCCTATTCGTCCGCTCTCAACGATGTTCCACGTTCTTTTGAGCTTAAATTGCTTAAATTAAAGTCGTTTTTGTCTTTCAGGGCATTGAATCCTATAGGCTACATATAAGCGAAGAAATAAAAGAATAACTATCGATCCATAGATGTGCAGACTGAATTTGTCAATAACGCTTTATTAACGCTTTATTAACGCTACGCTTTATTAACGCTTTATTAACGCTTTCTTCACACTTTCTTAACACTTTATACGTACTGAGTAGTTGTATGTTAGCACTCATCCACTATTACCTAGTTTACTTTGCATTTCTTTTTGTTAATGCATATAATGAAACCGATCCCTCAGTTTTCTTCGCCGTCCATTGCTTTGTCATTTCCTAGATTGCCATTGAATCATTGATCACCTCTGGTGTTTATTCCATGCTGGGAACACCGGTCTACCACAGTTCCTTCCGATGTCTGTCTGGTCATAGGAAGAGCGATGCCATCTTTGGCCAGAAAGCGACCATTAGAGCAAATTTTGCCTTTTGGATCGTCTACAGTAATATCATAATCCGCTGTTCAACATGATTATGGGATAACATCAAAAGCAATGTGATGGACTCGCGGGAATCTCAAGTTGATTGGTAGCTGAATAGATAACTTGTGCAATCTAGGGAACAGTACCGAGGTCAAGACTTGTAACGAGGAGTTTGTTCTCTAGCAAGTGTTTCCGGTTTACAGCACGGAGGAAATCTATACATACGATCAAATGGATGTGGATTTTTGTAGCATGGGGTTCAGCATTGAGAACCTTGGGGGCATAAGGTCGACATATGAGAGCCAGCTAGATAGTGACAATCATTACTAGATGCTGGCCATTTGCGCTACCCCTAGGGCTTCCATGCACATATACCTTAGCCCTGCTCATTCCTGCGTGCATACCGACTCCAGGAACGTACTTGATTACCCTTCCAGTAGAGCAAATAAGGGATAGGCAAAAACAACAACGAAAGACAACCCAACAGAGTCAATGTCCATGCAACGCCAAGGTTGTTATACATGATTTCCGCAATGATAGCCATAATGCCGGCAGCAACAAGTCGCGTCATCTGAAGACAGGAAAGCGCGCTTGCCGCATGTTGCTCAAACACATCGGCGACGTACTGGTAGGCCGAGACGAAAACACATAACGTCCCAAAGCCGTAGAATACCGACGCGATAAGCGGGCTCCAGAACGAAATTGAAAGTCTGGCCGTCCAGGCCATCCAGAAGAGCGAGATGGGGATAAAAGGCGCACCGAACATAGCCATGTATAAACTGATCTCAGGGTCTGGGCGCTGCTGGCCCCTCGCACGGCTAAGGTAGATCTCCCTACGGAGGAGCCACATTGAAATTGGGAGTGTCAGTCCCGAAAGAATGACTCCGACCTCAATGGCCAGGAAGGCGAGGGCAGTCGAGGTCGGACTGAAGTTGTTTGCCTTCTGATAGATGGAGACGTAGCCCGCAATGAAGGTGTACAGGATCAAGAAAAGGAGGCAGAGAGCGAGCGAGTGAATCATGATGATTGGTTCCGTCACAAAAAGCACAAGTGGTCGGTATAGCGAGATACGCATGCGGCGGGCGAACGTGGCTTTTCTGAACTCCAGCGGAGACCGGTACCGGTCGTCACCTGTCAGGCGGCGGAGCTCTTTCGCTTTCCAGTACAGTAGAATCGGACTGTATGTCTCGGGCAGGAACAGCACAACTGGGATCAGAATAAGTCCTGCGAGAATGATGGTCATCCAGTCCACCCAGCGCCAGCCTGCCGATTTAGCATGGACGGCGAATGATCCTGGTACTGGGCCCACCAATGGACCAGTGAATATGATTATCGAGAAAATTGTGAAGATATAGACTCGTTCGATGCGTGACCAGACGTCCACGACGGATGCTGCTGCTAGAACTGCCGGGGCAGATCCGAAGAGTCCAGCTAGACCACGGCAAACAATTCGCTGTACCACTGTTTGGGAAAGCCCTGCGCCCATGTCAAACAACATGAAACCGATCATGGTGGGTATGTACACGGGAGTACGTCCAACGACCTCTGATATAGGTCCCGTTATCAATGCGCCTACTCCAGCACCAATCAAGTACATAGCTAGAGAATCTATGTCAGTCTAGTTAAAGTCATTCAAAGATTTAACCACGTACCAGTCGGCAAAGTCTCGACCTCAAAGTTAGTATGGTACAATTTCTTGGTCGAGGTCAGAGCAGTAGAATCAATCGTAGATGACCAGAAGATTACAAATCCAGTCATCGAGGTGAGAATAGTCGTCCACACTCGGCGTTTGAGTGGCCAGTTGTGAGGATCCATCGTATCGTAGTCGCCTTCAAATGTGACGATGATGAGTTTGTTCTTCTTCACTGACTCAACATCGGTTTCACTATCCGTCGAATAGCCCGGCCGGGGTCTTTCGACGCCAGTCAACATGATATCAGCCGTGTTTCCCAGCGTCTCTTGTGAGTTGATGGTATGCGGATCGTTTGTGATTTCTGGATCGTACTCCGCACCCTCGACATCTCCTTCCCGCTCGATATGCGATCGGACCGTGTGACGAGGTTGAAGGGATGGCCCAGTGATGAAAGTACGATGGCCATGTTCTCTCCTTCGTGCGGCACTAGGGTCGTCACTCGGCTCGCGAGCTTCCGTGAGGATCTCTCCTTCACGGTAAATGTAGCGGCCCTCGTGGGTCCAGACATTCTCGGGCTTCTCATGCTTTGTAACAAATTGTTGCTCGATCTTTCTACGGATCTTGCGGTGTTGGCGAATTGACTCCATTGTGCTTGATTGGGGGTCTTGCGTTCCAAGGTCGAATTCGCCCTTGTTACATTCAAAATTCAGATTAGTGGAGGAGGCTCAATATCTTTGGAGGCAAACAATGACATATGACGGCCCTCTCCCCCTGAGGATATCAAATCCGTACAGTGCCATATCCATATCATCCGGTCAGGTTTTCCGCCAATGACAAATCCCATCACATCAAGTTCATATGTTTGGCCGATCGAGAGCTTGTAGCATGTTGACCTTGATCGATAGCGATAGCTGTGTTTCCCCATAATGAAGCATCACAACGCCAAAAGGACGTGCGTCGGTGGTGCAGATACCCAGGTAGGCACTTGTCTACGATGATGTCAGGAAGACTGATCCTTATCGTCACTGGGCTAGGTAACATCCATGGATGCAGCTCATATTCAATGATTAAACAGTAGCAGATCACAGATTCATAAGGATTAATCACAAATAGTGCACCACCCACAGGCCAAATATGCAATGGAACACCGAGGGTGAAATTACACATACATGGCAATTCATTCAACACAAAAGCATGCTTCATTGAATGCCAGGCAAGCATCGGTCCCTGTCTTCATTTCCAGATGCAATTACATCACATAAAGAATATCGGTATCTGTTAGGGTCGTTAGAATTTGATTGCGACCAAGTAGCCCGAGAATCTTACCTAGGGGATGGCTGCAGCTTAGCTGTGGCTTCTGGGAATATTTGGACTCGAGCTCATCACGAATGCTATTCAAAAGCTGGACATAACTTTGCTGAGGGTTCTTCCGAAGCGCGGCGATAAAAGCCCAGGACATGGCACCGGTGGCCTGGCCGGCAATTTGGGCATCCTGACTGGTCTGGTCATCCTTGCTGCCGGACCACATGATGACATCCGCGGGACTAGTCTTAGTCTGCTTGTTGCGTTCATACACTTCGTCGCCCTTGGTGGCCTTCTTGATGAAGCCCATGGCAGTTGACATCATGCTACCCATGTCACCACGCGCGTATGCCGACACCACACCAAGCAGGCCCTGTCCAGCCTCCTTGGCCAGGTTGGGCTCCTTGAGTACACCAGAGGTGGAGTAGACGTAGGGGAGATCCAGAGCGGAGCCAGAGTGGCAGGAGTCGAAGATCGCTGTAAGCCGGACTCCCGGTTGTAAAGTCTGCACCATGATACGGTGCATCTCATCATCAACGATGTGGCCAGCAACCCGGAAGTCCACCGGGTAGATAACCTCATCATACCCATCCTCTTCGTCGCCGTCCAAGTCGGGTGTCTGACCGCCGTGACCTGGATTCCTGTTAGTTCGCCACCATAGACCCGATTGAAGTGCGGCTATTCACCAGAGTAGTGGAAGAACAATGAGTCATTGGGACGCGCATCCTTAACCAGCCAGTGCATAGCCCGAAGAATATTTGCCTTGGTTGGCTGGCTCATCGGATTTTGCTGGTCATCAGTCAAGAGGACCATGTCCTCGCGAGCATAGCCGAAGTTCTGGTTCAAGTAGGCCGACATGTTTTTCACGTCATTGATACACCCGCGCAGCTGACCTTTCTGGCCGAAGTAATTGATGCCAATCAACAACGCCTTTCTCTTGCCCGTACAGCGGGAGTATTGGAAGCTATAGCCTTGGGGAGCGCCGTGGCCGAAGGCGACGGGGTTGCTAGGAGGGGGAGGGGGACCGCCGCTTTGACCATAGGCTGAATTTGCGCATTATTAGCTTTCCTGTTGAAAATGCGATTCTGATTTGGAAAAAAGTTAACGGACCTGGTCTTCCTTGCATTGGTGGCCCTGAGGGTGGGTGCTGGTTGTACCCGGACGGTGGCGCCTGAAAAGAATTGATACGTGTCAATCTTGTGTATATTCGATCTCAAGCTCGTCATAACATACATTGTAATGCTGAGGGGGTGGCGCGCCGTAGGGCTGGTGAGATGGCTGGGACGAATGGCTGTAACCGTATGGGTTGGATTGCGGCGGCGGCTGGTGCGACTGCTGGTGGTAGGACTGGCCAGGATAGCCGCCATACGATGGCTGTTGATGATTCATTTGTCTGCAATCAAATCTTTGTCAGACTCTCTTTTCAGTAGATCAACAGGATAAGCAAGCGTACGGGTACTGCTGTTGCGGGGGATATGACGGCTGCTGCGGGGGGGTACCCCGGAGCGCCCGAGTAAGGTGGATAGTAAGACATCAAAGGAAGCCCTCAAGTCTAGGGAATCAAGCGAAATGCAAATATGTAAAGAAGAGAACGCGTTGAATGTGGAGAAGGGGGAGATTGAAGGCAACACAGATCGGAAGTACGGCAGCCGCCAAGCCTGGAACAGTCACTTTGAAAGAATATTTGAAGAAGATCAAAGTCACGGGGAGATAAAAAAGAAAGATCTGGAGATCGTCAGATTAGGAACTCGCCAGATACATACTCCGAGGTTCGTCCACTATCTCCTTATAAGGCTGGGTACAATCAAGGAATCAAAAACCCCCAAAAAAAGAGGGGGGAAATAGAAGATAGAAAGAAAAACAAACTGCACATCTGGACTTTTATATCTGACATGCATTCATCGGCAGCCCCGATCAACCCCTGCCCACTCCTAGAAGCCCAAAACCTCATTGGGCTCCACTAAATCCTTGAAGATTTCGATTTTGATACAGTGTGGGAGAAATAGACGGAGTAATAATGGATCATAACAGATTATACATGTCCCATCGCTCTTCTGCACGTCATACAGCTCAAGGCGATTCAATAGCACCGTCTTGGCGTAGGGATTTAGCCAATGAGATGTAAAATGGATTAAAAGGTCTCCAGACAATACGGAGTAGGTAGATTCCAAATAAACGGAAAAGCAAATGGTACGGTGTCGAATATGCTCGGATCGGCTCGGCCTTGGAAATGCATCTGATATATCATCTGCATGCAATTAAGTTCAAGGAACACTTTCATGAGGACTATGTTTATATTGTATGTACTTGGAAAGACCGTGTCAAGTGGGGTTATCTCTAACTCGTCTTCTATTCTCCCTGTACTTCATATTCAATATTCATCTCACAAACACCGGCTTGAAAGCCACCAAGGTCAGAGCAGAGTTCACTTTAACTGCTTTAGGGCCTCATCAATCATGCAGGTGTCCTTCTTTTTTGGGGGGGAATATCATCGAGCATTATCCAGTTCTGGTCAAACTCGTTTATCCTCGTCGGGGCATGCCGCGGCCACGACCACGGAGGGCGCGCTGGGCAGCACCTGGCGGCATACCGCGCTGTTGACCAGGTTGAGCCGACTCCTCATTCTCTGTTGGGGAGGAAATATGGGTTAGTTATGAAAGGAAGGTTGAAAAATAAGAAAGAAAAAAAGTTAACAGGTCACTTACTTATCGTCTCGTCCACACTCAGGATCAAGCAAGAGGCTTCCACTGCGGCTTGGATAGCATTGACCTTGACGAGGCTGGGCTCCCAAACAAAGGCGAGCATGTTGTCACGGACGCCCTCGTTGTCGAAGTCGACACCAGCCCAGGTGTTACCCTTACGGTGCTCAACACGCAAGCGGTTCAGAATATCTGTAGCGTCGAAGCCAGCGTTATCACACAGCTGGCGGGGAACAACCTCCAGGGCCTTGGCGAATGCCTTGACGACGGCCTGCTGCTTGTGTGGGACGTTACGGTCGGCATACCCATGCATGTAGCTTGACAACTCCATTTCAGTAGCACCACCGCCAGCAACGATGGTTGTGTTACGCAGAGCACGCTTAACAATCATGATAGCATCGTGCAGACTACGCTCCACCTCCGCAATGAATTGTTCAGCTCCACCACGCAGGACAAGAGTGCAAGTCTTAGCACGAGGGCAGTCAGAGAACAAGTTGAAACGCTCTCCACCAATCTGACGCTCCTCAAACGCACCGCAGGTACCCAGATGGCGCTCCTGGATGTCAGTGCATGTCGATTGGGTTGCGGCTCCGGTAGCCTGGCAAACACGGTCCATATCGTCGGAGGCCACACGGCCAGCACAGAAGATGTCTCGGTCCGCAAAGTACCTGCAAATCAAGTAATTAGTGTCTAGACCCATACCCTGTAGCAAATAACAAGCACATACTGTGTGGCAAGATCGCCAATGGGCAACTTGCTAAGCACGACCTTCGCTCCTGTCTTGTAGATAGCCTCAAGCTTGTTGAAGATAATCTGCCACTCAGCATCGACGATGGCCTGGTATTCCGAGACCTGCTCGACACGGACTTCGGCATTGTCCTTCTCGCTCTTAAGCTCCAGCTCGACGTTCAAGCACACAATACTGGGGTTCTTGAAATGTTTGGGCTGCTGCTCGAAACCGGCGTAGGAGAAAGTCTTTTTAAAGGCGACACCGTCGACGAAAAGCGAATCCTGGAGACCACCACCAGTAACCTTCTTGACACCAATCAACCTCTCGTTGAGGTCATCCTGGTCCAGCGAAAGTACGGCATCCACAACCACTATGGTACCATCTTGTCAGCCTCGGGGAATTGCAACCACTAGGTAGGGGATCCTCACTCTTTGTGAAGAAGTCCGAATTCCGCTTGATAAGCTTGCTGTTCATGGCTGTTGCGGCTAACCGTCTTAGTGTCTGAACCTTCTTCTCCTGGCTGTCTGAGGCATTCATCGTGTCCACTGCAATCTCCTTAACCTTGTTGACTGCCATGGCGCTCGCCCTCCGCAGACCCTTGATAATGGTCTGCGAGCTGACACCCTGCTCAACAAGGCCTCGCACCTCCTTCAAAATCTCACCAGCCAGGACAACCACGGAGGTTGTTCCGTCACCGACTTCGGCATCTTGGGACCGAGCGATATCTGTGAGAATGCGGGCGGCGGGGTGCACAATATCCAAAAGCTACCCAATACGCGAAAGTCAGAAATCACAAACTCGCTCCGGGCATAGATTTTCATCGGTGGCTAGACGCACCTTCATCACTGTGGCTCCATCGTTTGTAATGGTTTGTTTGCCATTGGCATCCACAAGCAGGAGATCACCACCGTAAGGACCGAGAGTGCTCTTGACTGTTCCTTGCACTGCGACACAGGCGTTGATGTTGGAGATAATCTGACCCTTTCCTTGAGAGGCATCGGTGCCTGTAGATTGCAAAGCAGCAATAGTTAGCATAAGTCATAGAATCCCACCAACAAAACTGCCCGCACTGGAGACAACACATACCCTCCTTCAACACGACAATCGTGGGGGTTTGGCCGTTGAAGGCCATGATTAGATCGGTATTCGGACACGAAACCGTTCAGTAAAAAAATAAAAGAAATAAGAAAAGGGGTATGGTGAGTCGAAAGGTCGGAGGGGTTGATCTGCCAAAATTTCCCAGAGCTCCTGTTCCCCAAAAACCCCCAGTCGCGCAAGGCGGTGACCAATCAAGGCTCCTCAACCCTACGCATTTAAAGAGATGTACACAATCTATATTGAATATAGAGTTTTTATAGTATATATTGAGATATCTCATTTGAATATTATACCTAAAAAGGAGTACAGTGTATGTAGCATAGAGCGTTATATCACTGTCCACGGCAAAATAGTGGTGGAGTATCAGCGGTATCTCAGACCGATGCCTCAACGCCAATAGAACAATAGAAAGAAAAGTAAGAAAGGTAAGGTTAAGACAAAATAGTTCCGAAAAGAAATAGACCCCCCGAGATAAGAAACCGAGATAGAAAGTTTGAAGCATGTTCACGTAAAGTCATAATTCCCATCTGAGGGACTTCCATACTCGAACTTCGAGAGTAATTCAGCATCATGCTGTAACTCATGTGAAGGTGGGTTCACAAGTCCAAGCACGTCTTGTCGAAACGGGTCCGAGCCATCATCTACCATCATCTGGTAGGCATTGCTAGCTGTATGATAGCGCATTGCATCGTCAAAGCTTGACATGCCGAGATTGTGTGGGCCCGGTGCGAACTGGCCCGTCATGGGGTTCTGTTGCTGGTAGCGTCGTAGCTGTTGGTGTATCTGCATTATCTGGGGGTCAAGGGGCATGGGTGCGAACCCAGTCATGGGGTGGACTGTGCCAGGCATGGCTGCAGGAATTGGTTGGTGCATAAGAGGGTTGTAGCTGGGAGGCTCATCGGGTGCTTCGTCCATCGCCTGCGGGACATTGGCTGGCTCCTTCGGAGGCTGTTCCATTGTGCTATCCACATCCATGCCAGACATCGTTTCCGATGGTGATAGATCATCATCTTTACTCCCAGGAATGGGGGGCGCCTTGAGAGTCTCTTTGCATTGTGGGCAGTCTCGAATCACGCGATTGACGGTCTCTTTGATTCGTACCCAGTGGTATTTGACTGCGATAGCTGCCGTAGTCTTGTTGATTCCGGCATGTTGTTTAAGATGAACTTCTTGGGCAATATCGTACTGCTGCTGCGGGTCTGACACCACCTCTTTATCCTTCAGCATCAGCCTCTCAGGCTCACCATCGTCCCCACCAAGAAGTTTATAGTGGGTCGCCGCACTGCGAAGTCGACTCTTCTCTGCCCGGTCAGCACCACGAGGGTACTTTCCGTGCTTCAAATAATAACGGATTTTCTCGAAGCGATCCTGGGACACAGAGTCCTCGCCATCCAAACTGAGGCCTCTACCGTAGATGATTGCGTCGACAAACTCCCCGGGTTGAGATTTGATACTGCCTCCACCAGGGACTCGGCCAATCCTTTTGAAGCCGAGGGAATCCCAGAGGCGACAAGATGCAACGTTAGACTCATATACCAAGTTGAAGACTGCATATGTGTATCCCTGGCGAACATTAACTCAGAGCCCGTTTGAAGGGACTGCGTTGAAGAAACTCACTAATCGGGGGGCCCACTCCAGGTAGGATTCGCCCATCAATCTACCCACGCCCTTGTTTCGGGCAGCATCAGTGACAATGAAGGTGCCATTGCACACATGACTACTGCGGCCAGGGTAATTAGGCCGAATGTGAAAGCCACCTAGACAGATCTTGGTCCAATTAGCTCCAGCACGATCCATCGCATGTGTCTGCTCTGCACTCTCGATGTCGCCAGTAAGCATGACCACGCCAAAGTTCGAAAACCAATATCGTCCGAATTGGGCCAATGGAATGGGCTCTGTCATAGCATATGTATCTCCCTTTTCAATCTCTTTGTTAAATTGATCAGAGAGATACTTCATTAGAGCCCGGGGTACTTCCTCTGCTGAGCCAAAGGGGACCAGGGTCGCCACTGTAACACGATCTCGCAAAGTTACTTGTCGCGGGGCCAGAGCAAGTGGATAATCCAGCTCAGGGCCCGATGGAACAAGCTCTGAATCTCCATGAACTTCAGACATGGTTAGGTGGCCCTCTGGAGGTTGTCAATCACACTGTTTGACATGTTAGTTGGATGCATTCTATTCCCATATTTTTGCGACACAAAACCTCATAGATGTATACAAAAACAAGAAAACAACTACAAGGAACTGAATTCAACCGGGGGTCTGTTCACTGACATTCTGGACTGCTTCTAGAAGCCCTCGATCGCACTTCGAGGACCGCGTGAGTATTCTCGAGTCCGGAATGGCCGCAACGCAAGTCGAGAAGTCGTGGTCCTTGCTGACTCATTTCATTAGATAAGCATATATAGATACCTAAGGTACCTATATATATATTTTGCCTGATTCCTCAGGCTTGACACACAACGTAACTAACTAATTAACTAAAATAACGACGACCAAGTGCTATACCCATAAGTGTAATAAGTGGCGAGTCTGTGTATACTTGGATGGCTCATTGGGAATGTTGAGCGACAGGATGCAAAACCTTTCTCATGAGCCAGGGGTAAGATCAAAGAGCGGGAGTTTCGTAGTACTCCTAAGTATGAGTGAATTTGATATTTCTAGACATTCTTCAAAATGATATCTTTCTTTTAATGCTTTGAAACTTTTTAAAAAAGTACTATGTTGTAAAAGATAGCGTTTTGGTGTATGGCGTAGCCCACGTTGCTTAGGCCAAAGCCATAAGCATATGGATATACCCTTCAGGTCTCACCAATATCATCATATGATTATCAGACTTGATTCGGGCTCCAGGCTCGATGAATGAAATCACTGTCTGCATACGTCGTATGTCAAATCGGCTTCAACAACATTCAACATATATAATCCAAGTGGAGGGTGCATTGGTGTCGTTATTGTGGCAAAATTGCGATTTAGTTGAGTTTCGGTGGACCTAGCATGATAATATCTGATCAATACTTGGAGAGCATACATATCTAGCTTGGCCGGTGGGGAAAACGCAAGGATTGGCTTTTGGGGCCAGCTGAGCTGTCCAGCGTTACGTTATGTGAGAAAGTGATAGGTCCCGCTCAGAAAGGTGAAAGTTCTCAGACCCGTAGAGCTGGGCTTCTTTTCTGCATAACACGCCATATCTTAGCAAATTCGCAGTATAAAACTGCATGTAAGTCCGCCATGGCAGAGCGTCCGCAATACTTCAAGAACACGTTAAGCCCGCTCCCAATCAATGCGACCACGCTTTTGGAGAGCTTCCAAGAGCTTTGTACTGCTGTTTGCAGTGGTGCTGAGTTGATACAGCAGAACACTCTATTGCCTGAAACATGGGGCCCCAATGGCATGTTTAAAGGTTTCCCCGGTATTTCAAGCTCAAGCCCCACTCAAATCTACCATCTAACCGCTCAAGAAAGGCATTGCTCTTGCATTCCTACGCCTAGATTATCAGTCATCGGTTCTACGGGGGCTCAAAGCCGCTGCTCCTGACTATCGTCGCTATGCACTACAACGAATCCCATCAAGCCTTCCAGACACTCCTCTGCTAGCCTCTCGGTTGTCTCCAATTGGCTCATCTTCACCTGTGACTGCTGTCACTCTGCGCATCTTGAGTACTTTTGCAAAGAATAATTGGCAAGATGGCGCGCATCTCAGCATCACAAGGGAGGATGCCACTTGCCTTCATGATGCCATGCAGTGCGCATTAAAGAACGAACCTCTTGTTATTCATGATGGCCGAAAAATGGGTGGAGATGAAATGCTGTTTGGTCGAGCAGGACTTCTTTGGGCTCTTTTGAACATTCGTGCTCATAGGTTTGATCAAGAGACCCAGGATATCCTCTCACCTATATTGGGGGCAATTCCAGAGTTGATCCGGGTGATTGTCGATGCCGGGCAGCAGGGATCCAAGGAATACACCGAGAATAATGGAGCCCAAAACGCACATCCATTGATGTATGCATGGATGGAGGGCCATTACTGCTTTGGGGCGTAGGTGCATCTCCAGAGTTCTTAATCGTATGCATCAGCTAACATACAATGTATAGGGTCCATGGAATAAGTAAGTCTGCAGGTCATTATTTGGGGTTTGCAAAATCCAATGCTAATTTGTGATTTAGCCGGTATTCTAACCATCCTGCTTTCATGTAAGCCCGAGGAGCTTACGGACTATCTTCCTGTAATTGGTGATAGCATCACTGCGCTTTGCAAGCTATCTGGATCTACCAATGGCCACCTCCCAATGACGCTACCTCCATATAGCTTCGGGCAGCGCTCAGAACTAGTCCAACTGTGTCACGGGAGCCCAGGATTATTGATTCTTCTAGGAGCTGCTTTGAAAAACAAATATTTAACCCGCGCCCACTGGGATCCAACTTGGGACCAAGCCATATACTTGGGCACTGAGCGTGTGTGGGAAGAAGGGCTGCTTTCTAAGGGAGGCAGTCTGTGTCACGGCGTGGCTGGCAATGCATGGGCGTGGCTCCTCCTCCATGATTGCTTTGAATACCACTCAGAAATTCTGAAGGATGCCCGGTCAGCTTATCTCAAGCGCAATCAACTATCAGCACTTCCAAATGCTAAGGTGAATCAGGAACTCACCAGTGACTTCTTCCTCTCGAAGGCACTTGCATTTATGCTGCATGCACGTGAGACTAAGCCATACAACAGCTCGCCCACATCTTCTGACAAAGATTATCGCATGCCTGATGAGCCTTACGGTTTGTTTGAAGGTGTTGCAGGCAATGTTTGTGCGTGGGCTGATACGTGCGCGGTAATTCAAGCCAGGTTGCGCAAGATGGAACTTGCTGAGCAGGGTATATGTGTTACATCTGGCTTATCACGAGATCTAACTTTCCGAGATATTTGCTCTAGACACTTGGGCTTTCCAGCCCTGGGTGGAAATGGCGTAACGGGTATTTTCTAGCCCAAGGGCTATTCCCCACATGTTCGCACAGTTGTTTTGTCGAGTGACGTCACATGTCAGTAAGATTACAGGGCCATAACTTTCTCCGGAAATACAAAAACATATAAAAACAAGGGTCTTTGAATCCTACCAATGATCTATCCTTAAGGGTTACCGTAAAATTGTGGCTGAGTCGGGCAACTGATGGGGCCAAAACTTCTTCCACCTTCGAAATCTGTATCTTTGGTTGAGAATTTGAATATAGTAGACATGGATCTCATTCCTCCCTCTTATGAATCCGCAACGGATAGGGATGCTTGGACAATCATTGCTCGCTATATTCCTTCCAGCGACCTATGCGCTGCATCTCTAGTCTGCCATAGATGGCATGGTCTATTTATGCCTTTCCTCTGGGGTGATCCAGCATCTCACTTTGGTACAGATAATGATGCAGTCTACGGTAAGTTGCTCCGAAAAAGATTGTTCAAAAATCCTAACCGGATCATACAGTCGCTCTCACTCGATTTCGAAGGACACTGAAATATGCCCGACAAGAGGTGCGGGCGTTGACCCATACCCTTCACCTTCCACCCGCTCTCTCGGAGATATATGGTGGTCCACGTGCAGGCTGGTTGAGGGACATCCTCGAATGCCTGCCATGCCTGCAGTGTCTCATGGTCTCGAGATTGCCCTTTTTTGACCACCATGCTATGACAGCATTGAAAACCGCTGAGAGGTCGAGCCAGTATAATATACGGCTCTTGTTGGCTGAACGTGAGCCTAATACTACTTCCACGAGCCTCGCAGAGACTCTCTTCTTGTTTCCAGCATTGACCTACCTGGATCTTTCATACACCACTCCAGCACGAGACCGCAATGTACTCTCTCAACTAGCCCAAATGCCCTTTTTGAGGGTACTGAAACTGCGTGGCATAGGGCTGAAGGATAATGACGCCGAATTTCTAGCTAATGCAATTGGACGTCGAGTCCGTTGTCTAGATTTGAGAGACAACATGCTCACTGACATGGCAGTCCGCTCTCTTTTACAGGCATCATTTCTCCCGCCAAATGAGACGGAAAGGCAACAAAGCCCAAGACAGGCCACCGCTTCGCCAGACCCCTTCTCCCACTTTACAATCAACGGGTGTAATTCGGGCTTCTTCAAGCGGCCAGACTTAGATGAACAATTTTTGAAGCTTCTCGCTCAGCCGGTTTTATGCCATCCGTGGGTTGAAGACTTACCGCATACGGGAATCACTCATCTTTATATCACTGGTAATCAAATGTCCGTGGAGGCTGTGGCGAGTCTTTTGCTTTCATCCCGGCTATATGCTCTGGATTTCGGGACCATAAAATCTCCGGATAAGGCACACCAGACGCATCATTATGGGAAGGAGAAGTATCCCGGAGCTGAGAAACTAGTGCCAATCTTGGGTAAGGTCGCAGGGGACAACTTGATATATTTCCGGGCGCATCACGCAGTTCTCACTGGCCAACCACCAGCTAAAGACGTTGCATCCAGTGTTGAACTTCTTCCAGAGCTTTCAGCAGAAGAGGGCCCCCGTGAAGTCGAACAGTTCGAGTTGGATGGTACCCAGCAATTTTATGAGTTGCCTGGAGAGACAAGGCCTGCCTTTGAGCTTGCGGATACATCAATAAACAACTCAATTAGCCCATCTTCGACGACAAAAAGTGTTCAGACTTCCCAGCCATTGACAGTCTACGAGGATGAACCTGCACCACTGGTCAGGCGTGGTTCGGCTTTTGCTCCAGAGGTTGTACAACCCATATATGTGCATAGCAGTACTGACCATGGCACGCCCTCTAGTCCTTCTGGGACAGACACGTGGGATATAGGGCAGGCCGAGGGAAGCACCTTGCCTTCTATTTCAATGTCTTCGGACGGCGACACTTTTGCGACAGACTTGTCTCTGGGTCGAACATTGCAGTGTAGCTCCCCAATCTCATCCAATGATTCCCTCGTACAAATAGTACAAGAATTATTGGCGAAGCGACCGCGTAACCAATCACTTCCGCTTCGGGGAGGAAAAGAAAGCTGGTACCCTTACCTACACCCATCACATATTCCTCACATGGAATCTTTGGTACTGACAGACGTACCCTCGCATGTGGCGCCTAACTCATCGATATTATCTGCGCTCACTCGGTTCATTACTGCATGCTCAAACGAAGCATTGCTAGCGACTCTACAAGCAGGGTCAGACTATTCTCTCCCGCCAGGGCAAGCGCGCATGCAAGCCGAGCAGCAGCGGTCACGATCTCTCTTTGGCTTGCGGCGTCTAGTTCTCGAAATTACACCCGTTGATACCTCTAAATTGACATCATGGAAGCCCGGGAACCAATATAATGCCACAGGCCATTCAAGCACGGGTGACCGCGATTCTGAGAATCTTTGGTCTGCAGCTACAAATGATTTCAGCTTCTTTGGTGAAGAAGAGTGCGGAGTCCCTGAAAATGATCCTGGCAAATACTTTCCAATGGCTGTGCTTAATGACAAGGTCTCGCTTATGCCGGAAGATGACTCGTTGCATTCACCAGATCCGCCGAAGACTGCTGGAGATGGAAAGCAGCAGTGTGAGGCCCCGATGATTGACCTTGTGGCGGAGCTTGCGGCCTTTCGTCGCGGCAAGAAGGCCGAGTATGAGCAAGTTGTTCGTCGTGAAAGGATACGGCGAAGCACGATTAGCGCGGGTGCTTCTGGCCTACTTATGCCATCATCGCCCCATATTTCTCTCTCACATTACGTCGAAGGCCATTGGAGGGGGGAAGTGAAGATCGTTCGGAACCCGATGCCAAAGGTGCGGACCGGCATGGTAGACATGTATGGAAACTATTTCGAGAAGGGGTACTTGTACCCATGAATTCTGTCTTTAGCGAGATACCCAGCAACTCTACCCAGGATACTTCGAGTCTACGTGAGGCGATCATGTTTTGTAGGAATTTTTGATATTTTCTAAGTCCTCATTTGGACCTGAACCATCCTTCCTCCCAGTCATAACAAGCCGTCGTCAACGGGCTCATAAACATCACAATGCTAAAGAGACATCCAAACTGCCTTCATCGGACAATTGGTGCCATCTTTTTCATCCTCAGTGTAGAAGCATGGCCGGCAGTTTCGGGACCGAGCATCACCCCTGCGATCCGGTCAAGAAGAACACCAATGCGAAGAGTGAAGACAAAATAAAAGAATTCATTTCAAACTAGTTCAATTTTATTTTGTTCATCATGCGACATTCATCTCCTTACAAAGCCTTGGCGGCAGTAGGGGGCTGGAGCTTCTTGCCGTCCTTGTTGAAGCGAATACGGGGAGGGGGAGCACGGTTGCGGCGGCCTTCGCGGGAGCGAACACTATTGGAAAGTATTAGCAAATGAAAGGCGATCGAGTATCGAGAGTATTCGGTATAAACGTACCGGACAATCTTGCCGTGAATGGCGCAGGACACGCAGTACTGGAGCTTCAAGTACATCTTGGGGACAGAGTACTCAGCGAAGACGGAAGCCTCGGAGATATCACCTGTAAAGTGAAAATCGTTAGTTGCACTGGTTCGTCTTGGAATTACTCGAAAGAGTCATAGCCAAAGATCTGGATCTTGTCGTAGATTCTCGAGGTATCGGGAGAGTGGTCACGTACGGATGGCAGCAGACTCGACCATGTTGCGGATGGTGAAGCGCTTGATGGCCTTGTCCTTGGGGGTGCAGCGAGCGCAGTTGGAGCAACGCACAGGCTTGACGTGGCCGCGGCCATTCTTGTTGCGGCCGCTATCAAATCAATTAGTTACCGTCCCCTGAAGTTGCGAATCGTTCGAAGTCCAGTTTCCCATTCGCCTTGTCCAGCAATGTGCGTAGGTCGCGATTTCGATGTATTTGGAGATGAATGTCGTGTGCGCTTCCGTCGGCGTCATTGCGGAGGTGTCGAATGGGATACTGCTTCGCCGAGATAGGGGGATTTGTTGGTCTTACTTGTTCGCCCTCTTCTTGACCATTTTGACGGTTTGTTCTGTTGATGGTTAGGTGTTGGTCTGTGGGTGAAGGGGGGAGATAGCGTACGGTTGACTTGTCGGGAGTGGGTTGTCGAAGCTCGCTCACACAAAGTCTCTTTCGGGATGGATTGGATTCCGTTGTGCGGGTAGCCCTAAGCCCTTAAGCGAGACGGGTCACGGGTCTGATGCCCTGAGTTTAAGGCATCGATTTCCTGGGAGTCACGTGCATCATTTGGACAGAGTCACGAGCAGTATGTCCACCTAATTGGGACTAGCGCCCGGATCGTACCGTGTCATTTAGTGTTTACGGCTCCTCATCCCAGACTAACGAAGAAACACCCCTGTTGGGATTGACTATTGAACTGCCCATTTTTCTTCTCCTTCCCAGGAATTCTCCTTGCCTTTTGTCTCCCATACCAGTCTCACAACTTGACATCCTTGTTTTGTTTGTGTCATCTCCCTTCCTTTCTCTCCATTTTTATTGAGACTTTCTCCTTTCGGCATTATTATGTCGGCCACAGGTACTTTTCGGGGAAAGCCCAATCAGACCATCGGAAGAGGAAGGCTGCCCGACTTCGGAAATGATCCCAGTGCTTCCCACATCCCCCGACCCCGGCCAGAATCTTCAGTCACAAACAATACACCCTCCAGCGACGTTGGAAGTGGCACAATGAGCGCCGCAAGTAGCAGACAGCGACAGAATCAGTCGAAACGTGATGAGGTACGTCATGGCAGCCAACGGGAGTGATCTCCTGATGCTTACTTTGAGCTTTGACTTTGATCTAACCTCGACACAAGGCTATCCGCCGCAAAATGGAAGCCGACCTCAGCAAAAAGAGGAACGCTCCAGCAAAATCGAGGAGCTCCCGCAAAGCCCCTCCCGGCACCGTGCTCGCCCTCAAGCCCAGCCAGGCCCTCCAGATCAAACCCAGCATGAGCATCGCGGAGGCTGCTCAGCTTATGGCCGCCAAGAGAGAAGACTGTGTGTTAGTGACCGACGATAATGAGCGCATCGCAGGTATTTTTACAGCCAAGGATTTGGCGTTCCGTGTCGTCGGAATGGGCTTGAAGGCGCGAGATGTCTCCGTCGCTGAGATCATGACTAAAAATCCGCTTTGTGCGAGAACGGACACCAGCGCGACCGACGCGCTCGATCTTATGGTGCGCAAGGGATTCAGGCATCTGCCAGTCATGGATGAGAATCAGGATATCTCTGGTGTTTTGGATATTACCAAGTGCTTCTACGATGCTATGGAAAAATTGGAACGTGCATACAGCTCGTCTCGCAAGCTGTACGATGCACTGGAAGGTGTACAGACAGAGCTCGGCTCTAGCCAGCCCCAGCAAGTCATCCAATACGTGGAGGCATTGCGATCGAAGATGTCCGGTCCAACTCTTGAAACCGTCTTAGACGGCTTGCCACCGGTCACTGTCTCTGTCCGCACCACCGTCAAGGACGCTGCGGCTCTGATGAAGGAAAACCACACCACAGCGCTGTTGGTACAGGATCAAGGCTCGATCACTGGTATATTCACTAGCAAAGACATTGTTCTTCGCGTTATTGCTCCTGGCCTCGACCCTTCAACCTGCAGTGTTGTCCGTGTCATGACTCCTCACCCCGATTTTGCCCCATCGGATATGAGCATTCAAGCCGCGCTTCGCAAGATGCATGGTCAGTCATTTCGATCAACAATTAAAAGCAGCGCATGCTAACTCTGCAACAGATGGCCACTATCTCAACCTGCCTGTGATGAACGAAGGTGGTGAAATCGTCGGCATGGTGGATGTGTTAAAGCTCACTTATGCCACACTTGAACAGGTATGTAGATAGCGTCAGATCTGACATGGAGGCGCTTTGGCTGACGTATTCAGATCAACACTATGTCAACTCAAGATGACGAGGGTCCCGCGTGGAACAAATTCTGGTTATCGATGGATCACGAGTCAGACTCGATGGTCTCTGGCGGCCACAGCCAGCAACTGAATACCCCACACCGCTCAGTTATTAGCCCCGACCTCACTCGCTCAGGCTGCGACAACAGTCTTCTCCCCAACGACTCAGCATCGCACCACGGTGATGAACATTCCGAAGTTGTTTCTCAACACCACCCAGCAGAACCAGCTGCTCCTACGCCATTCCCCTTCAAGTTCAAGGCCCCTGGTGGCCGAGTGCATCGTGTGAACGTCCTCCCCACCAGCGGCGTTATCGAACTTGTGTCGCAAGTCACAGCGAAACTTGGCAAGGAAGTCGAGGCTGTCGGTGGCGAGGCTACCGTTGAGGAGGGTCGGCTGAGCAACACAGGATATGCGCTCAGCTACATGGACAACGAGGGTGACACCGTCTCTATCACCACGGATCATGATATGACTGACGCCATCGACCTGGCCCGCCGTACTCACCGCGACAAGGTCAATTTGTTTGTCCACGACCCCGCCCAGCCGCCTATTCCTGTTGAACCCCATCATGTCAAGATTGTGACTCCCGTCGAAGAGCAAAGCGTTGCTGAGGAACCTGCGTCACAAGAGTCCCCCGTGAACAAATCCCTACCCCAGCAGCAAGCTGTGCCCCCCCACGCCCCGGATGAGCAATTGATTGCCGGCGTCCCCAACGACTTGCTCCTTCCTGGTGCTATTGTCACACTGGCTGCAGTTATTGCGGGTGTGTTCATCCTCAGCCGCCCCAGTGGTCGGTAAAAAGATATCTGGCCCTTGGTCTATTTCCGAAACCCTCTTTTTCTCTCCAAATTCTTCACTTTTTTCTGATTCGGCTTGGCTATTCAGCATTTTGAGAAAGCGTAGTAGATTATTTTCCTGTCTGGAGTGCTGCATACCCGTTTTTCTTTTCTCTAATATCGATATTCCGTGTCGCGTTCAGATACCGCTGTTCGTGTGAGCAGTTGCGGCCTTAGTTTAGCCTTCAATGCAAATAATTGTTCGAGATGAAACTTGATCAAATAACTCAGTGCATACATTATCGCCGTAAGCTATAAAATAAGTAAGTCTTTGACGGGATAAGCAATGGTTCATTTCTTTCATACTTATTTATGTCTGTTCGAATTTAGTTAGCCTTGTGGCCTGGAATTACCGCATTTGGCTTAGCGTTCAGTTGCGATTATCGTCACTATGGGCTCTTTATGTTGTCCTTGGATTATTCGTACAGTTAATTGCAATTTTTGTCAACGAAGAAACTGTTACAAAGACCTCGACATCTCCTGTTGAATCTACTTTTCTCTTGTGGTGTGATTAGACTGGCACTTTCAATCTTCTTCACCCCGAAGGGCCTATCCGTCTATCGCTCTCCTAATCAGAAATTCTTCTTTTTTCCCTCTCCCCGCCCCACCAAAAACAAAACTCCTCTCCTTCGTTCCACCCTACCTCCACCGAATCACTTCTACGAGGGTTGAAAGAACTTGGGTTGCTTGGATCGTCTGGAACTTGGGAACAGACACGCCCAACATGTCCCTCCTACCTCCCGAAATCCACACCGCGCTTTCTCAGCTGCTCCGCGCCTTGGGCACACCCGACAATACCGTCAGATCCCAGGCGGAAGACCAGCTTAACAATGACTGGGTTCAGAACCGACCAGACGTTCTATTGATGGGATTGGCGGAACAGCTTGGCGGTGCAGCGGACACAATAGTAAGTTGCACCAGACTCCAGGGGTGCAGTTGATTGAAAGAGGGGTGTTGCAAACGACCGACAACCGAATCAACATCCGAATCTCACTAGGATTTGGGATCAAAGCTAATGAGAATCTCTTGCTGATAGACCCGTGCTTTTTCCGCTGTGCTTTTCCGAAGAATCGCAACAAAAACCCGAAAGGATCCCGCCTCAGGTGACAACAAGGAGGTTTTCTCGTGTCTCCCCAACGAGCAGCGAATTGCCATTCGTGAAAAACTGGTGACTTGCCTGACGACTGAAACTGTCACCGATGTACGCAAGAAGATTGGAGACGCATTGGCTGAGGTGGCTCGGCAATACACCGATAATGGTATGCGATTCGAACCCGCCTTTGACGAAATGAGGACTGTTGGTTCTGACGATTTCACTTGTCATTTTTAGGCGAACAGTGGCCTGAACTCCTCGGCGTTCTCTTCCAGGCGAGCCAGAGCCCTGACTCAGGCCTTCGGGAAACCGCATACCGCGTCTTCACGACCACCCCCGGGATCATTGAGAGGCAGCACGAAGATGCTGTTGTGGAGGTCTTTACCAAAGGTTTCAAGGACGATAATATTTCTGTATGTCGACATGTGATTATGCCCTTCCAGCTCAATTTTGACCATTTTATCAGGTGCGGATTTCCGCTATGGAAGCTTTCGCTTCGTTGTTCCGGTCGATCTCCAAAAAGTCCCAGCCTAAGTTCTTCGGCCTCATGCCAGACCTTCTCAACATCCTTCCTCCCCTGAAGGAAGCCTCTGAAAGCGAGGAGCTGTCCTCGGCACTGCTCGCTTTGATCGAATTAGCTGAGATCAGCCCGAAGATGTTCAAGGCCATGTTCAACAACTTGGTTAAATTCAGCATTAGTGTCATTGGCGACAAGGAGCTCAGCGACCAGGTGCGCCAGAACGCACTCGAGTTGATGGCTACCTTTGCCGATTATGCCCCAAATATGTGTAAGAAAGAGCCGGAGTTCGCACAGGAAATGGTCACACAGTGTCTGAGTCTGATGACTGATGTTGGTGCGGATGATGACGATGCCGAGGAATGGAACGCGTCCGAAGATGTAAGTGTTTGCGTTTATACCATTATAATTGACATCCCGCTGACTAGTAACAGCTTGAGCCTGAAGAGAACGATCTCAACCACATCGCTGGTGAACAATGCATGGATCGTCTCGCCAACAAACTCGGTGGAGGGGCCATCCTTCAACCCGCATTCTCTTGGATTCCTCGCATGATGTCGTCTACCAACTGGCGCGACCGCCATGCTGCTTTGATGGCCATCTCCGCCATCTCCGAGGGTTGTCGTGACTTGATGGTCGGTGAGCTGGACCAAGTTCTAGCACTTGTTGTTCCTGCCCTGCAAGACGCCCACCCCCGAGTCCGCTATGCAGGCTGCAATGCTCTAGGCCAGATGAGTACCGACTTTGCCGGTACCATGCAGGAGAAGTACCACTCGATTGTCCTCACTAACATCATTCCCGTTCTCGCCTCTACCGAGCCACGTGTGCAGTCTCACGCTGCCGCCGCTCTCGTCAACTTTTGCGAGGAGGCGGAGCGCAGCACCTTGGAGCCATACCTCGGAAACCTGCTCAGCCATCTCCTGGATCTTCTGCGCAGCCCTAAACGTTATTTGCAGGAGCAGGCACTTTCCACCATCGCTACCATTGCCGATTCCGCCGAGGCCGCTTTCGATCAGTATTATACTACTCTGATGCCTCTCTTACTCAATGTCCTCAAGGAGGAACAAGGTAAGGAGTACCGCCTTCTTCGTGCCAAGGCCATGGAGTGTGCTACTCTGATCGCACTGGCCGTTGGCAAGGAGAAGATGGGTCAAGATGCTTTGAACCTTGTGCAGATTCTCGGCAACATTCAGCAAAACATTGTCGACGCCGACGACCCACAGTCACAGTACCTTCTTCACTGTTGGGGCCGCATGTGCCGTGTTCTAGGCCAAGATTTCGTGCCTTATCTCCCCGGTGTTATGCCTCCTCTTCTCACCGTAGCTGCTGCCAAGGCTGATATTCAGCTGCTTGATGACGAGGATCAGATCGAGCAGGTTGAGCAGGATGATGGCTGGGAGCTGGTGCCACTCAAGGGCAAAATCATCGGTATCAAGACCAGTGCTCTTGAAGACAAGAATACTGCTATTGAATTGATCACGATCTACGCCCAAATTCTCGAGGAAAATTTCGAACCTTACGTCCTAGAAACCATGGAGAAGATCGCGGTCCCTGGTCTTGCCTTCTTCTTCCACGACCCCGTTCGAGTTTCGGCTGCTAAGCTGATCCCTCAGCTGCTTAACTCCTTCAAGAAGGCACACGGTGGCCAGTCCCCGGGCTTCGCTGAAATGTGGAACAAGGTCGCAGAGAAGATCATCGAGGTTCTGAGCGCTGAGCCGACAGTTGACACGCTGGCTGAGATGTACCAATGCTTCTACGAATCGGTAGAGGTAGTTGGCAGAAACTCCCTCACCCCTCAGCATTTGCAGGCTTTCATTGAATCGGCGAAGTCGACCCTTGAGGACTACCAGATGCGCGTGAAGCAACGTTTGGAGGAGCAGGCCGAGCTCGAAGATGGTGACGAGGAGAACCTGGACTTTGAGTACGCCGTGGAGGATGACCAAAATCTATTGAGCGATATGAACAAGGCCTTCCACACCATATTTAAGAACCAGGGCAACTCTTTCCTGCCAACCTGGCAGCAACTGATTCCATTCTATGACGCTTTCATCACAAGCCAAGATCCGACACAACGGCAGTGGGCTCTTTGCATAATGGATGACGTGCTTGAATTCTGCGGCGAAGAGTCGTGGGCCTTCAAGGACCATATCATGCAACCTTTGGCCTCTGGTCTGCGAGATGAGAACGCCGCCAACCGTCAGGCGGCGGCTTACGGAGTGGGTGTGGCCGCGCAGAAGGGCGGTGCCGCCTGGAGCGACTTTGTGGCAGCCAGCCTCCCTAGCTTGTTCCAGGTTACACAGCATGCCCAATCTCGCACAGAGGAGAATGTGTTCGCGACTGAGAACGCATCTGCCAGTATCGCCAAGATTCTGCACTACAACCCATCTAAGGTTCAGGCTCCCCAGGATGTCGTGACCAACTGGATTGAGACTTTACCCATTACCTACGACGAGGAGGCTGCTCCCTATGCCTATTCTTTTATTGCACAGTTGATTGACCAGTATGTTCTCTTGATCAACCCTTCATACTTATACTAATATTGTACTAGGCAAAACCCGGCTGTCTTTGCCAAGGCTGACCGTGTCTTCGGTTTCATCGTGCAGGCACTCGAGGCAGCTACCCTACAGGGCCAGACCGCTGCCCGGGTGGCCACATCTGCCAAGCAGCTGGTGGCAGCGACCGGTGCCAATGCAGACCAGATTCTAGCTTCTGTGGACCCAGCCAACCAGGAAAGAGTGCGCAAGTTCTTCCAATAAAGCTCAGACATTTTGTTTTATATCCGGCAGAGCTTTATCCCCCTTTTTTATTATTTCCCAAATCATTCCCCTCGGTCATGTGAAATCTGAAGTTACCTGAACCCCCGACACGTTTCTTTAATTCTTAGCCCCTACGTACGAATGCCATGAGCTTTAGACGTTGGATTCCACCGTACGCGCGATGTCCATGTAGATGAAATGCCGGCCTTTGCCATTGATCTGGCTAGATATCTAAAAGAAATCAGACCATGCTATCTACAACTTCGATACCCTTTGAATTTCATTCGCAACCACCTCCTCCAGTCCCATGACCTTGGGCTCCCCAATCAACCCGTTGGCCCGCTCCGCATACAGTGTCCCGCCTTCGCCCCAAATCCGACGTAATGTGAACACAGTGGCCGCCGGGTTTCCAGTTTCCCACGCTGTAGCCTCCGCCTCGCGCAACTTCGCCAACGATGCGCGAGATACATCCCACGGCTGACCTCCAAGCTGACGCTCAAATTCCGCCTGGATTTGGTCGGGGCTCGTGGTAAATGAATTAACACACAAGGCAGCGTTTTGCGTCTTAGCCGTAGCATGAAGCAGAGTGTTCAGGACAAGAACACCAACACTAGCGGAATAGTCAGTCAATTGTTCATCCCAACGAGAAAAATGCCAAAAAGGGAAAGGAAAGGGAATCTTACTCTTTCATCGTAGTCAGACTGACATCTGCCTTCCCCTTCTCACCCAACAAAACAGCCCTCCGTCCTTTGACATCCCACCCACCAGCCGCCTCCATCCCAGGTATGAGATGAAGATACATCTCCGCAAAGGGACCAGTGACTACATAGGAATAGGCGAGGTCGTCGCGTGATATCTCATTCTCAAGATATGCACGCACTTTCAGCTTCTGCTGGTGTGGCTTCTCATTCGCCGAAGCCGGCCCGTGCTTGATATCAGTGCCGTACTCGGAGGGCAGGAACCATTTTACAGTAGAGCTGGCAGCTGCGAGTCGGATGAGGGGAATCTGTTGTGCCAGGGTGTTGCGCCCCAGTGCTGAAATCACAGTGTCGATTCCTATTTGGCTCAATGGTGAGCTTTTCATTTCATGGTTTGGGCTGTCCAAGACTTGAGGATCACGCCATGCATAGATATGGTTTCTTACCTTCGTATGCTGCTTTCACCGCATCTTCATCTTCGACATTGCCCACAATTACCTCCACGCCTTGGTCTTTTAGTTTGTTGAGATGCGAGGTCTTGGTTTCGGCTGTGTGTGGGGAAGTAAAGATGGCGATACGGCCGAATTGGGAGCGCTCGGGCAGGATGGCGTCCAGGATGAATGAGCCGATATTGCCCGTTGCACCGAATAGAAGGATGTTCTTAGCAAGAGACATGACTATATAGCTCTGTGAGAAGTGGAGAAATCGATGGCGTAGCTCTCGAGGACGGTGCAAGCTGATATACAACGTGAAAGGTCCACTGGTGGGGGTGTGCACCAAGTGGTGGGGGTCTTGCTTATCAATCAATTGGGAGAAGCTCCCAGGGTTAATATATAATTTCAATTTTACTCGGAGGTTTTAGAGTCAAGGACATCTTTTACATTGCGTTCGAGGTTGCAACGTGCTTGGGGGGTTGGTATATCTGCATGTCTGATGTAGACATATTGAGCGTTATAACCACCAATATCAGTAATTGGGAATTGGAAGCTTGAATCAAACTTGGATTAACATATGCCTTTTCGATGCTTGGGACCCTGATTGTTTTCTTTAGTGGGCACAACTTGGCATTGGAACGACGCAAAACTTACACTGAACTGATAAGTGGGTAATTCGAAAGCTGGGGAATTGGTGGGTGATCAGATTGACCTCAGAATCAAATATGTTCATTTCATACCCCTGAACGCTTAAATTACCATCTCCAATATCTCCAATACCTGAGACTTCTCCTTCAGTGGCACTGGGTTTGTCTTGCACCAACGGTCATGTAGGCTATTCTCCGCCAGTCCATTCAACTGGTCCCGCCCTACTTTGACATCGCTCAAGAATCGAGGCATTCCCAATTCGCGGATAATAGCATCCAAGATGTCGCCCAAGTCCGAGGCTTCTATGTTGACCGAGCGGGCATGCAACACCTCCAGCACGACCGGATCTTGAATCAGGAATTGGCGCACGCGAGCTTGTTTTTCGCGGTTGGCGTTGTACTTAGCATTGAACTTACACACAGCTGGCAGCAAGATACAACTGGTTTCACCGTGGCCGACGCCCAGTGGACCAAGCTACACAACTGTTAGTCGGTCTCATCGATGTGCCTGTGGATGTCTTTGAATGCAAAGAGAGCAAAGTAGTCGCATACCTGATGTCCAATCCCATGACTGGCACCCAATTCAATTAGGCCGCTAGTACAGGCCGCCATGGCATCCACTGATCCAAGTTGGCACTGTAGGTGTGCCTCACGGTCTGATCGGTCCTTCCTGCAGCGCAATAGACCAGGGACCAGCAATCCCAGTGCACGCTGAGCGAGTTCGTCTGATGTCGCCGTCGTACCTGACATGGAACACAGATTTTCGACACAGTGATCAATTGCGCGCACACCTGTACTAAGCCAGATTGAATCGGGTGTCGTTTTCGCCAGCTCAGGGTCGAGAATAACCAGCTGTGGTCCGCGAATTGGATGCTGGAAGCTGTATTTGCGCTTTGAGTAGTCTTCCGTGCCGCCAGCAAAGTTAGAGTATTCGCCGGCGGAGAGAGATGTTGGCACGGAAATGATCGGGATAGTTGGGACTTTGATCTCTAATCGCTTTTGGGGGCCTTCTGCAAGAGTTTCAAGCTCTTCGGGTGTGCGAATTTGGTTTTCAAGGACCTGAAGGGGGTGTTAAACTGAGAGTATAGACACAGAGATATATATGTATGGTCTTGCAGGGGGGAATGAGAAGAGGCAATAATAGAAACGGAAATGAAAATGAACGGAGGTGTGAAATATAAAGGTGTACCAACCAATGCAATTATTTTCGCACCATCAGTCAAGCTACCAGCTCCCACAGTCAAAAGCAGATCAGCATGCACAGTCCTAACCTCTTCGGCAATCTGCAACACCTCGGACCACAAAGTGTGACTCCGCATACCAATCCAATGACCAACCAGCCTATCCGGCCCCAAAGTAGTCTCCAGATGGCTCATTACATCAGTATTTCGGGCTAGTGATCCTGAGCAGATCACATATACACGCGAAGCCTGGAATGTGCTATCGAGATGGCGTACTATAGCTGCGGGAAAGGCGATACCATAGGAAAGAAGCGGACGCTCACGGCCTCCGAAGGCAGGTCTGACTGTTTCTGACATTGTAACTTAGATAAGGTGAAAAGGTAAGACGTGAAGAGATGTGAAGTCAACCTGGACATGTTTGGGAATGTACAGGAAAGGTGGGGCTGAACCCGATTTATGTGCATAAACTTGTGACGATCCATTTGACTAAATGATAGGAAGGTGAGGAATATCATCTTTCTAGTGGCCATCCGCGCTGGATTTGACTATCCAGGCATATGAGCTGCGTGTTTACATCTTTACAACAGATGACTTGACGTAACCTGCGCCGCAATTTGGAGATCTGGAATTTTGCCGAGGCTGCAACTGTTGAAGTTAGCGGTGGCTCTCATAAAATTGTCAAATAAATATTAACCACCGGACAGATTCAATGAGCTATCTAGATACTAAAGTAATTTCAAGAAAAGTACATACACAATCTTGTTCTATCAAAATCATCTGTTGATACATGACGGTATACTGTGTCGATCATATCATATCACGTGCATCCCCACACTCCGTCTCCGTCACCCGCCAACCCTGCCCTTGACATTCCTCATCCGACGAACCAAGCTCAAAATGGCATCCACTCTCCGTCAGAACCCATGGCGGGCCTACCAGAGTCTCACCCGGCAACAAATTCGCACAACACGCCTCTCCCGGCATCTCTCCACCAATCCCCTCCGCTCCAATGCTACCAATAACCCCCTCCGCTCCCGAGCATCCGCAGCGGCGGATCTCCAGCACGCCTCCCAAGCTCAACGCAAAATGGTCCTCTCCGCAGCTGGCATTATTACCTGCGCAGTCGGTCTTTACGGTGTCATCAAGCTAGACTTATTTGGACTTGACGAACTAGACACCAAAAAAGAGAACAAAACCGCAGCCACTTCTGCAACCCCGAGGAATGGCGCAATGCGCATGGACGGCCCAGTCGGTTTCTCCAATGGGGGTCCATCATTAATAACAATTCAAGGCCAAGATAAACTCGAGCAAGTGCCAACAGGAACAAGCACAATTCCCACCTTCCCAAGCACAATCCGACTCCCCTCATCTGAAGCAACAGAAGGCAAGCAAACAGGCGACGATCTAGCCCCATCCACGGGCGAAGAATACCAACTCCTAGGCCTTGGTATCCGCACCGTCTCTTTCCTCTCAGTCCAAGTCTACGTGGTTGGCTTGTACGTCGCGAAGTCCGATATAACCGAGCTGCAACGGCGCCTCCTGCGCACAGCAGTCCACCCTCCCAATACCGACGCCCACTCCGCCATCTCTGGCGCCGGCGCCGACGCTGCTACTTCTCTCGTCTCGCCGGAGCGCCAACAGCTCAAGGAGCTTCTCCTTGATGCGGAGCACGGCGACGCCGTCTGGTCTGCCATCCTCAAGGATGACGGTATTCGCACTGCATTCCGCATCGTGCCTACCCGGAACACGGACTTTATGCATCTGCGCGACGGCTGGGTTCGTGGTATCACTGCGCGCGCGCAGGCGAAGAAGGCTGCGGGGCCAGGCGAGTTCCAGGATGAGAGCTTTGGAAGCTCGATGAATGATTTCAAGGCTGTGTTCGGTGCGGGCAAGGGGAAGGCAGTGCCAAAGGGGCAGACGCTTGTTTTGATGCGTGATGCGCACGGCGCTTTGGATGCGCTTTTCCAGCCTGGGGCTAATGAGCCGGTCAAGTGGATGGGTCGCGTCGCTGATGAGCGGATTAGTCGGCTTGTTTGGTTGAATTATCTCGCTGGCAAGACGGTTTCAAGTGAAGGAGCTCGGAAGAGCATTGTTGACGGATTGATGTCCATTGTTGAGAGGCCCCTTGGGACCGTTGTGCAGAAGGTTATCTGATTTTTTGGGGGGCTATGGATTCGGTTTCGCTTGCTTGTATTAACATACCTGTACGTTAGTCACTGTTCGATTGTTTTACCTTGTGTTAGCTCTACCAAGGACTCCAGAGCTATATGGCAATTTTCCACTCAATACGCATCTACCGCTGGGATGTGGTAGGGCTCTCTCGATCCCTCCCATCACAAGCCAGTGATATTTTCCCGCATTTTACAAATATTCCATGGGGAAAAGAAAAGTTCGAGAGACTACATGGTAGATAAGAGGTAAATTGCTGTGCAATAAGAAACCACTTCCTTGGTTTATATTCAGAACTCGGGCCTCGGGAGATTCCCGCATGTATGATACCACCGCTTAGATCGCACCAGCGGCCTTGAGCAGCTCCTTCAGGTCCTTCTTGGCCTGGAGGTCAGAGTTTCCGCCGATATGCTGCTTGTTGATGAAAATGTTGGGCACGGTGCGCTGGTTTGAGATCTCGGCGAGAGCGCTCTGGATGGCAGCTCCTTCCTCTGTGGTAGTATTCAATTAGCGATTGGGTTGAAAAAGAGACATAAACATATATCAGAACTATAGATGCAAAGACTAATATTCTTGCGAGAAGAATACAAGAACACAAAGAGCAAAAGAGTAGACTTACCCTCCAAATCCAGCTCGAGAGTAGTGTACTTCGCATCCAAGCTGTCAAGCAACTTCTTGGAAGAGGCACAGTAAGGGCAGTATGACTTAGAGAAAACGACGACAGCGTTGTCGTTAATAAGGGACTGAGCGCGGGTCTTTGCGGCGGACATGGCGGCGGGATTTGGACCGGCGAAAGAGCCGAAAAGACGGGTGAAGATGGACGAAATGGTGGGCGGTTTGTGACGAAAAGAAAAGAGGCAGAGTCACCTTTTATAGGATCGAGCGGGGTACAGGTACAAAGATGAGAGGATTGGTTGGCTATTCCGTCAAGATTGCGGGATTGGATGTGGCGATGATGTCAGGTGATATTTGTCAGCTGGGGAGCTCTCCCGGGCCCAGACTCAGGGCTTGTTTCTTTTTGGGTAATGTATGTAGATGCCTATGTGTAGTTCGTAGACAGCTACAAGGTAGTATTTGATACACCTCAAACTAGGCATGTGGTTAACGCGGCATCTACACATTTACAAGTTTAAGTAACAATTATGGACAGCTTTGTGCTATGTATTCATCCATTCGACCTAAGATATGAGTAGCTCCATAAGCAATTCTGGCATGAAAATCGAGCAAATTCAGGTACCTGACTGCTCGAGCCAATGAGTAGATCGCACTAGATAAAGAGGAGATATTTGCTGGGTAGAAGGCTTGGGAATATGGAAAAACAGGCTTCGGAAATGTTTGAAAGAGGCAAGATATTGGAAAAAAGGAAACCATTGGGTCAAGAAAGTCAGAAGCAGTTGTAAGATGAGAAGGGAGAGGCGCACACCTCAATTTATGCTTCTTGTGGGGTGCCAATCCCTCGCTCCCATCCCATCCATGCGATCTGGAACGATTCTTTTGAGTTCCCTCCTACCAATTCAATAGGAATGGCAATAATCACAGGAGAAGAGAAGGGAAATATCAAGGAATGGATGCATGGAAGAAGAAAAAAAGGATAGTCATGCTCTGATGAAGAAGAAAGCCAGATTAAAAATCAGTCTGAAGAAAATTGAACTCAAGGCGAAGAAATTCCCTAGATCGCAGGATATAAAGCCACAGAACAGAACCGACAGAACACCATCCCGCCGGAGACGCTGGAAAAAAAAAAAAATAACAGGGAAGGGAATCAAGCAGATGTGCAAATATCAAAGGTATGTTGAGGAAATCGGTGAGAGATTGGATAGATGGTTGTGGAGTGGGATTCCATCACATCACAATGCAGCATCCGCAGCCCTTGTCTTTCTTTGGTGGCTGCTGCGCGGTGACAACTGGAGGGTTCCAGTTGGGGTTGGGGTTAGGTGTCAGTCCCATAGGAGGTGTGTCCTGCACCTTTGGCATGGTACTGTAGCCGGTACTCGTATTTGGTCGGGGTGGTTCAGGACTCTTTGATGGCGGAGGCGGCAACTCCTCGAGCTGTAGAGACTCGACAGGTTGCTGTTCCGGTTCGACCTTTGTGGCTACAGGAGGCGGCGCGTCGAATGGGTGCACTGCGAGGGGGGCGAAGTTGCGGTCATATGTGTTCGGTGTCCGGCCTTCCTTCTCCCACTGTTCCTGCATAATCTTCTTGGCGACAGTCGGGATCATTTGTTGGTCTGGTGGAAGGCGAGGATCGGGCTTGTACATAGTTGCCAACCACGGCGGGTCTCCTTCAGGCCGATTAGCGGCTGTTGTGGGACGACTTTCACCTGACCTGGTGGTAGGGCGCTGTGTAGTGTTACCAGATACAGCACGAGATCGAGGAGTGCTCGCTTTCCTGCTCGTGGGTGGAGCAGAGGTCTTTCGATTGGTGGAGCCGGCGTTCTTCGCTATCTTCTTGCCCGGTGTGTTTTGCGTACTGCTGAATCCGCGACTGCCCGGTCGGCTTCCTGGAGAAGGAGTCGAAGCATCTTGCTCAATATTGATAGGTTCACTGGCTCTGCGGCTCCGCGAAGACCGGTCGTCTTCATCTGTTGCAGCACGGCTCCGTGAACTGCGAGAATCGCGGCCCATGGCGCCTGATATGGGAACTGGACTAACCGTAGAGACAGGGATTCGGGATGCGCTTTTTCCGAGGCTTGGGTGGCTGTAGATGCTGGCGGCTGCATCGTCTGCAGCGATCTCCTCTGGTCGGCGGAGATCCCAATGTTCCCGCTCATCCTCGTCTACATTGCCATTCCCATCCCCCTTCCCAGGTTCTTCCTTCATTTTCGGCCAGGGTTCGGAATATTCTGCAGCAGGTGAGATCGCCGTGCCAGTCCCATTGGCAGGGGTTTGCTGTGAATCATGGCTTCTCCCACGTCCCCCACTCGATTTGCTTTCTCCTCTCATCCGTCGCTGGAAGAGAATGGCTGCTTGGTGGAGCTCCTCACTCTCGATCTTTGCCAGCTTGTCTCGGTGAATCCATTTTTCCTGGTTCGTTTTCCCATCAAGGTACAATTCAAGACCATCACTGGCCTCGTCGGGCTCTTTACGACCGGCTGTCTCGTGACCAAATGCATCTCGCATACTGCCTACTTCACTTCCATGTCGGTTGAGACTGGGTTCCCTCCGTCCTCGGGTTGAGGATAAATAGGGCGATTCGTGTGTGTGTACAGTGCGGGAGACGGAGGAGCTGCGTGAGCCGTGCGAGTTACGCTGTCGAGAAAATTTTGCGCGGGTGGAATTCGAGTCATGCGAGTTGCGCTGTTTGGATGAGTGGTGGTTCTCCTGCGGGGAAAAGGGGATCAGCACTTTTTATCTTTTTCCACATTCTTAGGCTACCAGATCGGTGGCTCAAATACCACATGGAATCATCTTACCTCGTTCGCAAGTGGCACCGCAAAATCCCATTGCGAACCATCCACGGGTGATACTAAGGCATCTGCAGCATATGCCGCTGTAGCGACGCCCGCCATTCCCGGAGTTGTTGTTCACAAACTACGAGGAAAAGAAAAGGCCAGTCCAGCTGCAACCCTGGTGAATGGTAGAAATTGCCGTAGAGATTGGGTTGTCGGATCAAGCCATTCCAGGTAGAGTCGGAAAGTGGAGTGTAAGGGGGTACACCGACAGCAGCAAATTGTCAACAGAGTTAACCAGAACTGCAGGGGGTGTTCCACGGGGATTGTTCAATTTGTCCAGTTTAGTTACAAGTAAAAGCCCAGGTGCTGGAGGGGCTGGTCCCGTAGAAGGCCCCGAGGTCTTGCGGGGGTCCGGGAGACTTGAGACAAAAAAAATACGATTGCCGTAGCAAGGTAAAAATGAGAGTTGAGTTCGAGAATAGAGAAGAGAATAGAGATTAGAAGAGAATGTCGAAGATAAAAAAAAAAAAAGAGGGAGAGTGAAAGGAGAAAGTTGTAGGTAGCCAGACTAGGAATAGTCCTGGAAACAGCCTGGACCAAGTCCGAGAGAGGCTTTTCATTATGGACCTCGGGACTATATACGGAGTACATTCTAGGGTATTTGTTAATACATATTCCCATACATGCATCATATGTCCATCTTACATATTAATCAATAATTCTGAATCTTCAATAGACTATTGAATAAAATTTTATGAGGTTTCTCGCAACTTAAGTCCTGGGCCGTGCGTTGCCCCTGAACCATGTTGATCAACCTCGTGAATTGATCTAGACGGTGAAAGTATTCTCTAAGACTGCTCCCCACTTGGTGTATACTTACATGAGAGAAAAAGAAGAGAGCGAAGAAAAAAATTGTGTACACGGAATACATGCCGGTAAATCATTCTGACAGGTTTAATGTTTGGGGAAATCGCAAAAGTTGATATATCACAAATACGCCGATGCCATCCATGCAAAGAAACATCCCGAGGGACAGATAGGTCCCAGCAATTAGAAATTGACCACTAGGACAGTTCCCCGGTATGAGATAGATACATGTTGTACATAACTATGTGCGAAGTACTCTGTACTCCGTACGTATGTCTGCAACCCAATTTCAAATCCCCCATTAGTATCCACAGCGGGGGAGCTGAGTAGGCAACTTGTAAGCTCTGTTAGAGCTTCGCAGCTGCATCCAGCCTATTGAGAGTCGCCTGGGTATCCTTGATGAGAGCCTTTCGTGCACTGCGGGCCACCTCATCGCCATCTGGTTCGATTCCATCTGCCTTGATCTGGATTTGTGTAAGAATCGTCTCACCCAGCTTTTTGTGTTCATAGTCCCGCTTCTTTGGATCACTAGGCGGGTTCACAATGTATTCATCACAGATCGGCTTCATCTCCTGTTCGAACCATTTGGTCAAAGCAGTAACCTGTTCCAGCGGCGTACGCATCAACTTAATATTGGGCGGGGGTGCGGGGACACCTGAGTGGCCTGACGACGTAGGCCGTGGCGGCCGAGACGGACCGGGAGATTCTGGGCGGACGGGCGACTTTTTGCCATTGCGTTTCTTGTTTCTCGACCTCTTGCTTTTTCCACTTGGGGGTGTGGGAGGGGACGACGCCTCTCCTGCACTAGTAGGGCGAGGCAGCTGCGGCGGTGCTGGCGCATGTACAGTTACAGGGATGGTTTCTCCATCGTCAGAGCCATCACTAGGGGTACCCGCCCCTGCTTCAGACACCACGCATAACACCTCGGAGTGCTGCTTGATCCCCTCAGCTTTGCATGTCCGCGCGTTGTTCTTGAGTAGCTTGCCCTTGTACAGGAGTCTCACGCAGTCTGGGTGGACGGCTCCTGTACTCTCAGCGGCGGCCTCTCGTAGGTCTCCGATGGTCAAGACACCGTCGTCGATCGCGTACGCACGGAAGTGCAATGGGTAGATGGTGCCGCGGTGGCGGAGGGCAATAATATCCGGTTCAGCGTCATCTACTGGCGTGCCTGCGACGTCTGCAGGTCTGATGTAGCTGAAGTCCTCGTCGCTGACCTGGGGATTGGATGCGGGAGCGTAGCTTGGAGAGCGCCGTAGCATTTTTAAGGGGTTGCGCCAACTCATCACAATAACGGTGAGTAGACAGGCACCAACAGCTGCAAGGAGGGCGAGGGGTTGGTCGTCGGAGGAAACTGGTAGCTTTTTCGCGAGAGGGCCGATGGGCGTGTTGGACAGATAAGTGAGAATGGGATTCAGTTGACGGCGGAGGGAATGTAAGTGAACGGGGAGGATGTCGGTGATCTGGTCTATATAGACTGCGCACTTCTCGCCCAAGGTGGACTGAGCGAGGGTCGGGGGCAGTAAAGTCATGGATCTCTGTGGAGGGGAAGCAAGCACAGGTGGTGGTGAAGTCATGCCCCCAAATAGCCCGGAATAGGCAGATAAGGCGGAGAGTGCTTTTTTGCCGTCACATTGAGCAATTGATGCTCTCCCAACGAGGGCGTGTCTGCCTAGGGAACCTTCTGATTTCCAGTCGGTTTCTTTGGTGTTGGGATTTTGGCGACATTTGGAATGGTTGGGATAGGTCGACGGATGCCTTGTGTACCTTGGGGCTGCCTTGAAGTGTGGCGATGCTTGAAGCCTGAGGCAGGTATGCTACAGCGCTGCAGGTCACGCCCTTGTCCTATCTATGGTGATACGTCTGCAAAGATTCAGAGTATTCAAGTACCTTTTTTATATCTTAGCAAGACACCTCATTCGTTGTAATATGGAGGCTCTTTCGCAACGTTGAGTAACCCAATTTGACCTCGATCGGCGTGTATGTGCAAAAAACGCGGGGTCTTACAGCTCCCCACCTTTTGTGGTATGTGTCAAGATATCGAGTCCATAAGAGATCAACATACTGGCTAGTCAAGTATCAACTGTCTTACTATGAAAAGAATTCTCCAGTAGACAGTCAAACATCAAAGCGTGTCTATGACTTGGATAAGATAGATATGGTCTTGGCTAATATAGTTATCTTGACTGAATCTTTGCATCACAAGTCCATGTGGCTCAGTGGTTGCCTTCGTGGTCTAGTTGGTTATGACGTCGGTCTCATATCCCTTCAAACCTATCAAGGTTTCATATGACATTCTTGGTAACAAGATTGACATCCGAAGGTCTCCAGTTCGAACCTGGACGAGGGCATCTCTTTTTTTTCTTTTTTCTATAATTAGACTGGCACCATATCCTACCCAACACATATGTCCACTTCCTCGCATGGAGATAAATTCTGCTACAGCCCTTGCGTGTGCCTAATATTCCGCTGATTGCTGTCGGCCGTTTGAGGTCCATAGTACTAAAGTCGCCAACTTTATTGCGCTCAGTCATACTCCGTATCTCAACCATCTTATACTTGTCTGGTTCTTCTATACACGCCACCTAATCTTCCTATACAGCTACAGATCATGTACTTACATACATATGTGTATCATACAGATCCCGAGTGGATCTAGTAAAGATATAAACAAGCCCCAGGAAGGACCTTCCGTAGTCAACACACAAAGGAAGATCAAAATGCCCATTTACATGTTCTCGGTGTCTTTATGGCTACGAGGAGGTCAGGGTGATTCGGACACATTTGAGTGTATCTATATATTCGAACGGTACTATAGAAAGCCTGGATGATAAACGTCTCATGAAGGACAGTGGAGCTCGGAATGATGCTAAGTGGTGTATACTGAGGAAATAGGTTATATATGTAACCCCGCCATGTTGGAGTTATAGAAATACGCACACGTTAGCTTGTTATTCTATATCTCGGATCTTGGTGGTGAGGCCTTGCTAAGGCAAATGCTCTCAGGGAGTTAAATAGCAGAACGCAGTGGACTTTGGACTGTCCAGCGTTCGATGTACCTATGTACGTATACAACTACACGGCTGGATTGATACAAAGGTCAGCCCTGCTCACTTAGTATAGCCGATCGCGGTGCTTTGTGTAGCAACAGCGGTACAGGTTCCGGCTAAATTGGAATAACTATGTGTGGGTAGCTTATTCGGTCCGCGTTACTGTGTATGGTTTAGGTTTATCTTTCTAGGGTTTTGCGCGGATGGAACTAACCTTGTTGAAATATCTATATCCACGCGATCTGTGTAGGTTTGCTCTATTGGGAAACTCTACCTTAGGTTGAGGCAGTTAAGCGGATATGAAGTTAATTTGTTAAATCGCTCTGTACCATTTCCCTTGCTCGGTTGTTGCTCACTTGCTGTGTATCCTGTGGACCATGTCTATTTAGGTGCTTCGATGGGTGCATCATGGTATATTAGGCTTCCTTTCGGTCATTGTTATGTGGATATAGTCTAGGCTCTCTCTTTTGACTGAACGATATATATATATGTGTGTATATGTATATTTATGTGTGTATATTTATTTATCTCCCTCGCCCACCGCGCGGGTATCGAACGAATCCTAGCTGGACATATAAATAGTATGTCTAATTTTCCTAAAGTGCTTAGTCTTTATCCGGTAAGATTATCTACAGGCCGAAGTAATCTAGCCAACAGACAGTTGCGCGGGAGGGGAGAGAAATGAAAAATATATCCAATATCCCCCTTCTTGATTCTGTATGCAGTGAATGGATGGGTCTATGTAGTAAATGATACATTCTCGTTGTAGATGCTGATCTCAATCACCCTAATCCCTCCACACATGATAACCTACTAGACTTTTATTTACCCGTGTGAGTGGTCTATGCTCGGAGAGCTATGCCGGGTTATATATATAGCCTGCACTCGGCACTCTGCGGTGACAATAGGTATCTATTATCCTCTCCTATCCACCCTACCATCCAGTGGACTGCCTGGGCTCTATGTCATATATAACAAAGGATATTTAGTTACACTATATTGATGGGTAGTCGGTGGAATCTCGGTGAATATAATCAATCAATTGTATATATATTGTGGCCGAGAATCGTCGGTCTTTTTTAGGTGATCGTTAGCCACACAATGCAGTGATATGTTTCTTTCCGAGTCCGCGTGATGCCAAACTAAGTATTGGATTGAAATATCATCACCAAGTGAAGTGGACCTAGCTTGTATATTTTAAAAAATGCCTACCACCGAGGATGGCGACCATAGGCAGGGATAAAAGAGTGGCAAGAGTAAGATCTGACTCCGAGAGAGACTACTCTGAGAGAGACCTGTGTCCTGCTGCGCCCCCTGTGATCTTAACTACCACGACCCGCTGTAGATGTCTCTATTTGCCAGAGCAATGGGTTTGCTATGGGGGGCTGGTTATGCTCCTAGGCATGTATATATTGATTGGTTCTCGTTGAGCGTGTTTTGGCCAGGGTATTAAGACCAGATTTATGGGGATACTATGAGAGATGTGTCTTGTCTGCAGGCGGTGCTAATATGGATAGCCATCCTATAGACTACTGGGGCCCTATTGGGTATTCTACCGGTTGCTATCGTCCAAAACATATGACTTGCTGGCTTGCGGTGGTGGTTTTGACGGTATACATGCGCCATGGGAGTAGGAGCTCTGCGTAATAGTGTATCACCGGGACACTTCCCTTTCTGTTCGGGGCTGGTATGTTCACCTCTACTCGTCGTATGGAACCAAACACTAAGAACATTACGATATATGATCTTGCCAACGCCGCACGATATATAATATCGGATGTCGGGATACACCACTCAAATAGCCAATAAATTGTTCAACCATGACAGACCTTACTGAAAAGTGTGCCTCACGTAACAGACTCAACAGGCAAATAAATATCTAATAGAAACCCGCTAAATTTGAGGACAGTCTCGATCAGTTAGAGACTAGGTTGCAAGTTTGGTTCATAATACCAATAATTTGAAGGCAACCCCATGATTCGCCTGAGTGGTCTATCAGACAACTCGGTGATTGCCTTCGTGGTCTAGTTGGTCATGACGTCGGTCTCATATCCTTCAAACCTACTAAGGTTTTATATGACATTCTTGGTAACAAGATTGACATCCGAAGGTCTCCAGTTCGAACCTGGACGAGGGCATTTCTTTTTGTCCTTCCTACTCATAGAGTAACGGGCTCACCTGCACATGTAATTAAGTGAAGGCTAATGACTAGTTACCAATAATTTTGTACGTTGTACATCCAAAAAAGTATGCAAAACCCATACAAGATATATTGTATGATGATTGGCTTTTGTTTGTTGTTTGTGAGGTAGACTAGGTATTCTAAATTCAAAAATTGGCTAGCATAATAGTGTTGTATCGGTACTCCATACGTACAAGCGAAAAGGAAATGATGGAAACCTATCTAGGTAAGGAGAAATACAAGGGATCTTGGTGGCCTTCGGCCACCAGATAGTCGTTACAGAGCTATGTGCCTTTTTTCCACACCATGTATGTATATAGCCCTACAATTATCATTGTTAGAGTGTAGATATATTTTATAAGGTGCATATACCTACCTAGGTAGGCAGATTATATTTTACTAAGCTTAGTATAATAAATATAGTCTGTATTGACCTTTAATGGCCTACCTACAGCCAGCTTTTCTGGTCTACGGCTAGCCTTTTAAGGGATAGGTAAAAATCCGGCTCGGCGTCACGCATCTGGTCATATATACAAAGTTTTACCAACCTTTCATCACAAGCCTCAGTGGCTCAGTGGTTGCCTTCGTGGTCTAGTTGGTCATGACGTCGGTCTCATATCCTTCAAACCTGCTAAGGTTTAATATGACATTCTTGGTAACAAGATTGACATCCGAAGGTCTCCAGTTCGAACCTGGACGAGGGCATTTCTTTTTCGTCCACTTTACTAGTGGAAATAACCTTTTTTGTTTGTTTTTCCATTTCTTATATATTTCTCAGTACGGCGAACAGGGCGTTGACTTAATCTTAAACTTGTGCCCGGGGTAAGGGTAGAGAGGGAAGGGTGGAGGCGTTGAAGTTTTTTTTTATAGAACTCCAATTGAACTCCAATTGGAACTGGTTTATTTAAAGAATCGACACAAAAGTGAGTTATGTACAAGCAAAAACACGTATATTACACTGTCCAGCAGCTAAAGAGACCCGAAACACCGCAATGTATGGAGGTGTTCAACCTAGGCGCAGACGACCAGGCCCTGCCCGACTTCCAAATAGCGCCGAACCTTCTTCAGTGGCATTGTTACCGCCCGACATCCAGCGTGGAAGTCGGAATGGCTCACCTTGAAGCCACTGAGGAGTTTTGGTAGTATCAAATGTGTTTTTGACGCGATGCGCAAAGGATTGGAAGAAGTTCTCGTCTTCCTCATCCTCGCCTTCTACAATAGTAGGTTCAGAAACTGCCCTCTGAAGAGGCTGGGAGCCCTCTGCAACCGGGACTCGCAGTCGGGACGAGCCGGGAGAACCTTCATCTTCACGATCCGACGCCCAAGTCGAGCGACTACCACGGGATGACACTGCTAGGGAACCGAAGCCGTTCAATTCCCGTTCAATGAGATCGCGACCTTCACGCCAGCCACCCATCCCATACCCCGCAGGATTGTTTTCAACATCGTGGACATCATCATCCTCCGCAAGGCCGCACCCGAAGATGTTCTTAATACGTCCATACAAGTTGAACAACGTTGCACAGATAGGCAGAAGAATGAGGATCGGGAAGATAAAGTCAAACCCTTTCCCGAGAGGCGTCAGATTGATGAGTTTACCGAGGAATTCGTAGAAAGTGGTACTTCGCCGAAACTCTTTCGGTAGGAAGGTCAAAAAGTTGTAGGCAATTGGTACCGTCAGCCGAGCCACAAGACCAGCGTACCAACAGGCACTCTCGCCATAGGTATTACGACGGACAAGTGCACGGTTTCCCCACACCTTGACATCACTGACACCAACAAGAGCCGCCGAACACATGTACAATAACCAGGCAGAGGCAGTGAGCTGACCACCGAAGCCAACTGGGTTGTTTTTCCAGTTGGGGACAACGGTCAGACTCACAGCGGAGAGATGGGGCGCCAAAGACTTGATCAATTCTGACCAAACAATGCAAGCTGACGCCACTGCGAAGAATGCGCCAAATGCCAACCTGACCGAGGGAATGACATTGGAATATAGCTGATACCGCATGTACGGGTTGAGGAACCTCACACGAGGAATCCATGATGATCTACGCGGGGCCGGCGCAAATTCGAGCTTCTTTGAAGCTGCAGAATTTATGATGGCTTGGAGATCGGCTGATAACTGGACTAGACGATCCCATTCATCCACAAATCGGGCTTTCATGTGCCGAGCGCGCTGAAGCCGCCGTGTGAGATCAGCCAGATAGCGTTCCGTGATCACAGAAGGTATTGTGGCAGAGGTATCCGGGGACTCGAGGATTGGGGCCCGCACGTCAGGTTGGCCGTGCCCTTCCCGAAGTTCTTCAATCCATTCCTGAAAGTCACGAGCAGTTCCTGTCTTGCGGCGCTGTAGTTGAGAGACCTGGCTATTGAGATTCGCCAACTCATTGACAGAGTCCATCAAGCGATCGTGCACCTTGGGTGCATGTGCCTGGAGTCTGCGTAGCCGACCACTCACATTGGAGTTTCGAAGCAGGTTTCGCGGGATCAAAACGAGACCGTGACCCATCAGATAGATGGCAAGGACGAGACCCCACACATATGCCAATGCCATGACGAGACCTTTGATGGATCTGAATTCGAAACCGTTTGAGATCGAAACGTAGATCAACCCCACCAGAGCACATCCCAAGACAATTAACTGGTATTTGGCGTTCGATCGCAGAGAGTACATAAGCCGACCTTTTGGCTCACGGTAGCCCGAGTCGACGTATTCACCGAGCAATGGAAGGATAACCCTGCAGGAGATGAGAATGAGCGAGAGCCCCTGGGCAAGTCAAAGAACGCAGGACACTTACCAGGTGAGAACGAAGATTAGCCAGTAGGCAATGCGCCAGCACACCAGAACCATTCGCTCCGGTAGCCAGATTGCTTTGGGGCCAGATCCATCTCGCGAACTTGATGCCAAATCGATAGGGACAAGGAGGACTACACTGGCAGGGAGAGCCAAAGCCAGGAATATGGGTACACTCAAATACGCGGGAGTGGCGCGGAGAGTGAGAAACCGTCGCAGGAGAAGTAACACAAGTGCGGAGATGAGGAACAACGCAAATGCGAAAAAGACGTTCGAGCCCACCGAGATGGGCGACACAGATACGGGAAACATGCCGAAGAAACAGCGAAAGCCAAGGAAGAGAAAAAGATAAGAAGATTCAGCCGCTGTTCATGGCGAGATATCTAGAGCGCAAATGAAAGAAGCGACCGGACGTTGATAGTTGAAAGGTAGAAAGAAGTGTATATATAGAACAGGCCTGGGGGTTTGACGTTTTTGGGGCCCCAGGCCAGGAGAGTGGCTGACTTAAGCTCTGACTAACTGTGTCAATTGGAGTACTGTACGGAGTAAGTACTGGGGACTTTACGTTGGTCGTGTGCTCAAGTGTTTAGTGGAGTACCCAGTACCCGTTACAGCCTGGTAATTTGACCAATTGGTTCTTCCGGATCAGGTCAGGGCCAGAACGCCTTGTCGATCTTGATAGGAACTGAATCCTTTCCTTTGCTTTATTTTCCTCTTTTGCTTTTGGGAGAAATATTTCATACGAGCAAAAAAAAAAAAAACCGATACAATTCTCGTACAAATAAATGATACGTAGTGTACAAAGTACATATTTCGATACATATATCAACTACAATATGGGTACATGGATATCAGGCATAATAGAAGATCCACACCATGACGACGTGTTTTGAGCTTCTTAAATATAAAATAGTATGTATTGACCCTAAGGGATCGTCAGGATTTCTAGTGTATTTTGAGTACATGTAAAAAACCGAGACAGTACCACCGGGTTACCTTACCAAGTGGTGGAAACCCACGCAAAACTGTAAGTACCTCATTACTTAGCCTCGTGACCTTCCACCCCCCAATAACATCACAATACCGAATAGATACCTAGTGAATACGCGCCTACTATTATTCTGAATCAAACACCATCAATGAGATGAATAAGGCCTTTTGATTTCATTTTTGTCACTCCTCATTTACTCAATACATAATAAATATCCACTCGCCACTACTTTCTTTGCCTCAAATACAAGATCTGTGCACTCTTTTTGTCTTTTCATTCTGACACTCGGTAAGTACCTTGTGTTCTTTTCTCTCCTACCGCTTGTAATTGTGCAGAGAGGACAGCAACTGAGGCCCGGTACAACTTGAGAGCTGCATGATCCCTGTCACGGATCCCATCCACCTTACAATTGCTCTCATTCGCTCCAAGCCACAATCAGGTGCTGACCAGCGAATTGAATCCATCTGACGCTGGTGCCCGAACGCCTTGCTTTCCTCGTTGTGTTGGTCGGTCTTGGTTCCCTTCAGTCCCTCCTGTCCTCCGTTTCGTTCATTTCCCACCCATCCCCACCCTCCCTGATCGACTCGAATCACGGTTCCACACCAGCATCTGCTTACCTTTTTTTTCCCCTTCCGCTGATCACCCGTGTCGAACTTCCTGGCGTCTTCATCTCTGACCTTGCGACATCCCACAGTTACACGTCCAGCGAATGCTAATATTCAAGAAGCCTCTTTGTGGATTTCCTATTAATCCCCCATTGATGGGGTGTCCGCTATGAATCCCGGAGAGTTCCCCAACCCGGGCGCGGGGCCTGGCCGGCCAGCCCCGAACACTGCGATGAGGATGAACGCAAACATGCAGGTTCCAAAGAATGACAGTGTGCAAGCTATGATGACCTATGTTGCGCAAATGTTGCAAAACCAGGGACCATATGGAGGTTGGAAGTCCGAAGTCCCAATCAAGACTCGAGCGACGAATGTCTATCAAATGTAAGTTGCATTTTCTGCTTGCGAAACTTGGTTTGTGCTTTTACTCCTATCTAATCTAACCTCGTGAATTAGGATCACCTCCCTCCGTTTGATCCAACCTCGCATCGACCTCCACCAAGCGGCCCAGGCGGCCATGAGTTTCGAATTAAAAGCATTCACCAAAGCCAACGAGAAGAGCGAATATGAGAAAGAATGTACCGAAAAACTTCTTCATATCAGAAATACCCGAGAAAGACAGGCCGCGGTCGCTTATCAAAGTGGAATGATGCCCCAGACGGGTGGACAAAATCAGATTCCGGGCACGTTTCCACAGCACATCAACCAGAGCATGCAGACGTCCCCGGTCTCTGGCCAACAGCAGATGGCAATGGGAATGAATGGGCAGAACCAGCAGGCAGCAATCCAGCAGCAACAGCGACAGCAACAGCAACAGCAGTCGCAGGCGATGCTCCAGCAGCAGCAGCAACAACAACAACGGCCCCAACAGCGCCCTGGCAATGGTATTCCGATGGTCGACGACCTCAGCACACTGTCACCCCAAGAACTTGACCACGTCTCTCGACTAGCAAACGAGATGTTGAACAAAACAACCCCGGAAGATATGGCTAAGATCAAATTGAATCTGTCAAACATGACACCCGAGCAGCGGCAATACCTGGCACGGAAAAAGCTTGAACCAATGACCTATTTTTTCCGCTCTCAAGCCCTCAACCAGATCAGACGCCATCGTCGCGCTCGCCTGGACATGGCGGGACGTGCTCCAAATGCCGGGATGGATGCGAATGGTAACATGATGGGCGACCCCATGATGAATTCTCAGCACCAACGGCAGATGCTTCAAAATATGCTAAACCTTCAGCGCAATTCCGCATTTCCCGGAAATCCCAGCCAGACGATGGAACCTCCAAACTTCATTGGCAATGTGGAAAACATCCAAGGCCAGCAAGCAGATGGCCTGCGCTCACAGGAGGCTGGCCAGCTGGTCGTTCCTGCAAGCTCTTCCCAAATGAACCAAGCCCCATTTCCGAATAATAACAATAATATGTTCCCACAGCAGATGGGTCAGAATGGCCAGGCGAATTTGAACGCCAATAACCCGAACGCCCAGGCTCAGTTCCTTGCCCAACAGCATCTGCAGGGTGGGTCTAATACTCCCCAGGATCGAATGCAGTTTCAGGCACAACAGTCTCAGGCCCAGGCGCGCGCACAAGCGGCCCAGAAGGCCCAAATGGCGATGTCGGGCCATGGTGGCCAAGTGACCCCCCAATCACAACCGCAACTGAACGGACAGAGCCCCGTTATGCCAATGCTAAATCAACCTATGGCTCCAGGTCAGATGTCTCCGGTCCAGGTGCCCGCTCAAGCCCGACCACCGTCTCGACCTGCGAACATGGGCCAGCATCCGGCCGGCGTTGCAGGACAGGCTGGGATGCAAGGTCCGCCCCAAATTCCTTCCAACATCCCGCCCCACATCCAGGAACAACTCGCTCGCATGCCCCCCCGAACAGGCTCGTGCCATTATCATACAGCAACGTCGTGCCGCTCTCAACAACATGGCTCGAGCCAACCCCGGTCAGCAGCCGCAATCCCAACCAGGCCAGGCCCAATCAATGATGAATAACCAGATGGGAAACGCTATGATGAGAGGCGCAATGAATGCCCCGCAGGATCTGACCTCCGGCGGAATACCACCAAACCAGCAAATAACAATGCAGCAGCGCCAACAACGCCAGAATGAGGTTTATAAGCTCCAATTGCTGCGGCAACAAAACAACGGTGTGGAGATGACTCCTGAGCAGGCCAAGCAAATGGACCGTGTGTCTTTCCCACCGTCTATTTTGAACATGAATGGCACCTCGATGCAAGTTCCTAACAACGTCAAATCATGGGGACAACTCAAGCAATGGGCAAATTCGAACCCTCAAGTTGCAAGCCCCAACGATCTCCCGCGCCTCATGATGCTTCAGAAGCTTCATCTTGGTCAACTGATCTCAGCTTCCACGAATCAAGTCAGGGACCAAAATGGCCAGGGTCCAGCGGCAACTCCATTCCAAAGCACCCAGGTTCCGTTTACGAACGCGCCAGGCTTCCCTCCTGGCCAACAACCAACTGCTATTAACATGGCCGCGATGCGACCAATCTCTGCCCAGGACATTCAAATGGCTCGTCAAAAGCTTGGACCCCAGGTGTCAAGCTGGACCGACGAGCAAATTCAAAAGTTTCTGTACACAAACCGTCAAAAGCAGTTGCAGGCTGCCCAGAACCGAGCAATGCAACTTGAAGGAAATACGCAGCCTGGCCAGCTAAGTCAATCGGCGGTGCAACCCCCGGTTCCTGCAGCACAAGCTGTCCCGCAAATCAAACAACAGCATCCTCAACCCCCGCAATCGACTCCCCACGCGGCGAATGTGAAGACCCAAACTGGAGCCACGGCTAAAGGTGCCAAGGGTGCTCCCGGGAAGCAGCCCTCGAAGAAGAGAGCTAGCACTGATGATACGACAGATGCCCGAGTCACAGCTGAACCCCAGATGAGCCAGCCTGTGGCTGTTCCAGCCCCACCAGGGACGGCCCCCCAACGGCCAGGTCTCCCTTTCACGCAGGAACAGCTTGCACAAATGACTCCTCAGCAGCGAGCTCAGGTTGAGGCACACATACGAAGGCAACAGCCTCAAAGTCGCGGCCAGGTACTCAGCAGAGCTGCAGCCGATGAGGCATGGAATAGGAATCTACCCCCACAGGTTATGGAGGTCTATAACGACATCGCCAAGAACGCCCCACCCGCAAAGCCCATGCCTGTCTCGCCGGAGCAAAAGGCTGCCATGACCAAACAACTGCGTGAAGCCTTGGATGTTCTCGGCCGCTTGGACGCCCTTGTACAATGGTTTGCAAAGATGCAAGGCCAGGAGAAGAATGTGAAAAATCTCCTCGCCATGGTAAGCTCTCCTTCAATAATAAGGCGTCTCTTTACTAATCCGATCTTAGCGTATTCAATTGATGAGACAATTCAAACCCTCGCAGGATTGGGTTGTAAATGAGCATTTCACAGTTACTCCCGATTATCTCAATGGTGCAATCCTCTTCATGCGGAAGTTGTTCGCAGTAATGATTTCTCGCATGCAACAAGGCCAGCGTCCTAACGCCCCCCAACCTCCTGGCTCCAATACCCAGGCCATGCAAGGCAACATGCCAGCACTGAATGCGACCAACTTGCAGCAGTTGCAGGCGCAGGAAGAGGCCTTACAACGAGCCCGGCGCGCCTCTAGCCAGTCTGTTGCAAATGCTCCAGCGGCACCTTTCGCGGCACCATCTCCCAGAGGTGTCCCTCAATATGCCCCAGGCGGACTTGCCCCCGAGAATCTCAAATTGCCTCCTCCCAAAAAGCGAAAGCAGTCTCATGGTGTGGCGTCATCCCCGGTTCAAGCGACTGCAGCTCCTGGCGCAGCAGCAAAATACAACAAAGCCGTGGCGGACGCCACTTCCAACGCGGCAGCCATGGCGGGTGCTTTCAAATGCCGCGTGGTTGATTGTCAACACCACTACCAAGGATTCCCTACGCAAGCCGCCTTGGACAAACACATTGAAGAAAGCCATCAGCCCGAGGAGGAAGAGATGATCGAGGATTATCTCAAATATTACCATGAAAGTATCTCGATGGGCCTTGGACTGAACCCCAATGATAGTCTGGAAGACCAACAGATGGCCCCGCTTGGATCAGTGCCACCCTCCACCAAGCTAAGTGCCGCAGCTTCTCCCGCGAAACAAAATATCGCTACCCCCTCATTGCCAACAACACGCCCATGGCCAGGGTCACTAGCCAATTCGGAGCTAAGACCGTGTCTCCTGCTGCATCAACCCAACTACTCACACCGCAGTTGTCGTCTTCCAAGGGAACGAAGCCTACCGGTAAGGATGGAAAGAAGGATGTTCTCAAAATGGAGGAGAGCGACACAAAAGACCCCTGGGCGGAGTGTCCTACCTCGCTTGACACAATCCATGATACTTTTTCAAACCTTGCGAGCAAGGATCTGCCTCACCTGGGCTATGATTCGCTTGAGGACTTCGATATCAATGAAGCCACTCCGGTGGATGATGACTGGGCTGCTCTTGCTAGTCTGACTCCTCCGGACGAGGCCGAGGAGGCTGCTTTCTTGGAGAAGTTTTATGAACCTTGGGACGACGAGTCCATTGCATTGGCTGCGGCAAGGATCCGCATCCCGCCTGAGATTCAGGTCAAGGGCAAAGGACCTATGGGACAGCTTGAGGTTGACTGGGATGCTGTTGCGCGCTACGAAAGGGAAGGTATCCCGATTCGTATGACTTGAAAGTGAAACTCCTGGTTTGTATTGAGAGCATGTACACATTGCTAGTCCTACATGAAGAGGGACTGAGATTATGAAACATTTTATTTCGGCGTCTTCGTTTCCAGCGTATATATGGCTCAGGAGCGATGCGTTTGTACACTACGCGGCACTCCTGGTTAATCTCTCGTGATTTGAGATCAACATTTTGGGTTATTATTTTTTCACTTGTGTCTATTGGCCTCAGCGATGGCGTTTGGAGAAAAAAAAAAATCTAGGATTAGATGACTGGATTATTTATTCATATATAATATGCTTACTTGGAAATCTTGGAGTTTACACATTTCATTTGAGAGTACGAAGTACATGTATATGAAGGCGGTAAACTGGAACGTTGTAGGGTACCTTGTGCCCCAGGCCCGAGGTACCGTGACATTTGTTATCTTTCGATAAGCTCTCCGCTTTGTCTCCTCACTTGACCTTTGATCACTTCACCTTGAGATCTGAACACTTAGGACTTTGATATCAGGACAAGATGGCAAACAATGCCCTCATTCCATTCCTGGTCACGATGATGCTCGTGACTGGGGTGTGCAATACTATTCTCAACAAGTATCAGGTGCGTCCTCGAGTCTTGAGTCTGAACTACAGACATGAACTAATCACCCCATTTTCATCAGGATATGCAATGCGTGCGAAACTGCGATTCCCGGGATCCCAGCCAGCGGAAGCTGTTTGAGCAACCGGTCATTCAAACGTAAGTTTGATTTGTTTATGATAGAGAGCTTTGCAACACTCATGATTAATGCTGACAACAGGTGGTAACACAGAGCCGTAATGTTCATGGGTGAGATGGGCTGTTGGCTAGTTATCGGTTTAGCCTTCCTCTACCGTCGATACATCGCACCCTACCTATCCAGTGACCCCTCACCCCTCCTAACTGGCGGATATCACCCGATAAATGGCGACGACGAGGGCGTCGATGAAGATGATCACACGGTTGATGAACTCGACGGTGACAGCAGACACCCCAAGCCTCTGCCCGAAGATAATAGCCGCATCCCACTTCGGGGATGGAAGGTCCTACTGCTTGCAGCGCCGTCGAGCTGTGATATCGCTGGCACAACCCTCATGAACGTGGGTCTTCTCTTTGTGGCAGCTAGTATCTACCAGATGACCCGAGGTGCCCTTGTACTTTTCGTGGGTCTTTTCAGTGTCCTCTTCCTCCGCCGCAAGCTTCAGTTATACCAGTGGAGCGCACTTTTCATTGTCGTCCTAGGCGTGGCTATTGTGGGTCTTTCTGGAGCTCTATTCAGTGGCGAGTCGGGCCACGATATCAATCAAAGTCGGAGTGCTACCGATGCGGCCTCGCATGCTCTTGTGCAGGCGCGTGATGTCGCTCGGACCCCCGAGGCTGTCCAGGCTATCATTGGTGTGCTGCTTATTGCTGCAGCGCAGATCTTTACAGCCACACAGTTTGTGCTGGAGGAGTGGATTCTGGAGAAATATGCCATGGATCCAATCCAGGTCGTGGGCTGGGAAGGCGTCTTTGGCTTCTCGGTTACTACCGTCGGCATCGTGATCATGTATCTTATTGTTGGACGGACCGATGCCGGCCGATATGGCTACTTTGATATCAAGGAGGGATTGCACGAGGTTTTCGATAACCGTGCTGTTGCCATATCCAGCTTGTTTATCATGATCAGTATCGGGTATGTTTTACCTTGCTTTTCAACTCTCTGTTGGCCCTCCTCCCCTCTAACGTTTGACCCAGTGGCTTCAACTTCTTCGGTCTTTCTGTCACCCGCACTGTATCCGCCACCTCTCGTAGCACAATCGACACTTGCCGCACGCTCTTCATCTGGCTTGTTTCGCTTGGACTCGGCTGGGAGACCTTCAAATGGCTCCAAGTTGCCGGCTTCGCGCTTCTTGTCTACGGAACTTTCTTGTTTAATGACATCATCCGCCCTCCGCTCAAGGCTTGTTTGCCCCGTGACAATAGAGAGGGAGAGGTACTGCTCCCCGAAGGCCCCATCGAACATATTTGATTAGCTTGGCTCCTTGTTTTGAATTTGTTCTTCTTGTCATATGCCATCCGGGTGGGTGCCTTGGTATACTACAAGCCTTGTATTGGGCTCATGCCATGGATTTTGAATAAATTTTTCGACCTTGCATCGTTTGGGTTCCTGCGACGGAGTTGTTTCTTTTTGATTTTAGGGATTATATACTGAATTTTGATACTTTCTTATGGAGGCTACACTTGATCTGAATTCTGATTTGAAATTATAGAGCCTTAAGTTTTGTTGCCAATTGCATTTCGGTCTAAGTTTTTGGTTGGAGTCCGCGTTAGTTATACACTACTAGTAGTATCTAATCAGTACACGCAAGAAAACACTACTGGCCCAACTCTCATGTGGGCTATGAACTACATAGACTTAGTGTAATACACCCTGCACTTCATCATGCGCTAAAACTTTCAACTGAAGCATGTACAATAAGAACAATTCCTCCCTCCAACTAATGAAACGAAGTACAAGAGAAAAGAAATGAATAGCAAGAAAAAGTCTAGATAGATGGTAAAAGCGAGAGAGGTGCAGAGAACTAGGGAGTATAGAACTGGATTTCTGTTCATGGAAAAAATTAAACATTCGTTCGGAGAGATTTTAGCATCACTGCCACCAACTTGATTTACGGCTCGGACCAGTCCACTTGGTCGGTGACGGGATCTCCACCGTCGCGGGCGGAAGTGACACGAAGACGGAGGCGAAGTTTGGCAGGAAGATTCTGGAAGTAACGGGTTAGTTCGAGACTCGAGAGCGAAGAAAAGTGTAAGATAGGAAAAAGGAACTGGACATACCCCATTCAGAGCGGTCACGCGCATTGATTGTGTGCCCTCGTCACCAGATTCTAGGTCAGCCTTGCTGATTGCGCTCAGCTGCAACCGCTGACTCTTTGGCACGGCAGCTTGCAAGCCGACGCTAGTGAACCGGTCAAAGTTGGAGTCGTTGCGGAAGCGCGCCAGTATCTGGGCGTTGTTGCCACTTCGCTGAACCTGCAAGGTTAGGACGAGGCCGTCCTTGCTGAGCGCGGTGTGTGCAGGGGTTGAAGCAGTGACAGGTGCGGGAGAAATCGAAGGCGAAGGCGCAGAGGCACCTATGCCTCCTGTACCTAGCAGATCCATCGAGACAGACGAGGCTTGTGTGGGCTGGGGGGGGATGGCGAAGGACCGTTGGAGCCAAACAGGTCCATGATGGCGCTGTTCGGGTTCTTTTGACCAGCAGGCCCTGGGGAGGGAGATGATATGCCCGAGTCTCCGCCAAGAATGTCTGCCAGCAGATCGGCGGTGTTCGATCCGTTCGAGTTAGGACTCGCAACAGGGGCGTCGGACCCGCCAACCAGGTCAAGGAGCAAGTCATGCTCTGCAGGTTTAGCGACCTTTGTCGTCGACTTGCCACGGAGCACCTTACTCTGGCGCTTTTTAGCAGCGGACGTAGCACCTAGTACCCGTTGCTCCTCACGGATCTCAGGCGCAGGCATCCGCTCGAGCACGCCACGGCGGATTTGATCATAGCCAAAGAGATTGGTGTATTCAACGGCACGCTGTTGAATTTCTACACTCAGGTCCGCGGTTCGGCTGGAAAGCAAACGGCGTAGGCGTTCAATTTGAGCGGGATCCGATATGCGCACAGTAAGCTTCATGGATGCAGTGATGATATATTCGACGGCAATCTGTGACGCGTATGTGCTGTTGAGAATGTTGGTGAAGAGATCGACAACATCACTCTCCCGAACTTCCCTGACCAGTTCCTCTTCTTCGTACTGACCACCCTGAAGTAGACTATCGGCATATTCACCAATGGTCCACGTAGCAGCTAGTGTGAGACCCTCTTGTGAGATGTCTTCCTTCAATGACGAGTAGAGCTTTTGTACTGCGTAGGTCTGCATATCTGGGGTAGTCGCAATCAGGCGAACGAATGATGACAGGATCTGTTCTTTGACGTAGTTCCCAGCCAGCTTGAGAACTCGCAAAATGGTGTCCATGTGCCAGCGCTTGTTAGGTGCGAAACGATCGGCCGCGATGCCTATCTGTGTCGTCATCACAGACTTAAATTCGTTGTCGGCCACCTCCAGGAAAGCCAGCAGTTCCCGCACCAGCACCCGCACATTATCTTCGTTGATCAACATGAAGCTGAGATCGAGCGCTCGCCGGCGAATGCTAATATCAGGATCCCGCAGGCATTCCAAGATCGTATTGCGATGCCTCTGCACTGCATTCGGTTCGATTGCAACAACCTTATTCAGGGTGTTCAACGCAACGTAACGGATATTGTTGTCCTTGTTAGCCAGGAATTTGCCGAGAATGTTGACGCCCAGCACCCTCAGACCAGAGTCGGCTTCAATGTCCAGAATCGTGAGAACAGCCTCATATAGAATAGAGTTGCCGACGTTCTTTGAAGAATCTGTGTTGGTGGCCACCTGGGCCAGGATATCGTTGATTAGTTCGCTGGTGGCCACATCTCCTCGGCCCAATACACGCAAGAACCGAAGGATCTTGACTTGGAGGAAAGGATCTGTGATGCCGGACACATCATGCTCGGGGGCATACCCGGAGGTTGTCAGCCCCTTCAAAGCGCGAACTAATCCTCCAGCCAACGGCCGGAACATTTCGATCACGCCCACTGGCCCTCCTTCCTCTTCGTCCTCTTCTTCCGCTTCACATAAATCAATTGCCAGTGTCAACCCACAGAGAAGAACGCCATGGTTCCGGTCCGACAACAGGTTCTTCGCTTTCTCGAGGAAGTGCTCGTACAGGTCTGGGACCTTGCGACATATCCGCATGGCACAGATCGCTGCTTTCCGTCGAATATAGGGGTTCGCAGTCGACATGAGGGATTCGACTTCGGGGAACAGATCACGAGACATTTCGACTGAGGCAATGTTTCCGAGGGTACAGAGAGCGAGGCCGACGATGTATTGGTTGGAGTGGTTAAGGTCACTGCATTTTACTTAGCCCAGAGTCAGCCAGTCAATTACAGTGGGACTTACTTCTTTAAAGAGTTGGTCACAAGCGTCAGCACTTCTTGGTTCTCATCTAGCAAGAGCATGGTCCCCAGATATCCCAACCGCTTGTCAGCGAACCGGTGTGAGGCAAGTAGTTTCAGACATTCAATTTGGCCGAAGTGAGTCCGTTCCCCGAGTGTGAACAGATACAAGAGCTTGGCAACATTATTTCTCCTATCAATTGTTAACGGCCGATGGAATAATCGAATGAGGTAAATGTCGAAGCTAACCGGATGCCGGAGTCATGACTCTCTTCTCGAAACGAGGCGCGAATAGCGGCGCTTTCTTTTTGGATAACTGCACGTTCATCGGCGATGGTCTTTGCCGACCGCACATTACGAATAAATTGCTTGACTGTAGATAAATTGGATTGCGTGGTCAGAGTACATCTCAGGGGAGAGGAGGGGCGGCGGGCAGCACTTACGGGAAGACATGGCGCCCAGAGGGACCCCCGACGGGGCGAGGAGGAGATATATTCAATTAAGGAGGGGCGAAGTCAGGTGCAAGAACATACACCAAGCACCGCATAGAACCAATGAATCGAAGAAAGTGTCAAGGCAGTTGGTCGGTAGGTCTGGACTGTTGTATTATTATTCCTCATGGCAGTTGACCTGGCATCTTGGCATGGGCCACTAGTATGGAAGAGGACTAGCTTGGTTACCCTTAATCACCTGACTCTTTGGTATCCATTTACACCGCCTTTGAGCAGACACCTGACCTCGGCAGTAAGACGTAAGTGTCAGAGTTGGAAATTACAAGTTCCGAGGAACAATACAGGGACATAACACAGGCATATAACATGGGTTCTATATATAATGCATACTTGTTGAAAAAGTAGAGAGAGTATGCAAGCGTCATAGATATCTTGATCTTGAAGTCTATCAACAATTCAACAGTTTGGGTCTCTGAATACATCTGCCTAGTTTACATATATAAACAGTACCTTGATATCGTACATACGTAGTACCAGAAGTACCAGAAGAGGTAGTCTGACGTAGTCCGTGAATTTGGTTTCGAGTTTCGAGTCCAAACAAAACCAAACAGAACCTCGGGAGCTGACCACATATAATCTTGGGTGTTTCCAAATTTTCATCTCTGTGTCTTCAATGTGCAAACCCCCTGATTCTGCAATTTTGTCCATATAGGATGTCTAGCGCCGTTTCCCAGAATGAATCTGCGACTCTGCGGCCGCGCGCCATGCCAATACAGCCTGATGCAAAGGCCGGCGTCGCTCTCCCCCTTCCAGTGGACAAGCTAGCCCATGATGCAAGGTATTTCACTCTTGGTTTGCATGGCCGGACTGGATTTAGCGCAAGCTAAGCTAATCTATTTGTCGCATTTACAGTGGTCGCTCAACTCCTATTGCTGAGGATGCACCCCCATCAACACATTCAATCTCATCCGCCAGGAAGCAAATCCGCGCTCGCAATCGCCTATTTTATACTATAGACTATGTGCCTCGTGTGTCGCATTTTGATCCCGATAGCGACTATCACAATTTCCGAGGGTTCTTCACTCTCTTTTGGATTGGCTTGGCCATCATGGTTGGGACCAGCGTATTGCGCAATATCAAGGATACCGGATTTCCTTTACAGGTGCGCGTCTGGACTCTCTTGACAGCCAATGTGTGGGGAATGGGGCTCAGTGATGCGGCGATGGTGATGAGCTCAGGACTCGTCCTGCCTCTGCACCGGCTGTGGCGGGGTGGTCCACAGTGGCTACGATGGTCACGCGGGGGTATGATCTTGCAGAGCTTGGGTGAGGCATTATGGTTGGTTCTATGGATTAAGTGAGTTTGTGGCTTTTCTGAAAATTCGAACTCGGAAGGTGGCTAATATAGATCAACAGCTGGCCCTTTATGATGCAATGGACCTGGACTGCGCAGGTGTTTTTCACGCTCCACACCCTGACCATTTTAATGAAGCTGCATTCGTACGCTTTCTATAATGGTCATCTCAGCGAGACAGAGCGCCACCTTGCCTCCCTC